ATGAGTTAGAAGTTCTTTATAGCCATAATAGGCAAAAAGTGGGGTTTTCTGAAAAAACTCAAAAGTGGCAATATCTCGAAAACTTTTACTAAGGTCGTGTTGATTTTGTCTGATTGATTTGAAGCCAATCTACATCCCGTGTCACTCTGGAGTGTTATTTATTTCTTTGACACCCGGTATAATATAAGAAATTACTCAACCAATAGAAATGTATGCAGAATTCTCAATAATAACTAATTAATTAACAACACAAAAAAATAGAATCAATAAGGTTAGTCCATCTTTTCATCATTTTGTGCTCATCATCAGACCTCGGCGAGCAGTTTTAGTTAAGTCTGTTTTCAAAATTAGATAGTGTGTGATTTTGGAACTTAACAGGCAGATCATTATATAATATAATAGCGATGTAACTAAATGATTTTTTGTAAACAGCCTTAGAACGCAGATTATATCCAACGCTGATTGGATTTCTGTGGTCTTTTTGTCTTTTATATCTTCCACTCAAGTAGAGTTAAAATAATGCAGATGGGCTACTAAGAAATAACTTCGGAAGTTTGAATCTGGGAATGGAGTGGCCAATGGGTGTTTAGGCCCTAGGCCTTCGTGGTAGTTGGAGTATAAAAAAAATAAGTGAAGCCCTTCTCTACCTATTCGACTATCTTTATATGCTATTTCAGGCATTTTCTCTAACAGTTCGACAATCTTTAACAAAGGAGATTAGAGTTTAACATCCAAATTGGAGGTATGTAATTACTTTGAACAGTTTTTATTTCAGTTTCACACATAATTATCACTAACGAAAAATGTTAATTTCCAAAATCTTGCAAGTCATACAAAAGTAGTAGATCAAATTGAAAAGTAGTATCGAGTTTATAGGTTTTGCACGAATAACTTTGCCTTTTACTTACGTCACTGGGCGCGGAAACTAGGTACTTAGTTTTTGGAATAAGACCAGTGGCGTCGGAGCTATAGGCAAAAAACGAAACAAAATATAAATGGCTCAAATTTCGTTTTTTAACGTTTCAGCAGATCCTGATCATCTTCAGAATAATTTTTGCAGGGATTAAACAATTGTGTGGGGTTGTAGGGGGTAGGGAGCGTATATGTCAGTTTCTGGATTGTAGCAGTTTGTACGTTTCCAACCTAGGTAATTCTGCGCACCTGCTTGATGTATTTCATACATCAAAGATTTCTCCAAGCATTTTCCCTTAAAGGTTGAATGATAAAGATATATTTTCGGCGTTCGCATGCTGGATAACTCAACAAGAGCACGCCTCTCTGTCCTGGATGCTGAGCGATGACTGAGCGATGATGCGTGTATTCGTGTATATAACCCCGTGCTGGATTGTGACGTTGCTGGGTGGTCGATACTGTCGATCGCGCGGTAGGCTAGATTGCATTGTTGGACTATGGACTGATTGTATGATCCATTTAATTCCTTTGTTTTGTTACATACATGTTCGTAACCAATGTTTTCCTACGTCGGACTGACTTGTGCCGAATATAATCCCTTATGAATTGATGACAACGTTGCGTTGAAAGTGTAAGATCAACCTACTTGACATTTTTGTTTGTTATTTTTAGATAACGTAGAAAATAAATTCGAATTTATTTAACCATACAATTTTCATTTCACACACTTTTTTGGGTGTGATATTTATTTTGTAGTTTATCGTTCTGTATCGTTGTTTTAAAATCACCTCTATTGATGAAAGGAACTTAGAGTGATTTGACAAAGATTCTTAGTTCTGATCGAAGGTCAATTTTGTTATTGAAAAAATAAGATGCGACCTTATAACACTGTTCAGATTACTTGGTGCTTATCTATAAATATAAAGAGCGGTGGTTTACTGACACTACGGACTACACTAACTTAAGAAAACAAGAGGCTTTATCAGAAAATTTTGTGCAACAATTTGTTTAGTTAACGATACGTTGGTGAAGTATTTCTGGGGTATGTATATTTGGTTTTATTGTTAGTTAAATTTATTTTTGATACTATAAAGTTTATCTAGGATAAAAACACAAATAATATGTTTCCCATAAATGCAATGATGCGAATTCTTTCATTTGTCTAATAATCGGATAATGAGAAGAGTTCTACAGGGATAATGTAGCATTATCATCATACCCAAATGATATTTTGATGAAGAGAAAGATTGAGTGCGGTAAAATAACCCGTTTTAATATAAATATGTAGACGCTATATTATCGGATGAGGCAGTAATTTCGTTAAACACATACCCCCAGATACGCAAGCGGTATTCCAGGCTAGTCATAAATGGCCTTGTATAAAGTGAGGATGTTCGATAATGGAAAATAATACCTTAAATAGATTCGTTTGCCTTCCAACAACTACGACAATTGCGACGTATAGTCTTGGCAAAAGCTTGCAATTAGATTTGAACTACCAAACGCTTCTTAACAAAGCTAATTCATCCATCCAAACCGAATGCGTGGGTGTGGTCTATACTGTGCCTAGCTTAAAGAAACTTTGTTCATCCAATTTTTGAACTGCCTTAGATTTGTAGAACTGGGAAAAACCTCCTCATGTAGATTGTTCCACAATCTCCATGCCCTAGGGACAAAGGATCGGTCGTATCGGCCAGTTCTGGATGTACGAAGTTTGACACGCATAGGATGGGAGGCCGAAGTCAAGCATGTCTGTCTGGCAGGCACATCGCGTGGCGGTATTATGGAGGAGAGCTCTGAGAAGCGAAACCTGTTGGCAAGCGGTAGAAGAGAGCTACATCGCCGACGGCCCGCCGCGCCGGTGCGGAAGGGTTCAGAGACTGTCCGTTTGAGAAGAGTAATCGATCAGTCAGATAGCCCTCCTCTGAGCAGCACATCAAGCATGGATAATGTAGTCGGGGAGGTAGCACCCCAAACATGAGAGCAGTAATCGAGGCTAGGTCTTATCTGGGCCTTGTACAGAGTGAGGAGGTCATGTGGAAAAAAGTACTTCTTAGCCCTAAACAGCCCTGAATAAATAGTCTAGTTTTTCCCAGCAGCAGCCGCTATTGAGGAGATGTGTTCGTGCCAGATCAAGTCCTCGGTGATCTGGACTCCAACCAGCCGAGATGAATGGCTCTTTGCTAAAGCTCGGTCATCTATCGAAACCGGATGAGCGGTAGGATGTTTCTTGTTCGTCAATGTACTGTATTTTGTAAGCATTAAAGAGTACAAGATTGCTGCGTCCCCAAACAGTAATGACCACCAGGTTTCTAGTCAGAGAGGAAGTCACTGCTAGTCTTCTTTTCTCCAGCTCACCGACAGAGATCGGCTTGTCACTCTGAGTTCCTGCATGTAGAGAGCTGTCATCAGCAAAGTTGTGAATTATATTCACCGTATAGGAAAGGAGGTCGTTGATATGTAAGTGGAACAATATGGGAGCCAAGACCGATCCCTGGAGAACAACCGCGTTGACGTTGTGGGATGAAGAGGAGAACCCGGCAATTACGGCCAGGGAGGAAGTCAGCGACCCATCAGAAAAGCTTCTCTGGGGCGGTATGAGCCTCATCCTAAGACACTATAAGTTTACTCCACAGTTGCATGACGTAAGCTAGGAAAGTCACCTGTGAATCACTGTGGATCGTGCCGGAAACCTTAGCGTCTGATATTAATCAAACAGTGACGTTCGAGCTGCACCAGAAGCTCCCAATTTATGTACATCTCCATCACCTTACTTATAACAGACTGTAGGTTGGACACGAGCAAATTTCAAATTTTCTGGAAAAGTGTTAGAGTCATAAGATATCTGGAAGGGCCGCGAGAGAACTCGAGCAAGCTCCGCTGCACATCTCTTCAATACAACGGCAGGAATCAAGGCCGGACCAGAAGCTTAGTTGATGTCGAGCAACAAGAGCACCCATCTTACGGTCTTATGCCTGAAGATTACGTTGTGGGAGTCGTCCATGGTAGAATTGGCAGCGAAGATCTTGGAAAGCACTTCCGCCTTAGCCTTTGAATCGATTACAATCATTCCATCCTGACACGTACGACGAGAAGCACATATTATTATTAGTATTGTGTTCCAAATCCTCTTTGTGACTTGTCAAATTTTTGTAGGGGGACCTTAAAGGCTTTACGAAATATGCATCTGTGCTCGCGGTTAAGCCTATGGGAGACAAAACAAGTCGTAGATCATCAGAATCCTAGTCAGAATCCAAAATTAGCTAAGCTCCAGACTAAGTTTTCTTGACAGCTTCGGAAGTAACCAACATACCTGATTAAAGATTCACACATCATATACGTTGATTACAGATTAGGCGGATTACAGTTTCGGGAGTGAGTGTTTTTTTAGACAGGATTCTTAATAGGTCAGCGACTAATACTTTGATCAATTGATATGGCACCATTGAGCTTTCAGTAAACAATATCTGATTGATTTGTGTGTAGAATTCTTTGTTTTTATCGAATTTTGGTCAACTGATTATGAATGAAAATATTCTCACATCTTCTTTGACGTTATGGATTATTTTAAACTAAACCGTCTCCAGAAATTTAATGGTCCAAGAACTGTTCTTGATTTTTGTCCTTTGCTATGTCATTTTGTACATCTTAAAAAGACGGGTTTATGTAGTAAATAATATCTGATTGATGGCCGCAAATGAGAATAAGCAACAGTTCCTGGAACATTCAATTTCTGAAGATGATTTAGTCTAAAATAAACCGAAATGGCAAAGAAAATGTTTGAATATTTTCTATTATAACCAATTTACCGCAATAGATTAAAAATAAAGAACTAATCCTTCAGTTGGGTAAAGATATCCGGAGAGTGCAAGCTATGTCTTCATAGCATTTTATTTACTAGATTTCTATGGGTTTGACCAGATCTGGCGCAGTTAATGTTTGAAGCACAAAACTATACCCCTGATTATGTCGGACTTCGCAATTCGATCTGCGATCTCTGAGTTTGACCAAACGTCGTTTGAATAACACATATGTAAAACACTCTAGTTTTATACGTTGAAAGTACTGAATGTTATCATTTGCTTCAGGTGATGGCGCCACCGGGTATTGCTGCCCTAAGGGTCTTCCTGTGGACAGTATTCCGGGCAGCCAACTTCCTCTACCTTCCTGTGTTCGTCACAAGAATCTTCCACAGGGCAACACCTTGTCCGCCGATTGAAAATGACATACTCCTATTAACAGCTGTTGAGTTGGCTGAGAAAATAAGGAAACGAGAAGTAAGTACGCTTTTCTTGTGTGCGTAACAAAGATCTTTCACAGGACAAACATGTTATCTCTGACTATAGTCACAATTTTGAATATTCTGTAATGCGTGCATCAATTGCATCTCTATATATATATATATATATTTCGAGACTAGAGTGGTTCCTACTACAGTACCTATGATTAAAATGCAATATACGAAAATATATGTATGCTACTTTCTTCCATCCGACCAAACACATCCAACCACGGCCGGCTGTTTCATGCTTTTTTTATACTCCTTAGCATGGTCTAGGCCTGATCTCTTGGACAACGAATGAAAGCGTAGCTACTATACACTATCAGTAGTGAGATCTATCGAAATTGTCTTATTTCAATAGATGAACTGGATTTTAGTGCATTTGAACGGCCATGTTTTCATTATATTTAAGTCACTCATTTTTGTCAAAAATACGAGGTATTTGGAGAAATTTACTTGGAGTATTATAATTTCATTTATCATGGATTGAATTCAATGGAACAAGGGATAATATTGTTTGCAATTTCGATTTTCCGCCATAACTACCTACTTATACTTTTTTCAGCTAACATGCGAAGCTGTAGTCAAAGCCTACATCGAAAGAGTAAAAGAGGTGAACCCAATCATCAACGCAGTAATTGAGGACAGGTTCCACGATGCCCTGGAAGATGCTAAGGAAGTGGACAGATTCCTATCCAACACGTTGATGACAACTGAGGAAATAGAAGAGAAGAAACCATTGTTAGGTAGGTCAGCGTGGCTGATTCAGTTTTCCCTAGATTATTTAATCAGTTGCACGGTCTATATAATTTGCTGAAATGAAGAAAGTGTGAAAATTTCAGCAAATCTTGATGCCTTCTAATTAAGGAAATACATTTTATTAGCTTATATAAATATTTAAATTTAATGGCCACGGTGTGGGCAGAAGTTTGCTCACCTAAAAAGTTGAGTTTCGATTCATACAAATATACAGGGTGGACCGTAATTAATCATCCAAAAAGTATATCTAGATTTCGTCAAAACAATGATATTTAACCAAATATGGCTTAATGAAATTTTGCTTGTCAATTAGATATAGAATGTCGGATATTACCATATTACTAAAACCGCATGAGCTGCACAGAAATAATTTCAGGAATATAACTACAAAGAGTTATTGGTAATTCCCCGTAATCATTCCAGGGCGTGTAGCAAATTTTACCCTATATATCCCGAAATTTGGGGCTTCAAAGAGTGCTAAAAACGTAAGAATGTCACATGTTTTATTTGTAAATACTGCTTGAAGTTGTCGCTTTTGCATTAAGAAGCACGAGGTTGCTTAATTTGCAACAGTTGGGGCTGTCAGGGTCTAATATTGGTCTCACCCCGGCGACTTTTGCAGGATATAAACGAACCTACGCAGTGTTGATGAAAGCATTGAGGACGACATCCTCACCATATTCGTGGAGCATCAATAGCATTTTGAAGACGCTCATAGTAAAGTAACATCGAATCGATAGCTAGGTTATTACTGTAGCAATGTGCCAATTTCGATTTTTCAAATGCTTTTTGTTTACAAACTAGGTTAACCTACGCCTGATTTGGTTACTGACTCACATAGTACCACAAAACATCATACATTTGGATGTATGGGAGGGAGGCAGAGTCGGGATGGCCCATTTAGAGCTTTTTGGTTACCTTATATTTCGGTTATCTTAAGGTTTTGGTATATGTGCTACTAGGAAAACATGCTTATTATTACCTGACCTATACGTTCTGTGAAGGAAAGTCCCAACTTTGAGGATACCATGTATATACTGTCAAAAATCAATACTTTTTGGGATTTTTCAATTTTTATGATTTTGTATCATTCACCCGAAATTGGGTATTTGAGTCTAAATAATAAAAATTCTATGTAGGGAATGCGTGGGAATTTGTCAAATTTTCTACGGTTTTGGGGTTACTAAGGAGATACAAATCGAAAACACGTAACATAGCTAATGATCATACTTTAGGGCATACACTATATTGCAGCAATTTCTTGAACGTGTGTATAAAGTTAATGCAGCTCTCCAATCGCAACTAAAAGACTCAAATTGAGCACGGTTTTCGAAAAAATAAAAATTCTTATGAAACAAATCATTTAGTTAATGGACTTTTATTTGACCTAAATTGGTTTGATTGGTTTTTTGTCAGGAATTAGATGCTTCATACTGTTGCTGAATACGGTTTTGGGGAGCCTACTACAGGAATAAGTTGCTAGCACTCAATGTACTACAATTTGTACGTTCAATGTGCTAGCAATTTTTAGAGCTAGACGCAGTTCTGTTCTAAGGAAACTTGAAAACGAAAACCTTTTGGCTTTTCGAAGTAACTGTTAATTTATTATGAGTACTATTTTTGCACCGTTTATTGTTGTATTAGGTTAATTTAAGTATAAGCAATCGATTTCTCATGCATTTCTTGCATAGTTTTTTATTATCTCGACATGCTAAAAAATTGAAAAACATCAAAACTATTGATTTTCGACTATTCATATATAGGGTGAAATTTGGTTCCCTATCTCACCCTGGACGGAATACTGCGAATTACCAGTATAGTATAAGAATATAAATATAATATGAGCTACATTTTACTGAGTCAAATTTTGCTAAATAGAAAGGCATCTGGGTTACTAGACCTGACAGACTTACAAACTGACACTGTGACTCAGGAGCTAAGGTCCCACGGATCGCTCTGACAACCAACGATGACTTGTCTGACTTCTATGAGGTAAATGATAAAAAGGTTAACACTAAGCAAACTCTCTAATATCATGATTTCCAGGAGCTTAATCTAGGATTCACTGCGGACCACCCTTTGCAGTTTTTCTGGGTATATATATATATATATATATGATTAGAAAGAGCGGCAATAAATCTCAAAATGTTTTTGTAATCATGTAATTATTCAATATTGCGTCAAAATAGTTACATCAGTTTCGGATTCAGCTCCTCCCAAAAACCCATTGGAACAAAGGAAGTCGGAACTAGGGTAAATCGTTAGTTATCGGACACCTGACAGTTATTGGACATTGCTGTTTCAAAACCGAATACTAAAGGTTCTGTATGGCGTATTCTGTTCAGTTCTCGACAGATGGTATCTCTATAATATATGTTAACAGATTTCTATTCTGTTGCGCATACTTCCACGCCGGTGCTGCGATTATGGCGGGAAAATTTTATATGTTATGTTCTTGACTCCGAAGCCAAAGTTTGTGTTTGCGTTGCGGTTCAGGTATCGACAAAAAAATTCTACATTTGTTCTCAAGGTAAGCATCTATTTTTGTATTGCGCTCGTACTGATATTTGTTGTCAAGCTTTAGATTGCATCAAAAACAAGTTTGAGTTGATAATTTCAGAAATATTTTCTGTCCAATCACTTACAGTTTTTTTCAACTAATTTCTGTTATTGGACATCTGTCCAATCACTGAAAAATGTTAAGTTGTTCTGTGTTCACTCGATTCAGTGAATCTTTATACAAGAAGGGATATGTTTCTATTTATATTAACTTGGAAATAGATTTGATAGTTATAGCTAAACTTGACCGCCCAGTAGCCGACTTCGGGTCTCTAATATTTGGTCTACATTTTAGGAACTAACAATATGCCGAAATTAAGGTAATACGACAAGTCGAAACTTGAATACGCTCTCAGAGACATACAAAACGGCACAGAATCTTACCGAACAGCCGAAAAAGAGTACGGAATTCCGAAATCCACTTTAGAATTTAAACTGAAACATTCCGGTCATAAAGAAACCTTGGGTCCATCGCCAATTTTAACAAGTGAAGAAGAGGCTTTGTTAGTTAGTAATTTGTATTTTATTAGTGTCTAATAACACGAGACTAATTTTATAAATATTTATCTGCAGCTGGATAAAAGATAATGCTGCAAAGGGTTTTCCAAGAAAGGCCAACGATTTGAAGACTAGCGTACAAAGATTTTTGACTGTTAATCCGCGCCCACATAAATTCAATGATAACCGACCTAGAGATGGGTGGGTTAAGGTATCCCAGCAAATAAGTAATGTATAATTAGTTACTACTTATAGATATTTTCAACGTTACAGGGATTTTTGAAAAGGCTTCCCGATATCTCTAAAAGAACAGCTGAAGGGGTTACTTCGTCCAGTGCATGTGTCTCAGAACAGGACATCAGAAACTGGTTTGTCAATATCCATGACTACCTCAAGCAAAAAAATCTCAAGATGTGCTTAAAGATCCTTCAAGGATTTTTAATGCTGACGAGTCATGATTTGAGATTTGTCCTTCCACTAGGACAGCGAAAGGGACAAGAAATTTGTAATCTGTAGAACACGGTTCTTCGAAAAAAAACATCACCGTGCTGCTTACTTTCTCAGCAGATGGTACGAGTTGCGTGCCAATAGTTTTCCCTTATCAACGCATTCCTGAAAAAATAACTAAAGGTATTAATCCTAAGTGGGGCGTAGGAAGAAGTGACAAAGGATGGATGACATCCGAAACATTTTATCAATATATAGCGAATGTTTTCTATCCCGATCTGAAGGAAAATGCCATCAAATTACTAGTGATCCTCTTTCTCGACGGTCATAAGAGTCACCTGAATTATCATCTGAGCATTCTATGTAATGAACTACAAATTGAAATCATTTCACTGTATCCTAATGCTACAAGGATTTTACAACCCTGTGATGTATCCATTTTCCGACCAATCAAAGAAGCTTGGCGTCAGTCGATACGAAACTGGGAAGAAGAACATCCGGAGCAAATAGTAAACAAGTTTTTCGTTTCGTTTTTGCTGGTATTCTAGAAAATGCTGTTAATAAGAGCTTCGAAGCAGAAACAGTTGTAAACGGGTTTAAAGTCTGCGGTTTGTATCCTTTCAATCTAGATAACGTCGACTATACTAAAGGTCTATGAATGGGGACCATGCAGCATCCAAATATTGGTGTAGAAAATCTTACTCAGCACAAGATGACCTACGACAAGTTCGCAACAATAGTTGGTCCCTAAAAAATCGAAATGTTCCAAAATATTGATGAAAAAAACGGCAGAGAATGAAATTTTCGATGAAAATTTGCGTCTATTATTCAAGACTTGGAGATTCTTCCGAAACTATGATACAATGCCTACGGATATCACAGAGTCAAAAAATACAATTAATATTGTACAAAGTATAGTTATGTCCCCCAACAAAAAATCCTTCACTTGCTCCAAATTCTAGTGAAACTGAACAAACCGCAACCCTTAGTCAACCGAGTACCAGCAAAGCTACCGTGAATGTACTCGCAATGTGTAAGCAAATAATTCCTCCCAACCAACTCGTAGTTACAAACAATTCGTTCGGAAGCTTCCTAGAGTCACCTTCTGCACCAGCAAGAAAGGGTAAACAAAACTTAGAGACATTCTCTTTTACTATAACATCTGAGCGACATTAGGAGATGTTCAGGAAAAAAGAAGAATTAAAGATATAGCAGCAAGAAGAGAATGAAGTTAGAAAAAGGAAGAAGCAGGAAAAACACTAACGAAAAACAAGGTAAAGGTAAGAATTCACAAACAGCAACACAGTGCTCTACCTGACTAAAGAGCATCAGATCTGGTAAACTACAATGTGATGACTGTAAACGATACTATCATCAAGACTGTGTTCCACAAAGCCACTAACATAACACACATAGCGATGCCGATGTCATAACTGCTACAGATTGAGTGATAGTGATGAGGATTGTGAAGATATTGATGATCAGGAAGTCAATGAATTATACGAATAATATAATCAAGCAAACAAAGCATTTTACAAATGATTATACCACATTATATAAGATCCGTCAAATAACTGGAATTTCACTGTCCCATATCTAAATGATGCGTCCAATAAGTCCAATAGTTTTTTGCATATGTTCAAATTATCATTGTTAGTGTAAATTCTGCAAAGTTATTTTCAAATATGTTCTAGCAGTCTAGTTAATAAAGCCTCTAACTTCCTTTATATGTAGTTTCCATTGACTCTTTGCCATAATTGAAAGTTTGGCTCTCATTTAAAGTTGTCTAAACCTTAACTGTCCAATAATTGTCTGGTTTACCCTACCGTCTGTCTTCCCAAGTAAAAGCACAGCTTGATTGGAGTATTTCGTTATAGGTATCCCACTAACAGTGAAGGGAAGTATAGAAGTTGAAGGAATGAAAAATACATCTGGAGTTGTATCCAGAGCTAACGTAATAGCAAAAGAAGACGCGATCATTGTGAAGTCCGCGAGAGATGCTGGTGCTATTCCGATACTCACCTCTAACATACCGGAGTTGTGTCTTAACTGGGAGTCCACTAATAAATTGGTGGGTACTACAAGGAATCCTCATAATACCACCAGAACTGTAGGAGGATCGTCTGGAGGAGAGGTAAGTCATACATTTTTGATCAACATACCTGAAAAACCTAATTACCATTACATGCTTTTATTTTCTTAGCTTCCAGTACTGATTGTGGATTGATGCTTTCTAGTTACAGGGTGTCATACACACTTTTTTTGAATCCTTGTTTTTGAAAATATCGTAATAACCCTTTCGCTGATCTTGATAGAATTTGTTGAAATTTTGCAGTTATATACGCATGGCACAAATTTAATTAAAGGCGATTAGAAACACTATTAAATCGACAGATTTCCTTGGGAGTTTGAGTTCTATCATATGATATATTGAGACGTTTTTCTTATTCGATTTATTGTAATATACTCACATAATGCCGGTGGTACGTATGTACCTACTATCATTGATTAACTTATTCCACGTGGTGCTACTAATAAAGAATCTGGGTCCATAAGCAGGTTTTTCAGTCGGCCCTGAACATAACTCAAATGTATAGTTTCGGAACATATGTATTTTGAACTTTTATCTATTTAGGTTAGTACTTGATTGTCCATTGAAATGCCAAATTTCGCAACATTGAGAGAGAACTTACTATTTTCATATGATCGCTTGGTCGCGATATGTTTCCCTTTAAATCTATAGTAAAACACTCAGATACAAAAATACATTGAAGTCTTCGTTATAATTGTTTATTCATTTATTTCAACTTTCGTTTTGATTGTAAGCGCTAATAGTAACGCAACGCTTTCATTTTTATGCCTCAAATCTTCATTCTTCAAAAAAGTATTTGTTATATACAGGATCTGATTGTCTAATCATCGAGATCCCATATTTAATGTGTACAAGGGAGGCAGTGAGGGAAACAAGTATGTTTGAACGAGAGCACGAATGCGTGCTCGACACCCAGCACAACGAGTCTCAGGACGCTTCATCCATGCTCTCGCTCTAAAATACGGTTTTTTGATAAGAAACTGTAAATCGTTTGGTAGTGAAACGGCACTGAAGGGTTTATACTGCACCTTGGTGCGGTCTAAGCTGGGATATGCATCTAGTGTATGGCATCCAAATTACCAAATCTATACTAATGAAATTGAAAGTGTACAGAGAAGATTTCGTAAATACTTGACTTTCAAACTTCCTAATCAGCGATGTTGCTCAGATTTGAAATGCATCCTCTTGAGCTGAGAAGAGTTTGTAATAGTTTAAAATTCCTTTACAAACTCGTACACAGTGATGTTGATTCTTCAGCCTTATTAGCTAAAATTGATTTTCATGTACCGTCTCGCATTTCCCGAAGATTTCTCGCGTTTTACTTAAAAACACCAAATTCTAATGTTATGATTAAGTCATCCGTATACTTTATGTGCTCCAGCTTTAACACCATAGCTGATAATTGTGACATTCATCATGATAAAGTCAAAGATATACTCGTATTAGCTGTATTCAGCGACCACTATTATTCAATTTATAACATTTAAGACATGTAGGTGAGTAGGTGTAGCTATTCACTTTTTTTTTCAGAAACTATGACTGTAATTAAAATAATGTAACGTCAAATTGTATTCAGTTACATTGTCCTTTAAATGGATGTATCTGTTGGGCAATAAATATATTATTATTATTATTATTATTGTTACTATTATTATTATTATTATTATTATTATTATTATTATCATTGCTGGAGAAAAGCATTAAGAGTGAAATAAAAAATTATATATTGGGAAACTCATATATTTTCCATTTATTAGATCTCCCTAATGTACGAGCCCCTTCCCACTTCAGTTGGCCCAACTATTGAAATCTTAGTTTTTTCTTATCAAACACAAATAATAAAAATGTAGCACGGTGTTATAGGTTTAAAATATTAACAATGAATATTTTGATAAGATATAGTAGAAAACACTAACTTTATCACTCCCTAATCAAATTTACAGCATAAAAATAACACATGTTGCAATTACAGCATATCAACCTATTTTCATTTCAATGCAAAATAAGTCTATAACGCATAGGTGGCTGTGAAAAATAAGAGCCATGACAATTGAAATCAAACTCAAAAATTGCAACTTTGTTCGACTTATCGCGGTACAGTGTGAGAAATATTGTTAGAAGATATAACGTAACTGGTTCAGTTAATATTAAGCCACGATATGTGAAAAAAAGTAATATCACAAATGCCGACCGAAGAGCATTAAGAAGAATAATCGTGAAAAACAGGCGTGCCAATTATTTACAATTAAGTGCTCTGTGGAGTGACGCTGTTGGAAGGAGAATTTCCAGGTCCACAACTCATAGAGAGGCCCACAAATTGGGATTTAGCACTTGCAAGGTAAGTTTTCTTATAAAAAAAAGGTGAAATAAAAACCCTAAAGTTGCACAACTTTTTTATAGGACAAAGAAAAAGCCACTATTAACTCCACTGCAAAAGAAAAATCGGCTTACATGGGCTAAAGAACATAGACAATGGACATCTCAACAATGGTGTACAATTCAATGGAGTGATGAGGCCCAATTCGAAGTTTGTGTTGGTGACAGTCGCAGTAGACTTATTCCCAAAAAAATGAAGCATTCCATGTTGTCTGTCTGAAGAGAAAAGTGAAATTTCCAGCATCCATTATGGTCACTTTTACCAGTGGTGGAAGAATATTTGACATCCGGCCAAGATTTTGTGTTTCAGCAAGATAGTGCAGCGTGCCAAAAAAGGCTATAAAATGGATGGTAGAAAATAATGTACCACTTTTGAAATGGGTTTCTAGCAGTCCAGATCTGTCACCTGTTGAAACTTTGTGGCACGAGATGAAAAAGGTTCTACCACAACATCCTGCTCGTACAATCACTGAACTGAGACAAAAGCTTGAAGAAATATGGGATTGTTTTACACCAAATGTTTTCCAAAACTTGGTTAACACTATGCCCCAAAGAATTTCAGCCGTAATAAAAAATAAAGGTTTTTTTTATTCGTACATTGTTTATTTGTTCAGATGTTCTATTAGTTATAGGTCTAAGTGATTTCAAATATGTATTTTTACGACTAGAGTGTATCTGAAATGTTTTTAAAAAAATAAATTGTTTTAGAAGTAAATAGTTTCGTCATGTTTAGTTTATAAAGGCTTATTTTGGTACAAATCTTGAAGTGGGCCAACTGAAGTGGGAAGGGGCTCGTATTTAAACGGTTTTTAGTAACTCTTTGAGCACTTTCAAAAATGATTAATATGCGCCTATTTAGTGCGCGAGTTAATCTCCTGGACTTGATGATTTGCCCGCGACTCACAACGATTTCATAAAATGTAGATAATACTGCTTTTCAATTTCTTGCATGTGTGCCAGAAAGCAAATAAACGACTTATGTAGATGTTTCAGTAGTTTGGAACAAGAAAATTCTGAAAGTTGTATAAGTCTCACTGAATTAATATCTACACCTATATTATGTATTTAAAAAAAATATAATTTCTTTGTCTCTGTATTTTTAATAAAGCTGTTTAGTACACCAAATTATTGCTGATTGTTATTGCGAACAGAAAATGGTAAGATTTCAGACAAACTCTACGCATTTTAGTAACAATCAGTGGAAATAAGCAACATTAAAGTAGACATTAGAAGAACATGTTTTTTGTCTAAATGAGACGAGTATCTAAGATTTACGGCCTATAATTATTGCAATTTGTTTAAACACGTAAACAAATCAATTTTAAAAATGTTTTTTTCATTGTTTTTGAACTAGTCGGAACTAACAGGCTGTACGTTTATTCCATCATAAATAATAATCGTATTTTGTGAATGCTCTCCATCATTCTTCTTATCGCGTAAATTTCATAATTGAGAATTGCAGGAAATATGTGACGGTAAATACGTTTCTTCTCTTTTAATCAAGAAAAATTAAAGATCTCGAAGTGAGTTAATAGCATTTAATAGCGATATCTTTTATTAAAATTCAGGACATAAACTTTGAAGGTCGTTTCAAGTTCATATTGATAACCATAACTAACCTGTTACATACATACATAGTCGGTAATTGCCATTTGGACCGTTGGCGTATCTAGAATAACGTCATGTATGGCTCAGGTGTGATGATCAGGAGTTTAGGTCACGGGAGGGGGGGAAGAGGGGATATCGATTAATGGAAATGGAGGAGCTGGGGTCTCAGGATTCATGTTCAGAGAGATGTCCGTTTTGACTTTCAAGGACGGATTGTCACATTTTATCGTTAGCTGCACATGAATTTCATATTGCATGCCCTAATTTGTTAATTTCTTCAACTCATTTTGCTGTACCGCAAGGCGTTGGAATTATAGATTATATTGAACATCTCAAAACAATCTTTATAATGGTTAGTGTTTTGCAATTTTGAAACCTTGCTTTAACACTTCCTTATTATGCCATTAAACATCAATGTGTTCTTCCAAATTGCATGTAACTATTTTATATCCATTCATATGCATGCTATCACTGGATGTTAATATGCTCTAAACATCGAATTTATGCAATAATAGGTATGTATAAAAATAGAATCGAAGTGAATAAATGTGCGCTTCGAAATGGCGTAGGATGAAACACTTCATTTAGTAAGTGTATATTCTAACACATATATAATAAAATTAACATCTCTGAAGGCTGATTAAGATTTCCGGCATACCCAAATCAATAATAATAATAATAATAAACGTCTTTATTAAATAATATATACAATACATGTGTATATATATAAAGTGTAACTATAGTGGCGAAGTTTAGCAATATGCTACTCTAACACTTAACCACTAAAGTTAAATATTACGTTGTTAACAGCTAACAGAAAAAACAATGCAAAATATATATAACAAATCACTTATAACCCATATGAGAAGTGGAAAATGAGATATTTTGTGTGCACATACTGCTACTCTAAAAAGGTCCAGGAATATTGAGGGAAAAGTTAATCGTTCAAATAACTCAACTTAACATTGTAGCGGAAACATGGTAAACTCATGGTCTTAAATTTACTGTCCAAAGAATTATATATTGCTGCAACGTTATATGAGAAACTTCGTTGGAACAGAGATGTTGTATGCTTCGGAATTCTGATAACGTACCTGTCTCTAATAGCTCTAGTGTGAATGGTGTTATTAAAAATAATTTTTTCACATAGGTATTCTGGCTTAGAATTAATTAAAATTTTATGGATAAATGTGGAAAAATGTAACTTGACCAACTGGTCAAACTTTAGCCATCTCAACTCTGCATATTTGTGAGAGACATGGTCGAACTTTCTCATGCCGAATATAAAGCGAACACAGCTGTTTTGAATCAATTGGATTCTGTGTTTAGTGATCTGATTCAAACAGGGAAAATATAGAATACTGCAGTAGTTCAAGACAGACACAACGAAGGTTTCGCAAAGTTTTTTCCTCATTTTGAAGTTTAGCAGATATCTGTTTGAATAAAGACTGCGTAAACGTGCATAGGTTTTTTGTGTCATGATTTCCATTTAAAATAACAATAAAACACATCTTTGCTGCTGTTCTAGCGCACACTAGCTTTCGAATTTTGAACGAAATTGTTTCTGAAAAGGAATGTCCCAACTTTCGGAGCACCACGCAAATTCAAACCTCATAATTCGATGATGAAAAAATTGGAAATATATCTACGACGTAAATCAAAGGTAGAAGTTCAAGAATGCCCTCTTATATATTTTTATATTTATATTTTTATATACATGTTTCGCCAATTTTTCACTTATAATCATTCTAAACTTATTTTATTCTATAGGCAGGTCTTCTAGCAACCGCAGCCTCAATAATCGGTGTTGGTTCCGATATAGCAGGTTCTCTTCGTCTCCCAGCTCACTTTTGCGGAGTTTGGGGTCACAAGCCTACTCCAAGAGTAGTTCCCTTCGCAGGACACTATCCTAGCTGCAAGAATGAGGATGAATGGAGAGAAGTATTTACATTGGGGCCCATGGCAAGGTACGCTAAAGATTTGAAGCTATTATTGAAAATAATAGCTAATCCAGAAGCTAAGGAGACACTGCGATTGGACGAACCAGTAGGTATCTTTCATCAAACCACTAATTAGATAAGTAAAATAGCTTGTATGTATTTCGACTGTTTGATTATCTTATTGTAGGTTTTCAATATAAGCAAGTTGCAATGATATGTGCGAGGTACATGTCATACAACATGTGCCTACAGCTTACAAATGCGTCTGTGAGCTACAGGGTGTCCAAGATAAGGATCCTGTGCATGGAGATCTCAATACCTGTGGGAGATATAGCTTAGGTTAAATTAAGAAAAAGCTGGGCTATCCGGGCCATATTTACATGCCGTTAAGAAACTTGTGAAAATTTCATGGCTTCCTGATGTATAAAAACTAAATCGTTTTTATTTTTGTCTGATTTCATTTTAAGAAGTATCAAAAAACTCACTAGATTAAGTATCATTTTATAAAATTTTGCCCATCATTATGTAATATGCAGCTATCAGTAATCACATAATCTTACATCAAGCCTTTGTTTGCAACACCTACTTAAATATAGTAAAAAACACATTTTTTTTTAAATTAAGAAAACAAGTGTAACATGTGATACATCGTTGAGTTCGTAGAAAAATGTGTTATCAGGTACAGGAAGGGTTCACTTTTCTTTCGAACTTTATAAAAAAATAAAGTTTCTCAAAAACGAACCGTCAGTGCCTAAAATGTGCCAAAGGAAAAGTTTAATTAGATTTTTGATATATCTTAAAAAGAAGTCAGGAAAAAATAAAAACGACAACCAAATTTTAGCTTTTCCCAAAAATCTCAGTAAGCCATGCAATTTTCACAAGTTTCCCAACTGCCGAAAGAACGCAAGTTTATCCTAATCTAACCTAAGCTGATTCTCCCACAGGTATTGAGATTCCCATACCTAGGGTCCTTATCATTATAACTCCAATTTTCTGAATGGCAACTAATAAATAATTCTAACATTTAATTCCTCCACCTCCACTTCACGCTCTTTCACTATACCTGAATTTTTTGAACATATCTTAATTTTTATATTTATCTCATTCCTATACTTTAAATTATTTTCTACTTTTTAGTTCGATTTACTTTTGAAGCGTGTTTTTTAGTTTTTTCAAACTATAATTTATTTTCTGAATCTGTCAGTTTCAAAACGATCACAAAAGTACTTACTTATAACCAAGCACTTCGATATTTTTGAATATTTTTTTAAAATTTCTTAATTTCACAATTTTCTCAGCATTTCCAATGTTAATCAAAACTTCTAAGTCTTAATTTTATTCTAACTTTGCGAATTTTCCAACTGTTTTCCAAATTTACAAAACCATTTTTTTTAAATTGCAAAATTCAAATTTCATAAAAAAAATTAAATTCGAATTTTTTATAAGATTATTGTATTGTCATCGTCCCTTGATCCCTGTGCAAATTTTCAAGTTATTCACATTTCTTGAAATTGGTGAAAATTAGATTGAAATATTCCGTTAGATGCAGGTCAAGCTAATAAAAGCATGTTAAATATGCCAAAAATCATCCGAAAACGCGAAAGCCCAACAAAAACAATTGTCGTAACACACCGGTTAATTGTTATGCAATATTCGACTACAAATACATATTATGCATTATTTAAAAAACTTCTGGACCATTAGTTAGGTTGGAGAAGATCAATAGTAGCTGGGTCACAGTCCACAGAAGTAGATTATTGGATCTTAAGATCGCAGATGTTTTACTTCCATGTCAAAGCCAAACTGATGTATCTTATATCCTTACACGACAAACAACATGGTTACCTTTAGATATCGAAATACAATTTCTTGCATTTCCGATCCATAAGCAATACTCATGCATCATTTGTAGCCGAAAATTGTGTACCGTAAAGAAGGGCTACTTTGTAACACTACAGCCTACTTTGTGACATCTATGATTAAATTTTCTATTTTTACCAAGTGGCTAAAGGCGGTAGTATAATTCAAATTTTATTTTTCAATAGTGCACTAGGTGCGCCATCTATTCCGTTTCATCAATAGCTCCTAGTACAGCTGTGCTCCTCGTGCCACAGCCGACTCGATAATCGAGTAAATAGCTGGATTTCGTTTTGTGTGCAAACTTTGTGTTGGTCAGAAAATATATTAAAAGATTTTTCCACCAAGGTAGGTTTATATTAAAATACGAACGTTTTCTCGCCTCAGTGTTAGAATTATATCTATTAGAAGTTATTTTTCACTTTGTTTAACACATTTTTTAAAAATTGGTTACAAATATGGTTGAATGTTTATGAAGGTATGATTGAAACGCAAAATGTGTAATTTTTCAGATACACTGCCACGAGTGTATAGAAGAAAAATTGGTAGTCGCAATTACAAATATTATACACAAGAAAAAATAGCAGAAGCTCTTCACGAGATAAGGAGTAAACGGATTTCACTACGCGGTGCTGCAGAAAAATATAATATTCATCGAAATACTTTATGGCTGAAAATAACAGAGAGACATAAGAACAAACCTGGACAATAAAAGGTTTTTACTGAGGAGGAAGAAAATATATTTGCAGACCATGTTACTGTGTCAGCTTGTGGTTTTCCAGTAAGCACATTTGACCTTCGATGTGTAGTAAAGTCATATTTGGACCGGCAGGGCAAATTTATTAAACCTTTTAAAAACAATATGCCATATGCAATATGTGATTGGGCCAAATCCTTTCTAAAACGACATCCACAACTTTCTCAGAGGATTGCGCAGAATATTTCACATGCTGAGGCTGCTACTGAAGAAGAAATTATAAATAACTTCTTCGATAATTTGGAGGTTGAGTTAGAAGGAATTCCTGCAAGCAATATATGGAATTATGATCAGACTAACCTAATTGATGACCCGGGACAGACAAAAATAGTAACCAAAAGAGGAACGAAGTATCCTGAACGTATCAGGAACTCATCTAAAGCCTGTACCTCATTAATGGTATCCGGAAACGCCGAGGGTGAAATAGCACCACTTTACGTCAATTATAAATCTCAAAAATAATGGAACACCTGGACCGAAAATGGACCTCCAAACGTGCGATATAATAGGACGGCTTCAGGATGGTTTGAGTGTAAAATTTTTGAGTATTGGTTTTCACATCTTATACTTCCAATATTAAAACGTCAAGAAGGACGAAAGGCAATCATAGGAGACAATCTTAGTTCACACTTGAATCAGCAAGTCATTCAATAATGTGAGGCTAATTAGATTCGTTTTATAGCATTACCTCCTAATACCACGGATCTACTCCAACCACTTGACGTGGCTTTTTTCCGACCAATGAAGGAAAAATGGCGTAAGATTTTGAGCGAGTGGAAGGCAAGTAGTTATGGCAGCAGAGTTTCTTCTATACCAAAGGATGAATTTCCGGGGTTTTTGAAAAATCTAATGAATCAGTTGTCAGAGAATGCGCCTGATAATTTAAAATCCGGTTTCAAAAAAACAGGAATTTGTCCTTTGGACCGACAACAAGTGTTAGACCGTTTATGCGATCGTGTCGTAACAGCAGATACCGAAATAACTGAGCATGTTGGTAACAGTTTTATTCAACACATTACCAATGTAAGGACAGAAACAACGAAAAAGAGACAGGTAAAAAGAAGGAAATGTCTGAACGTGCCACCAGGTAAAAGCATATGCAGTAGTGACTTTAACAATGACACACTTACTGTTGAAAATACGACAAAAACTGTTGATCCTGAGCCTGGAACCTCTGGCATCCGTCAGAGAAAACGTCTACGAAATATTGGAGCTGACAGATCATCATCAGATAGTTCTAGTGAAAATGAGGACGAAGTTAAATACATGGAGAGTGATGACAGTACAAGTGATGATCATTTTTTCGATGATGGAGATGAACAGCCCACTGAAGAAAATAATGTCCCATCCCAAAAAGTGGAGAAATCAACGGGAATGTACGTAGTTGTACAATTTGAGCAAAGCTATTTTCCTGGTCAAATTACTAATGTCTCGAGGGTAGGAGCAACCGTAAATGTGATGGAACGTGGTATAAAACAATAGAAGGACGAGATATTTTATAGGAACGATGAAAAAGTTATGGGCATAAACGCTCCAATGCAGCGTGGAAAGCGAGCCTTATTTGAGGTTCCAGAATTGAAAAACATTCTTGAGTAACAATAACTTTTTTATAATGTTTGTAATAATAAACATTTTTTTGTTTCAAGCCTAACCTTATATACCTAGTTAATGCCAATTAGAGTTTGTTTTTGGAAATTGTATGTGTTTTTTTTCTCAAATATATGTTTTTTCTCTCAAATATATATACTTTTTATTTTTTTAAACAAAGCATGTGTGTTTCTTTGTGATATAGTTACAAAAACTGCATGTCAAAAAGTAACCTCAACCTATGGGGTTAATTTGTGACAACTTTTTCTGTCATTTTCTCGAGTTCTGTAACATTTATTGAATTACATTTTCTACTTGAGATAGAAAAAAGATGGGGCTATAAGGAGGCATATCTTAAATTATAATACTTCAAACAATTTGAAATAAATCATCAAAAAACCTAAAAAAGTGTTACAAAGTAGCCCCACTTTACGGTAACAATTAACTGGTGCGTTACGACAACAGTTCCGGGTTTTTTTTTTTGAGATTTTTTGGCAGTTTTTGGACGATGGACGAGTGTGAAGTGTCTGGTACATTAAAACGACAGATAAACTCATGCTCGCTTGTCGCTTTGTACGGTGCCATCTTAAAATTGGAATGATGGCTTCGCGTCATCACGTAAAAAACAAACCAAGTGTCACCTGGATATAAACAAAAAATATTATCAAAAGTGTCAATCATACTTGAGAAAGTTCACCGTTGGGGCCGGAACGTCGTAAAATAAAGAGTAATTTTGAACATATATGTGGTTAGATTATGCTAGACAAATATGGAGGATAATTGACATATGTTGCGCGCCGGAATGTTTTCTTTCCAACCAAGTTCTGGCACATGTGCGGGCTCACGACACGGCACATAACATACTTCAGGATGAATTTGTTGTATTGCAAACGTATTTTTATGCGAGTAAAATATATTCATTTAAATGAAAATATCCTATCCTACATTTATTTCGTTGAAAATAGTAATAATTTTTTTAAAGTGGGATAAAATAAGTTATCACTCTTACGTAACAGTGGATGTTTAATACAAAATTGTATATAGCTTCTTTGAAAATATGTGCAATTATAATTTTCCATAATGATTACCCAACGCCGTCATCGGTTAATATAGGATTATTGTCTTTTTTCTCCGCCACCACTAGACCCATTTCCAGAAACCAGAAAGGTTTTTCGCCGTTAGCATAGTAGCAATCTTGTGTGAAAACCTCATCAAAATCTGAGCGGTACTTCTCAAGTTATAGACGGACCAATGATTACCGGATAGACAGACCGACCGATGGAAATAAGTGTCATGGTTTTTCGTGATGAACATCACTTTCGAAATGTTTTGCGTTTAGAATGCTCCTCGACCATTGGTGTAGGAAGTAAAAATTGTATTTGATGCCCGAAATAACACTAATATTACTTGCAGGTTGCTCTTGAAGATTTACGTATATACTATATAGAAGATCTTGAGTCGATATTGACAAACAAAGTCAGCAGTGTATGCTTAGATGCGTTACATAGTGTAGTTGACCACATGAACAAACTATGTCATGTAGAATGCGAAAAAGTAAGTATAGTTTCGGGGAATGCATTACAGAAACTGATTGTAATAATTTGCCTATACCTGATATATAAAATCATAAAATTATATTAAATTTAGTTTCCCCAATGTTTATGTCGAATGTAACTGAACAGTATATTACAGTATAGTAGATTTTTCTGAGTAAGTTTTGAATAAAAATATTTTATCTGAAATCTTAACAAGGTTGACTTCCGTATAATTGAACGGTATATGATGTAATAAATTATTACATTTTGTCTAATAATTTTTTGTTTAGGCAAAAATACCTTTATTGAAATACGCCCCAGAGATGGCGTCTCTAGTGTTACTTGATATTGATGACGTCGACAACCTATTTGTTGGTAGAGGAGATGGATCATACGCAGAGCTTTTCAGATATTTCACATTCCGATCAAAATCAGTCTTCATGGCGATTGCGTATGGTGTGGTACGCAAACTCTCAAAGTAAGTGTATAAAAATTCAAATTTTATTCTACGTTATTACTACTCCTACATTTTTAAAGGAATTTGTCCATTGCACCGTAACATACCAGGATCATACAAGAATCGTATTTGGTGTGACAATTCACTTTGCATGTAATTATTATCTGTCATCTGAACATGTGCTTTACTGTGACTATTTCCCTCGTCTTAATTTCTACCAATCACAAACGCGGAATTTTAAATAGTTTCTAGATGGAAAAATTGTATGGCAGCACCTGTCAGCAGTTTTTTCGAGTTTAACCGCGGCAAAACTTGACCGCTGTTGTCACCAAACATTACAATACCTTTGATAACAAATAATTATGGTCTCCTAGGACACCAGAAAATGACGCTAAACAATTTTTCTGATTTGATTGTCAATAAAATATGTTTTGTAAGCTGGATGGTATGTGTATGCAGAATAACCTATGACTCATGAAATAGTCTTGTCAAATACCATTCGGGCCTCTAATTTTTTCCTGTGAAAAAAACGAAGAAATACAATTCAAAGTAATATTTTTTTAACAAAAAATATTCGTGCAGCTACCAGCACTCATGCTTCTTGTTAAAATATTACTTAGCACGGGTTTTTTCGCTTTTTTAGAAAAAATTAGATGTCCTTAATACGTTTTGTGCTTGAAGGGCGACGAGGGCCTCGCATTTGGTTGGTGATTAAAATTAATAAATAAATGGTTTTTGAAAAAAGGTGAATGAGGTATTTTCTTGATTTTCATTGATAATTGATAGTAAGTATCATTTTTTCAACAAACCGTAGCATAGAACCAATTCAGGTATTAGTCATTTTAACATGTATGCCTACAGCTTAGCAGCATAGCTGAAACGGGACGCTTATCATACAGGCAGCATGTGTCTTAGTTACGGTTACTATGATGGGTTTGAATTCTGAAAATAGAAATCTAACAGCGACTTCCTCTCTGATGTACAATATGGAGGTTATCATTAGTTGGGGACGCAACAATCCTTTACAGTTCAAAAAACACAGTATTGTACCTAGCGTTCATCCGGTTTCGATGGAATAGCCGAATCCTACGAAAGAGCCATTCATTTCGGCTGGTCACCATCCAGATCATCGAGGACTTAATCTGGCATGAACACATTTCGTCAATATCGGCAGCTGCTGCGAAAATGCTAGGCTATTAGCTTAGAGCTAAGAAGTACTTTTCCCCACATGACCTACTCACTCTGCCCAACTACGTTATCCATTCTCGATGCTGTTCAGAGGAGGGCTGTTACTTTTCGAAATAATTCTTTTTAACCGAATTTACCTCTTTACTCGCAATCATATATCTTAATGCCAACATGGTCTTACGGATGGTAGATCAACGTCACCAACTTTTGCGATTTTCGCACAATTAGCATGAAATATTTTTGATAGTTAGATAGCTGGACGTAGTGTGTACGGATTTTCCAGAGGCATTTGATAAAGTTGATCACACAATACCTTTTGCCAAATTGAATTTGTTTGGTTTGACTGACAACTCGATATCTTTATTAAAGTCCTATCCACATAATCGTCAGCTATTCACATCATATAATGACTTTGAGCCTTTTCGCTATTGACTTGAAATTGTTAATATTGAAATCAACAGCATCACCTATTGTGAGTACTTACAGTATAAATTATTTATCTATGATGGAAGATGGTGTCGATTGAATAAACTGCATCTGAATATCGCTGAATGCAGTTAGTGGTTACATTCTGTCGAAAACAACAAATAGTAATTTACCCTTATAACATCGGAAGAAATGTAATCAGTCGGCACGAAACGGTTTGTGATTTAAGCGTGACACTTAACAGTAGAATGAATTTTGCCTATGACATTACTCAAATTGTAAAAATAGAGCTTTAGGTTTTACTGTTAGAAACTGTAAGGTTATTAAAAATTTTACTGCATTAAAAACATTATACTATATCCGCTGCAAATTGGAATATGCTTTGATTTGTGGTCCTTATTATGGCTGTTATATAAATGTAATCGATCATGTTCAAAAGAATTTTTTAAGTATCAAGGACATGCTCTAGAAACAATACCTTCTTTTTTGCACCCGTGCAAATACCAACTTAGCTTTGAAATCTCCTGTAAGAGTCATGTGCATGAACGGAATATGCAGTATTTGTGATATATTTATGTTGTCTTTATTAGCTCAATAGGGTTTTATGACAGCACCTTGAATAGCGTTATACATGATATTTATTTATATACTTGTTTATTCTATTGCATTTGTAAAAATTAGTATTGTTTTTTTATTGCTATGCCAGATTTCAATTCTTTGTTCTGTAAATGAATTATAAAAATTCTTTGGATAATGAATGTTATTATTATTACTATTATTATTATTATTATTGTTATTATTATTATTTAAATCTAAGTTACTGCCACCACCCGGTATTGAATGATATAGATTTCACTTTCACATATGCAGGTACATACCAAATTCGACCGTGGAAGACTGCAGAAAAAAGCTGAGTGAGATGAAAGCTGAACTGATAAAGATGTTAGGAGATAATGGTGTCTTGCTCATTCCTACCTTTCCGACAGAAGCACATCCACACGGTGATATTTTGAGAAAAGTACTGGACTCCGGATACTGCGTGATATTTAACGCATTTGGACTACCCGTAACAAACTGTCCGGTGAAGTTTTCCAAAAATAAACTTCCTGTTGGTATTCAGGTAGGTTTTAGAAATACATATACACGTAATAATCGTCTAAAAAAATGCAATGAATGCTACCTACCTCCTAGGAGTCAGTTTCAAAAATAATGGGAGAAATATGCTGTCCAAGCATGGTTGGGCCAGTACAAATATGAATAATTACCGTATTGCATTTGTGGTAATATAAATCGATTATAGCAGCTTGATAAACTACGATGGAATTAGATGCATCGAAGCTTATGATTTATTTTTTATTTTTCAGCCAGTTCTTTATATTTTTGGTTCGTATAACAATGCACTAAGATCAAATAAATCTTGAATTTCAATTTGTATCAACGATTGAGACTGCAAAAAAATATCCAAATGCAATATAGGTATCTACACAAAGCGAATAAAAAGGTTCATTTGGCTTTTGCCCTGAAAGCGTTACCTTTCAAGCTGTGATAAAACCAGCATTGTGTTTTTTTAAATCTTCATGTTTTTTTCCGATTTTCGCCTATCGCCAGAGTAGCGATGTTGTTGTTAGTAACAATATTTTGAAATATATCACACCGAGTCTGATCAGTGGATCTAGCACAAAAATAATTTACACCAACTTTATATCTCAATCTCAAATAGTATCGGATATTTAGAACCAGACTAGATGGCTTCTTCGGATAGTAATTGACACATATTTGAGGTATGGTCGTAAGGTATTATAGCTTCACTTTACGACCATGTATTTTTGCAAGAAAGATTGAGCCACTCTTTTCCTGTTACCCCAAAAATAAAGCTTTACTCACACCCCATTGATTTAATTTTTTTTAAATCGCTTATAATTGGCCACACAATTTCTAACACAAACCATGTCATTACAGGTTGTCAGCGCACCACATAATGACAGACTCACCCTGGCCGTGGCAGCAGAAATTGAAAAAACTTTCGGTGGTTGGAAGCCGCCACAACCCAGAGAGAAAGCATGTTATTAGAATCTACTATGTATATTAAATAGTATATCAGCAGTATTTGTGAGGATTGTGATGTGTGATTTATGTTGAGAATAAGCAAATAGTTTTTTTGTTTGTACTAAATTGTGATTATTTTTGTATGAATAACTTATTGTGAATAAAATGTTTTTGTTAATAGTGAGTAACATTTATTAGTACACTGAGAAAAAAATAGTTAAACCAACTAAAACTGTAATTAGGTCAATTAAAATACGTAATCAACTATCTGAAAGCTAACAAGTTTAATTAGTGTAATTAAACTTCGATTTATAAAACAGTTTACTTGAATCTATGTACCTAGCTAGTTTAATTAAACCAAACGCAATCGTTTAATTAAATTTAAAAACAGTTCAGTTAGATTGATTACACCCTTTTATTTAACATTAATGAACGATTAAAGTGAGGAGTTTACCTGCCACAAGTAATACAATTAAATTATATTTATATATATATATATATAAATGATCATGCGGAGAAAGTTATATAACAAAAATTAGAAAAATAATGGGCAAAATCCGCAAAAAAGAGGAAAGTGGATTCGAGCAGAAAATAGGATAGGTAACCCGAGCGATACGTATTTCTGCTGGCTGGCTTCATCAGGCCCGAAATGAATGCACATATGAAACTACAAAAGTAGATACACATGCCCACACATCCGGATACGGGTGTAACCTGAGGAAACGAAGATGGAGAGGAAAAAAACGACACACGAAGTCCACAACAAGAGCCAACCTACACATTGTAGTATGAAATGGCTAGAAGACCTCGAATTTTCAAGGAGACATCTAACCACAACCACGCGGCCGGTTATAGCCACTTGCTGTGGTACTTCACGCCCAAAGGATCTACAAAGAGAAAATGATCATGCGGAGAAAGGTATATAACAAAAAGTAGAAAAATAATGGGCAAAATCCGCAAAAAACAGGAAAGTGGATTCGAGCAGAAAATAGGATAGGTATCCCGAGCGATAAGTATTTCTTCTGGTTGGCTTTATCAGGCCTGAAATGAATGCACATATGAAACAAAAGTAGATACACATGCCCACACATCCGGATACGGGTGCAACCTGAGGAAACAAAGATGGAGAGAGAAAAAAAAACACACACGAAGTCCACAACAAGAGCCAACCTACACATTGTAGTATAAAATAGCTAGAAGACCTTTTCAAGGCGACATCTATTCACAACCACGCGGTCGGTTATAGAAATACGTATCGCTCGGGTTACCTATCCTATTTTCTGCTCGAACTGCACCCGTATCCGGATGTAAGAGCATGTGTATCTACTTTTGTAGTTGCATATGTGCATTCATTTCGAGCCTGATGAAGCCAACCAGCAGAAATACGTATCGCTCGGGTTACCTATCCTATTTTCTGCTCGAATCCACTTTCCTCCTTTTTGCGGATTTTGCCCATTATTTTCCTATTTTTTGTTATATATATATATATATATATATATATATATATATATAATATATATATAATATATATATATATATATATACACAGGGTGACTTCGAAGTTGAGTCATTTATTTTAACAGTGAGTAGATCTGATCAAAAGACATGTTTTTTTCCTATAACATTTTTCTGGTAAAATTAAAGTAACAAAGTTATAGCCCTTTAGAAGTTTGAGTACCGCCCTGTAGGAATAATAATATTGTGTGCACGTGTTTGGCAACAACGGATATAATCCGCCTTATCGGTTCATCGTATCGGAAACAAAAAAGCGAAAGAATTTGAAACGCTTCTCACGATGTTTTTACTACATCAGTTGTATTTAGTCAATGTGTCAGTCGGTAACGCGTGAGTGAATAGTGGTGTTTGTTGCGTGGCTCAAACGAAATAAAAAATGGCACATGTTTACGAAAATGCTGAACTTGATTCTTATTTACGGGGTCTTTACAAAATGCTGCCGCAGCATCACGGATCTATGCGGATCGGTTTTCCAATCGAGTTTGTTAATGTAGTGCAAAGAGCTCGTGAATCAGGTGACTTAAGACCTCACAGGGGAGATCATGCCGGTGCTCCAAGACCGCACGATCAAATAGAACTAGAAGAACAAATTTTAGAATTAATAAATGATGATCCAACACTAAGCACCCGACAAATTTCAACTCAATTGGCGATTAGTCAATATAAAACTTGGAAAACTCTACGTGAAAATCAGTTCTATCCGTTTCACATACAAAAAGTGCAGGCGTTACAACCGGAAGATCATGAACAAAGGGTTGACTTTTGCAATTGGCTTTTAAATAAACATCAAAATGATGACAATTTTTTAAATCAAATTTTAGTGAGTGATGAAGCCCTCTTTACTAGAAACGGAATTATTAATTCACGTAATTCTCATGTTTGGGCTATTGAAAATCCCCATGAAATAAGGGAAACCAATTTTCAACAGCGATTTGAACCAATCAACCTGTGGGCTGGAATTGTTAATGGAATTTTAGTGGGGCCTTTTGAATTACCAAATCGCTTAACTGGTGAAAATTATCTTGATTTCTTGCAACACAATTTGCCTGGTTTACTGGAAGATGCGCCTATAAATATTAGACGAAACATGTGGGTTTTACAAGATGGGGCACCCCCCCATTATGCAAGAAATGTGCGTGAATTTTTAAATAGACAATTTAATAATCGTTGGATCGGCCGTGGCGGTTTTGTACCTTGGCCGCCAAGGTCTCCGGACTTAAATCCTTTGTTTCTGGGGTTGGCTAAAATCTCTAGTGTATAAAACACTGGTTAATACACGCGAAGAATTACGTGCTCGAATTTAGGAAATGAGTACAGTGATCAGAAATCAACCAGTGATTTTATTGCGTGCTTGTAAAGAGACATGGCTAAGACGCGCCCAGCTCTGCGTCGAGCAAAACGGAAATCATTTCACTGAAATACTTGTCGGGAGGATACTTTATAAAACAAGGTAACATTTTTTTTATTTTTTTTTTATTTTCACACACACATATTTTGGTTTATCTTCCTTCTACAATTATCTGAAAATTAATGACTCAACTTCAATATGCATACATAAATCTAAAATATTGCCCCAATGCGGATTTCGAAAAGGCTATAATAGTGAAGGCGCGTTCGGTACCATAAATCATCGTCGTTTGATAGCCAAGTGTAAATTATACGGATTTTCTGATACCTCAGCTAATATGATACAGACCTTTTTAGATGATCGATTTCAGAGGGTAAACATTGAAATGGTTTTGTCTCCTAAGTCCCTCATTTCCTCTAGAGACGGCAAGGATCTGTACTTGGAACACTGCTATTAATTTCATATATCTCAGATCTACAAGCCACTGTACAGCATTGCAGCATTCAGTGCTTTGCTGATGATTCTCAAATGTATAATCATTTTTGTAATTGCAACATGCAAACCGCCATATCGGAGGTCAATGACGACCTTAAGTCTATTAGCAAGTACGCTAAAAGCCATAACCTTCAGTTAAACCCCTCAAAATTAAATTCATTATTTTTTACCAAAACCTTTTAGAAACGGCATCAAGAATAATTTCGCTATAAGCCTAAATGGTTCTACTATTGAGGTAAGTGAATTGATCAAAATTTTGGTTATTAGTTTTGGTGAATGTCTTAAGTTTATACCATACGTGAACAATATAAGTAAGAGTTGTTTTTTCCATTTTACACCAATATACCGCAATAAACAATTTCACAACTATAAAACTAAAAAAAATGTGATTCACTACTTATGTCAAAAATCACTCACTGTGATATAGTTTACCATTTCTAGTTACAGTATCCCTTGCACGTGTTCAAATAAATTCAAAATTCTTGTGGAAGATTGATCAACAACTTAAGAAAGTATGATCACATCAACTTTTTCATAAAAGTCATGGAGTGATTGAGGATAAAAGAGCTGTATGAATTACTCTTAATGTGTTATACTCATAAAGTGTTACTCGCATCCTTATCTCTATTTTTGAAAAATAACCTAATATCTAGAAACCATATTCATTCAAGGGACATTAGTTTCACGAAGACTTTTACTATGCCTCTTCACATAATGTCATTCTTCCGTAATTGCTTCACATTCAACGCAGTTATTTAAAAAAATTCCACAAACGTTAAAATTGTTAATATATGATGAATTTAAAAGACGTGTCAAAAAACACATTTTCGATAAATTCATCATGATTTGCTCAAATGTACCTCTCACTTCATAAAAATGTTTCAATGTTAATTATATTTCGTATCTTTGTATACATATCTGTTATATTTTAGAATTTCATTCAGCATATTTTTACACCTATTTTCACATACCTGTTTTAACTCATTATTGAAACATTGAAATCTGTTATGCTTTGTATATTTGCTTTTGTGGCTTAGTGGCAGAATAGCCTCTAAACTAATAATGATTGAAGTGGATTAATAATAATTATTGCTGATGGTTATATTAATAATATATTTGTAGACACACTATTGTTAAGAACCTTCATTACCATACCCCACCGAAATGAACGAAAAGTGAAAGTTCCTCTTGCGAATTGTCGATACATAATATTTAGTTACACGCTGCGACTCATTATGGTTATTGCTAAATAAGTGTTATTTTGAAAGACGAGGACCTTAACCTCCACAGAAATGTGTATTTAATATGATGATAAGAGAGGACACTTGCAGTTGTTCCAGTTTTCTACGCGAAGAAGTGCAGTCAAGTAAGTGCAACAGCTAAGAGACTTACATGTTATGTTATATAATTTGTAGAATGAGGCCAGTCGGTGAGATATTCCATCTATGTAGATATGTGTGTAAACAGAGTATGTATATGGTATAGCTATGCGCTGAGAGTATAATGATTTGTGAAAAACTTGCGCTAAAATACATATCACTTATATGCTTTGGACGTATACCTACATAAGAGCCTAAGAGCCGTAGCAGGTACTATAAATCAAATAGCACATAAACGGCATCCCTCAAAAAAAATATGGAAACGTTTATAAAGAATTGCGTACTCTACAATTTTGATAATATCTAATTTTTGGTTACTCGTACCGTTCCAGAGAAATATAAAAAATTGTTAATTTTGACGTGTAACCTTCTATAGAAAAGTTTGAGCTCCAATGATCTAATGGAACTTTTGATATATTAATTAGACCCATTGAAGGCCTAAAGCAATTTCAAAGTGGGTATTTTTTTTCTAAAATACGACGTCCCATTCGTTCATTTTGATCGAACCTTCAGCAGACCGGAATGTGTTTGAATAGTATGGATCTTTTTTATTTTTAAGCATTTTGAATTCAATTGTTTTATAAATACAGAAAGGTTATGTTCGTTATGGAATGACTATTTAGAAAAATCACTGGTACTTTTTTAACACACTCTGTATAAGAAATATGTATTTTAGTAGAAGTAGCATACATCAATGCTTTGACATATATATATATATATATATATATATATATATATATATATTCAGATTGAACGGTCAATGGCGTACACATCTATAGACATTATCTTTCAATTTTTAGTTTGAGAACAATGTATTTTGTTCAGGCAGAATTATTAGGTCAAACTATCATCTGAATCAAATGTTATTGGATGGCGGTGATATGTGAACTGCTGGTAGCAATACAAGCCATTTGCTACAAGCGTATTAAGCTGCAATAGAATGTGAAAGGTCCAAATTTTCTTTTAGAATATTTTGCCAAATAGATAGTTATTTTTTAAACCTTCTCTTATCCAACGAAAAGGCCGGCCGGCCGAATGTATTTACGCAGGTTGTCACTGTTGCTGAATAAAAACACGTGCATTTCTCAAAATTTATTTAAAATACAACTTTTTAGCTGCATTTTAAAAGTGCTCAAAAGGTACTACTTACATTCCATGTTTTGGACGACGGACGGTATGATTACATTTTAAATTTTATTTTATTATAAAACTGCTATATTCAATTTAAAACTTTGCACATCGACGCTGATTGATATAATTACTTGAACTGTATAAATATAGCAACATAATAGTACGTAGAGGCTAACAGAGTGAATATGAGTGTGTAATCCAGTTGAAAATACTTCCCTGCTGTGATGGATGGAGCTTTAAGTGTTAGAAAATGGACCAGTAAGCTCAGACTTTCGTGGAGATTAAAATTATTCTGCTTATGTTCTTCTGTTACTGATATTTTTGCTAACCTTTCGAGGATATCCATTGAAGCTGATTTTACCTCTTTGTTGATACTTGCGCCAGCTGAGCACATTATGCATAATAAGAGCTGGAAAACAATCAAAATGGTGTTTTCAGTGATATATATTTAGGTGAGACCCGTGCAAAATGAACGCCTAAAGTCACTGCTATTATTACAGGAATGTTGATTATTATAACATTGAGGAAAACATCAAAAATGATCCTTGATTTAGTCGGATTCAAGGAGTAAATGCTTCTTAAATAAAATTGTAGACATCAAAACCATATAATATTCAAAAATATGTCTACTTTGCCCTGATCTCCGAGTAAATAATAATAATACATATAAAAAATAGGTAGGTTTAAGTTGTAGTCACCGTTCTTGGCGGGTCAAAGTAAGACTAGCAGTATCCCTTTATATATCTCCATCTCCCTCATACACACACATGCAACCTACCCCCCATGTTCGGTAAGCTTAAAGACATACATTTTTTAGTTGAGTGTCTCCATCTCGAAAACTTTGTCGTTACGTATGAGCGCCCTTCAATCATATTTGTCAGAGTGACAACTTACTTGACATCGGCGTGCAATTTGAGATGTCCTTTAATATTTAATATAAAATTGTACAATGCCTGGAAATTCGATCAATGGAAAAGGCCGACAGCACGTGTTAAATTTACTTATTGCGCTGAAGATTGGTCTGCGCAGTGTTCCGCCCATGGTACGGAGACTCTGTCTGTTTACTTATTTGATATGGAGTTGATGACGTAACCGCCAAGAACGGTAGCTACAACTTAATTTTATACAAAAACAGACTCCCTCAAATATGTTTGATGTGGTCAATTTCAGAGTCAAAGTGACAGTTCAAAACCAATATTATTTGTCATTTTTTCGAATTGTAATTTTTGCTCACACAGGGTGGTCAAAAATGCAAATTGTAGTTTTTCTCAAAAATTTCAAATGCATCACCCTGTATATTTGTGCAAATTTGGATTAAATTTTTCATAAGCTTTTTTTGATACTAGACACATAAGGTTTTTACGGCTATTTTTTCGGTTATTAGCACGTCTTCTATGGAACGGTATAATTCCTTAAAATATTGCATCATCCTTGGAAACAAATAAATTGTTGATTAGTTACAAACTGTCAAAATTAGCTTTGTGAGTATTATTATTAAAAACGTGTTTGAAAATGAATTTTTCTAAAGAAGAAATGGTGAATACGGTGTTCGTTTTGGGTGAAGCCCAATGAAATAGTTTCCTAGCATCTCGCATTATATCTTGGCCTATATCTTGGCCTCCGAGATCACCAGATATGACACCGATAGACTTCTTTCTATGGGGCTACGTTAAGCAAGAGGTTTATAGATATCCACCATCTGCCCCGGAAAATATGAAGGGAAGGATTAAGGATGCTTTTCTGAACATAAGGGAACACATGCTGAGGGATGTGCAATGGTCATTCATCCAAAGACTACGACTGTGCATTTAACATGATGGAGATATTTACGAGCAGTTTTTGTAGATTAGCTCTTGAGTAGTGATAATTGTAGGTTTATGTTGTTATTATAGTTGTTTTTCTCTATTACGCTTGAAGCTGAATACTGTTCTGATCGTTATTAGTTTTTACGTCAAATCTATACTCTTAGTGGCAATATGCAACTAGCCCACTGTTTGTCTTTTGTTTCCATGGATGATGTGATTTTTGTCCTTAATTTTAGTGTGTTATTCTATTAAAAGCTTAATAACTCAAAATCTAGCGATTTTATCTGAATCAAACCTTATACCAAAAAAAAAAGCTTTTAAAAAAGTGAATCCAAACTTGCACAAATATACAGGGTGATGCATTTGAAATTTTTGAGAAAAAGTACAATTCGCGTTATTGACCACCTGTATGAGCAAAAATGAAAATTCGAAAAATAACAAATAAGATAAAAGGTGAGGCGTGTAAGTTTTTTGTATACAAAATTCAGCACTCCAAATTTCAACATGGCGGATTGACGGGTTGCCGAAGTGGACGGTTTTTCTGGACAAAACACCTTACATCTCAGTAGCTAATTACCAAAACCCCATAGTATGTTATATCAATCTTCTTCTTTTGAATAGTAGGTCAAAACTGGGACACTCTGTATAATTGCCAATATTTTAGAAATGTGCCTTCAAATATCATGTATAACATGCCATTTATGAGTAATATTCCGTCCACTCATGGATGAGCCATATATATATATAAATACAACTCATTTGATATCACACTATCAAGGCAATGTAAAAACGTGAATATATTTTTTATCAATGAATTGAATGAAATTGAATGTATGAAGACAAAGAACACAAAAATGATTAATAAGATGGAATATACTCACCCAAAAATTGGCAAATATGAGAAGATTGATACCATGAGCACCAGCTGCTTCAACCTTCTGCTTAACAAGATATTTCACCAGCATTATAGTGCATATACACACAAACCTTGCAAGAAATACGAAATATAGCGATATAATGAAGATACCAAATATTTCGCTTAGACTGTCTATCAAGTAGTACACCTTTCGGTACAGTGATACAAGTAAAAATAGCCCTGGAGATTTGGCGGGCTGCGACCAGTGACATCTTTTCAAATCTAGATTCCGCATTTTTTTGTTAACGATTACTAGTAGACGTCGGACTGTCAGAAGGTGGTCCTGGAAGAGCAAAATTATACAAAAAAGAAAGCAAGCAAAAGTTCAAATTATTACGGCAGAGAGGGCTACAAAATTATATGTACAATCGGATAAAATGAACAACATAGAGTAATTTTTAAGTATGTTTAAAAATTAAAGAAAATGACCGCACTATTGTATCGCAGGTACTTGCGCCATTGTCTAGCAATGATTAAATAAGAATAATTCCCGTGGACGCTATACTGTGTACAACATATAATTTAAACATAGCGGGCTCTAAATTCATTTTGCCGCTTTAGAGCACAAACGAGAAACATGAAAGCTTTGTTTCCAATCATTATTGGTCTAGGCTCCAATATGAAAATTCTTGAAAACGAGGGCATTGGATAACCAGTAGAAACTATTCCTTCACCTTTTCTGGTGGGTTTTAACGCCTGTTTTGAGGATTATCAAATACGTTTGTGAATTCATCCATTTTCAACAAAATAATATGACCCTAGATTTCGAAACTCATTAAACAAGTTTCAGCACAAAGCTAATGTCATCTTAGGGATGGAACTGACGCACGATGGCAAAACTTTCACATTTTTCTCGGAGAGCCACACTTCTATCAATGATATTTGACTTTCCTCCAAAAGCTAATAGAATCTGACACACTTTCTATTGGTGATTCTACTCCCTCATTTTCAAGAATTAACTTCCAGATCGCAAAATAAAGGATCCTTCCCGTAGGTTGTAATATAAATGTGCACGCACATCGAGAAGAGAGACAATCCGTGGCGTGTGAAAATGTTCATGGTTGAACATCGTTAATTGACAGTTTCGCCCAACATGAATCGCTTCCTTTTTCTTCAATATAGGTGCAACTTTTCTATACAAGTTATGTAACAAAAAACTGGCTATAATCTACGTCGCGTTCTGATGTTTGTTTTGACACAGCGTAAATGGCATTTGAACACACTTTAGCTTAATAGTGGAGAACCCTGTATCATGGTAATGTTCATTTAGGACGTATGTGTGCTTTTAGGAACTTTTCTAATTTTTTGATGTACGAGGTCTGTAAATTAAGTGACAAGACGGGCAACGTAGCATTCGATCTGGCAACACTGGAGGGGTACTAAGGGAGACAGGGAAATATTTGACCCGTCTCCAGTGTTACCAGGTCTACCGATTTGTCAGTAGATCTACCGATTTTGGTCCTGGTCTACCGAACTACCGATTTTAAAGAAAATCTACCGGAAAGTGGACTTTTCTTTCAATTGAATACTTTTTGTTCCCTATGTAAGAGAAATATTTCTGATGCATAGCGATAAAAAGAATGACAACAGTACAATTGTTATTCGTACTAGAGCCGATATATTTTTATTGTCTTTGCCTCACATTGGTGTGCCACATACGCTGATTCTTCGCATACTCGATGATTTGGCTACATCGCCTAGGCCTAGCGGCTCGTGACAAGTACATGCCTGTATTGTAGGATTTGTATGGTTTCGTGTACTTAGTAATTCCGAATTCGGCCAGTATTAATATTGCCTGTCTTGCAGTCATTCTTTTTTCGCGTGCGTGTGCCCAACATTATAAGGAGAACGGGGAAGAATTGCCAGATTTCCAAGGCTGGCTTAAAAAAGCAATAAAGGGCGCGATTATGCGAAATGCATGGTCTGTGATAAAGATATTAATATCAAAAGTGGAAGAGATGCACTTATAAAACACGCAAATGGGCAATTTCATAAAAAAGTGCAAACCATAGCAAAACAGCCAAAACTGTTGTCATTTGCAGTTGCAGGTGCATCAAAGAAATTAGAAAATGATATTATTAAAGAAGGTCAAATTTTTTAAATTCGTTTGAGCGCATTTTTGGCTGAGCATAATTTGCTATTCTTGCCAATGGACCATTTGGCAAAGCAAAATTAGTAGATAATATGACTGATAAAAATGAATCGGAAGAATGATTATCCAATATAGCTTACACATTTTTTATTTTATACACTTTTTCTGTTTTTTAATAAGAATATTTTATTTTTAGTTAGTAAGATATAAACTGTTTATTTTGTCTTTCTGTTTTATAGTATATTTTGAGTTAAGTAAAATTGTTTTAAGTAAATGTCTTCATTTACTCTTCGGTATTCAATCTACCGAAAAACTACCGAAAAATTCCATACAATTCTACCGAAATATCGTCGACTCCACCTGGCAACACTGCCCGTCTCCAGTACATGTTTGAGCTCGCTCGAGTCAGTTGGTTGTCCGTAGCGATTTTTTTTGTGAAACAGTTTTTCGTGTTAGCTACTAAAAATCAATCTCGAGCAACGGTTTGCTATCAAGTTTGGCTTCAGACTTGGGCACAGTGCAACAGAAGAGTTAAATTTAACTAGCACCGACGTTCATCAGATCAATATTAATTAGATCTTGCATCGCGATAATGCTCCTTGTCACACAGCAATGTCAGTGAACGAGTTTTTGGCCTGTAAAAACATTCCTGTGGCTCGTCAACCTCCTTATTCACCTGACTTGGGTACTTGTGACTTTTTTCTCTTCCCGAAGTTATTATTATCACCTCAAAGACACTCATTTTGACCAGCCGAAGGCGATTCCCGTATCGGAGTTTTGAGGGTGACAATATGAAATTATAATTATATTTGAATAAAAAAAATAAAAAAAAATCAGTCTCATCACTTAATATACAGACCTCGTATGATTCTGAGTATTCTCATATGATGCAATACAATCTTGGACAATTTTTAGGAACGATTTTATCTAAATAGGAACATTACTGTCCACTATGCTTGCCTAAACCAAATTTTGAGCCCATAGATACTTCTGCTCTACGCGTCGAGATCTACAACACGAAACCCATTTTTTGAGGGTTCGAGGTCCCTCATAAATACAAGTACAAATGAATGTTCGACTGAAGTTTCATACAGAATAAGCATATTACGTGTACCAAAAACCAGAAAATTCCTAGGGTAACGCCATAATCAAAAGTTTGTACCACAATGTTGACCCACATGGATCTTGGAAAAAGCATGACCAAGTAAACAGCACAAACTATTATATTCATTTGAACAACAACCATGTAAACGTAGAACCAGTTGCTTCTCTTCAGCAGAAGTCCAGGCCAATAGAACTTCAATTGATCTTGAAGATATTTGACATTCTTGTGATGGTCATATAATTTGTCTAGCTGGAAAGAATCAGTGAATATTTTAGACTAATTGAACTCGCGTTTCTAGGTGTTATGCATTACTATTACATATTTATAGAAATATCTGTAATCTTTTATCCAAGAATCCCGAAAAGGCAACATATTTGGGAATATTTAAGTAAAAATAAAATACTCGTATTAAGGATTTATGAATTTAACTTTGAATATGACCTTGAAAGTAAATTCAAGGTAGAGGCACATTTTTAGAAGAAGAGCCTATACTTCTGATCCCAGTAACGGACAGACCAAAAAATTTCGCCTGCCTGTTCGAAAATTATTTTGACCATGAACGCCTCTGGTCAAGACTATGTCTAAAAGTAACATTTTCCGTTCTATCCGATTCAGAGATCAAAAGTGTGGGAAACCAAGAAATCTTGATTTGATCGTGAAGGTCACAGTAAAGCCACCAGTTCAAAACCAGGTAAAAGGCCTAAGTTTCTGTGAAGTTTATGTTCGTTTTTCAAAGATTTTTGAAATATTTCCAAACTAAGGTTTTCTCATGGCAACCTTGACCAGGACTTTCAAGGACAAAATAATCTTCACGCAAGGTCATAATTGGATGGAGATGTATCATCCTTTTCCGGATTCAAAAAGTATGGGATTCTATCAAATATATTTTTTTAGATTGGCAAACAGGATTTAGGCGACCTTTTGGAGCTTTTTTATCTTCCTGACCATTGAGCGCATTATATGCCTTGGGCATAGAAAAATATAGATTATAAATTTCGACAAACTACAGCATTTTTTATCCTTTTTTTATTCTGTCTTGGAGATTTGTTTTTGAAGAGTATTTTTGTTTTTCTTATACAGCACCAAATGAGTAAGAGGGTGATTTACGGAATTCACTGCATACATCCATATTTTATTGTTCAATCTCTCAAAAATGACATGAATAACAAGTAAAACACGCTTTAGAGTTGATGTTTCTCCATTGAACATATCTCTCAGTTCTATAACGAATTCATAACTTTTCGAATAGCAACTTACCTGAAGGTAGCTCGTATCACAGACAAATATAATCAATGATGCAAAGATGGACAAACCTATAAGATGAAGTAATACCGATGATACTGTGCCATTATCATAATCCAACATCATCGTAAAGAAAAATAAGTATTTAGCAGTGATCATGGTTGCCACAAAAATTACAAAGTACTTTGCCCATTTCCTAGATTTCTCATTCAAGATATCCAGCACAGCCTTTGAAATTTTTCTGTTAGGCTCAGAAACGTTTAAGGATTTGATATACATGCTGAACTTCACACGTTGCGCGTCACAGTTTGGCTACGTAGATATCATTTGTGATTGAAAAACTTTCCTAATAAACTAAAGTAACTCTCATCAAGTTTGAAAGGCAATCACAGTGGAGAGGTCTTCCTAGTTCATTTTTCATTAGTAATCATTATTAGAATAAAATGGTATACAATAAATTGTTTGTGTATAGTCACTTTATGTACGATCTTTTTTCTTTTTAATTTCAGTACAAACACAGGAAAGTTACTGGTGTGTAATGTATCAAGGTTTGGTATTCGACAGTATTTTCAGGGACTCTTTTTCAGGCAAGCTTATGTTAATTCAAAACAAAAAATGTTGGGAGTTTATCACTTTAGTAACAATTGAAACTTTCTGTATGAGTAGTAAGCAAAAGCTACATGTGAAAGCCATTATTGACACAAATTTGGTCAACCTCCCAAATTCTCTTGAAAATCGAACTTTAATTCAGTATACTTTGGTCACATCCAGAAGTGATCGATGCAGCTAGTAAATGACTGAAGTATCTGCCTGCGTTTTTAGTTTTGGTTAAATCACAGATAATGCCATTACCTGTGCTGGGGGTTAAATGAACAAATTATATAGATATGGACTTATCTGCAATTTCTGGATAACGGGTCAGAAATCCATTCGTACCTACTCGTTGAACGTTATTGGCTCTTTCTGTGTTAAGATCAATGAATATTATTTTCAGAAATACATCGACATGAAAAATGATTTATTGCTGATTTTTTTCGGGTGCTTGCTAGCTTCAGTACTATCACAATCACCAGATGAACATGAAACATATGAGACAGAATCCTACCGAACACATCATCGGCCAGGTCCTCTTGCAGTTCTTGGGAAAAATATAGGAAAAGTTATCGAGGACACAGTTGTTCAAAAGGTAATTTAACACGTAGAAAAAAATAATCCGATGAGATAAAGATGACAGAAGTAATAAACCGTCTACCAAAACATTTTGAAAAAACTGGTTGTGGGTCTCCCATCTCATTTTTACTCAAGTTTATTTATTTTTTTTTTGATAAAAATTTTTCTCCTTTGCAATAAATCGCACTCTCATATTATAACAACAAAAAAATTCTTAATGCTACTTCTGGGATTACGTGGTTATAAAGTGCCTGGAATTTCGACATTGTGGGGGCTAATTCAGTTTTTGATGTTAAATTTAAAATATGTGAACACTGCCTCATTCCAATTACGAGTCAATTTTTAGGGCAATTTTAATTATTTTATGTAAAAAACGTCATTTCATGACACTTTATTCTATTCATTATAAGTAACAATATTCTTAACCATGAATCAGTGCTCCACAAACAATTAACATTTACTTGCATCTGTACTTAGCGCCAAAAGTGGCGACAGGATTGGGTCAAAGATTTGCAGTCCCGGTTCGGTTCGATTTAAAACAGAAAATCATGAGACTTTCAGGACATTGACTTCTCAGGACTATTCTCTGATATAGAGAACTTAGTTACACCTATTTTCGTGAAGTATTTTTTACACCGAGCAGGCAGAAGCCTAAATGCCAGGCTACCGCGGCTGCTATGAAGACCCCAAAGAAATTTGGTGATCCGATTTTTAAACAGACTAAGGCTCCTTCCCTCGGACAAAGTAGATGTCGTATAGGCCAGTTCTGGATATACGAGTTCGGCACGGTTAGGGGGGGGACGCCGAAGGCAGACGGGTCTGCCTGGAAGGCAGATCGCGCGGCGGCATCATGGAGGAGCAAAGCCTGTTGGTATAGCGGTAGAAGAGAGCTAGATCGCTGACGGCCCCCCGGTGCGAAAGGGTCCCGAGACTCTGTTAGATAAGTGTCATCGATTAGTCGGACAGCACTTCTCTAAAAATCATCGAACACGGATAACGTAGTTGGGGTGGCTGCTGTGAGCAATACTCAAGGGCCTTGTGTAGTTTGAGGAGGTTTTGCGGAGAAAAGTACTTTTTATCCCTAAACAGATAGCCTAGCTTTTTCCCTGTAGTTGCCGCTATTGACGAAATGTGTTCGTGCCAGATCAGACCTCGGTGAGCTGAACTCCGACCAGCCGAAATGAACGGCTCTTTGACAGAGCTCGGCCATCCATCGAAGCCGGATGAGCATAGAAGCATTAAACTGTACAAGATTGTTAGGTCCCAAGCAGTGATAATCTCCAAGTCTCTCGTCAGAGAGGAAGTTGCTGATAGTACTCTTTTTTTCCAGCTCACCGGCAGAGATCGGCCTGTCGCTCTGAATCCCTGCATGTACAGTGCTGACATCAGCAAAGCTGTGGATTGGGTTGTTCGTACAGGAGGTCGTTGATATGTAAGAGGGACAGGGTCGGAGCTAAGACCGATCCCTGGGCCTGTAGTTGTAAGGGTCGGTCTTAGATCTCTTTTTTGGGATGGGTTGAAAATGTGCAAATTTTGGGTTTTCTGGGAAGGTGCTGGATTCGTAAGATATCTCAAAAACACGCGAAAGAATTGGAACAAGCTTTGCTGCACGCCTCTTCAATACAACGACAGGAATCAAGTCCTGACCAGAAGCTTTGCGATGTCGAGCGATAAGAGCACCCATCTTGCGGTATTATACCTGAATGTTACTTCCCGTATAGTGTGGGGAACCCTTTGAATCGTTGGCGCTCGCGATCTTGCTTGCGCCCAATTAAAGCTCATTATAGGCATTGAAATCATCGAGGAGAACTACCTCTGCAGCGGTAAAGGTTGCTGCGGACCAAAGCCACAACTCCCCGTTCTTTCTCAGATTTGAGCGCACCTCGTAATTTGGGAAGCTAAGATAATTAATAGGTGCTGACTCCGAGATTTTTGTCTCCACCAAGAAAAGCATGGCGGAACGATTAGATTGCAGATAGCAATCAAGAGCGTCAATGTTGCTCTTTCTGAGAATGGAGTGAGTTTACGTCTGCAATTCTTAGTACTCGAGGGATCCATCAACATTTATTTCTTTGTTAGGGAAGATAACCAACTGCGTAGCTTAGGTGTCGAAACATCCGGACATTTTTAAGACACCCTGGAGCGGGTGGTACCTCCTCGGTCGACTGGTCCTTGTCTACTACCTTTTTTGCATGTTAGGATAGTGAATATACGAGATCCAAACCGTTAAGCATTTAGTTGTATCAAAACGGTTGATCAAAATTCAAAATTAGTGTTTCTGCCGTATGACTTAGAGTATACAAGTTCATACAAGTACAGACTTTACGTATCACAAATACACATTGAAATCTAAAATAGTGTTGTTAAGATAATGCCAGAAATTACTTTAATGGCTTATCTCTGGAGTCCAAATAGATGGCTTGCTGACGGAGCGTGTCCCCACACCAACACAGCATAAGTTAGATGGGAATGGAATACCGCAAAATAAGCTGTTCTCAGTGCACTTTTTGTAACACAGTGTTCCGTCAATGTCGACATCCCACTTTAATCCGGCATCAAGGTGTACTCCAAGAAACTTGATCGTACTGACACTCTTGGATGAATCAATACTTCTAGTTGAAAAAGCCATTTATACTGTTTTTTCTTTATTCATCATCAGCTCATCTGCAGTAAAACACTCCTCAGCCTTACAGCGTACCACCTGTATATTTATGTAGGATTTCTCAAAAGTATCTGCAGTAGAAAAACAGTTGTATCATCTGCTAAAAGCGTACTTGCGTCCATAAGTGGAAGGTCATTTATATATATTAGAAAGAGAATGAGGTTTAAAACTGGCCCTTGGGGGACCCCATACTTTACCTTGACTATTTGTAATCTGTCTTGGAGGAACGATTTCAGGAAATGAATGCTATCCTCACTGAAAATCGCTGAAAAACTTTTGTGTTTCAAGAAATTTAGTTAATGTCAGTCAATTGATCCATACAATATTATCCAGTATGATATCTGCCAACTTTTACATACGTCCACAGGATCAAATTTCTGTCATTAGAGCGGAAATATTATTATGTGATTATAAGGCAAGCAGGGGACAGTCAATATATTCTGAAAATTTCCAAATACTAGGAACGAACGTGCTATAAGTGCTCGATATCAGTATCCATTTGGAATAAAATTTCATAGGTCGGTGTCTCTATGTAACTTTTGATTCGATATCAAACAAACATTAATACTAAATGTATGCCTTTTCATTCGCCATTTACTTTGTCTGCAGATAGTAGTACCAGGTAACTCATTTCCCGACTCCGGTCGCACAAGAGCTGTTTTAGAAGAAAAATCTCGAGAATCTCCAGCCATTCAACTGGATATTAAGTATGGCAACCTGCAGCAGAAGTTTGCGGACTTTAACGACTACAAGCCTATTGTGGACACTATCAGTGAACACGAAAAATATGGAAATGATGGGCAAAAAGGAAGAGATGTCGCCAAAATAGCCATTGATGGCTTTGAGGGATTCTCTAATGTCCTGAATTCACTCGTCGAGGTAATATACCAATCACGTGTAGGCGACGTTAAATTACACAATACATCCACCATAGGGAGTGTAACTCCACCACTTTACACAATCACAAATCTCTCGGCGAGCAGCACCAATTCAGTGCTGCCACACACCTTAGTGTCTACAGAGTGATTCAAAAAATAGGCAATACTTCTACCGCAGAAATGACATCCATAAATAACAAATACTCCCCAGGAGATATGTCGCAATAAGTCCAATTAAATATAAATTTCTACGCTACTGATGAGACTGAATAAGGACAAGTATGTCAATGTCCAAATAACGCTATGGTGAGATACACCGTATACAATTTCCAACGCCAAATTTCACTAGCTGCAGCTAATTTTCGAAGTAGAACAGGTTACTGTTTTTATTAGGATCTTACCTCACATATGCCTATCAAGCTTCCTCTAATAGATGTAGACTGTTCAAAATTTATCTGGAGTGGTCATTCATGTAAAATTGAATTGAAAAGAAAAAATGTTTTAAATAAATCGCAGCAAATAATTTTATTTTTTCTTCTGTAGTGCCCAATTACTACGCCACTGATGTAGCCTGGCGTATTTTTTAGTTACCTACTGATTGTGCTCTTGGTACTACATGATCAATATGTTATATCAATACCTTAAAATCCACTCCAAATATATTTTTGATGTCGAAATGTTTATATGAGCTTTCCGCTTACTTTCTGCTCTGCTTTGGTAATATTGCCAGCGTTTTCTGAATAATGCTGTAGAAGAAGAGCGATTTTGAATACCATGTTTTCTGCTACTTATTTCACGTAAAACATTTGATTTCAGATTAGACGTGAAATTCCAAGATCATACTTTTTGTCAAAAGTGTCTAGTAGCAACGTCCAAAATTTAAAATTTCTTGATAACTGTTAGACAGCATGAACGTTATCGCTGTTAATAAATTAAACATTTGTATTTTCAGTTGCCTTATACTGGAGTTAGGCAGTTTGGAAAGAAGCTGACGACCAATCTTAATGCAATAGGTGGAAAACTAGTTGGATTATCCTGAGATTTTTTTATTCGAATATTGTTGTTTTATAAATAAAAAAATGTAAAATATTATGTTGTATTCACTTTCAAAGCCGCTTATTGATTACCTATCTACAAACAGCAACATGCAAGATGATATTTCCACTTTCGGTTTAATGACTGGCTATGTTATTTGTATGTTTAAGATTTATCTAGAATGATTACTGCAATTAACATTCTTCTAAAAAACTAAATAATTACATAACATACAGATATTTAAAAAAAACTAAATTTACATCTCTAAGAATTTTCACTGTCCATGAAATATTCCTTTAATTTTCTTTTAAACATCTTTAAATTACAAGTAGATTTTATATCATTTTATAGTTTATTAAATTTAAGTAATCCTTTCTGAAATATTGATTTGCTAGTTATATACTATTGCAATTTTGTAAATGAAAATCTATATTTCCTCTTGTATAATAATTGTGGTAATGATTATTCAATTATATGTAGTATTCTACAGGGTGGGGCAAAAGTCACGAAGGGATTTGAAAAATTAATAACTTTTTTAAATTTATTTTGTTTTCATTTTTTTTTTCAGGACCGTGTAAAATAAATCCTGGAGATTAATTATGGAGCGTTACAACCTCAATCAACGAACCAAACTTATAGAATTTTATTTTGAATATCACCATTCAATAATTCAAACTCAACGAGCATATCGTCGTCATTTCAATTTGCGGAATTCGCCCTCTGAATCAATCATTCGACGCTTAGTGGCACGATTTCAGCAACAAGGCACAGTTATGGATCTCCCACGAAGCGGAAGGCCACGTTCCGCAAGAAATGAAGGGAACATTCAACGCGTTCAAGAGAGTGTTCAGGAGAATCCGGAAACCTCAACCCGAAGACGTTCTGCTGAGCTGCAGATGTCTCAAAGGTCTTTACGCAGAATATTAAGAGGAAATTTACATCTGTTTCCATATAAAGTGCAGCTAGTGCAAGAACTAAAACCAGCAGATTTTCAAGAACGACTAACTTATGCAGTTCGCTTGCAAAGAATGGCTCGAGAAGATAATGAATTTATTCATTCTCTGATCATGAGCGATGAAGCCCATTTTCATTTGAATGGCTTCGTAAATAAGCAGAACTGCAGAATATGGGGTACCGAGAACCCAAGGGTGGTTCATCAAAGGCAATTACATCCGCTTAAATGTACAGTATGGTGCGCAGTTACGTCTCAACGAATTATTGGACCATTCTTCTTCGAAGACCACGATGGGAATGCTGTATCTGTAGATGGCGACCGATATCGTGATATGATTCAAAATTTCTTAAGACCAGCTCTTGCTGACAATCAAACGATGACTTTCCAACAAGATGGAGCCACTGCGCATACTGCTCGAGCCACTATGCACCTTCTAAGGCAGATTTTTGGCGAACGTTTAATTTCGAGAAATTCAGGATTCAATTGGCCCGCCCGCTCGCCGGACTTAACAGCCCCTGATTATTTCCTTTGGGGATATCTGAAAGGAAAAGTGTATATTAATAAACCCACAACCCTGCAGCAACTAAAAGATAATATTCGAGCAGAAGTAAGTGCTTTGGGGCCAGATATTCTGACTCGGGTAATGGAAAATGCTCTTGCAAGAGCTGCACTTTGCGAGGCTGAAAATGGCGGTCATTTGCGTGATGTAATCTTTCACACTTAAATTGTAAACAAACTCCAAACATTGCATTTTAGTTTTGTGTTAGGGAAAAAAATTAAAATTAAAATTTAAAAAAGTTATTAATTTTTCAAATCCCTTCGCGACTTTTGCCCCACCCTGTAAATGTTGTGGCAAAAGGTGATTTTTTTATTTTAAATATAAAAATAAGAACCAAATATGATATAAAAATTTTTATATTCAACGATTGCAATTCTTGTAACATAGATTTTATTTTGGTGTACTCATTTATATTCAATATTATTCTCATAGCTTTATTTTGAAGGACTTTTAATTTTGAGAATACCAGCTTCATTGGCAGTGAACAAGATAGTAAATGTGGTAAAATAATTGTATTATAAACTATTTTCTTGGAATATGTACCAAGACTATGAGAAGCCCTATAAAAGTAATTTACTTTTTTGGCCATTTTTGACATAATGTATTCACAGTGAGCCTCAAACTTTAGGTTACTATCAATATATACTATATACCTAAATATTTAATTGATTCAACATTTTTAATTATTTCCCCATTTATCCTAACTGTGTGTCAATTTTAGTTTATTTACATTTAAGCAATTTATGATTTTTGCCATGTCAGAATTTAGCATTTTTAAAACAGTGCCTACATTTTCATCTGATATGATTAGTAATGTATCATCTGCAAATATCTGAATTTTACAATAATCTAAAATATTACAAATGTCATTAATGTGTAAAATAAATAGTAGAGGACCTAGTTTACTACCTTGAGGTATAATATTATTATATTTTTTGATCTTGATAATGTAGATCCAATTTTGGTTTTTTGACTTCTATCAATTAAATAGTTTTGTAGAATTTTGAATACGTAGCGATGTAATTTTGTAAGTAATTTATCACTGTCAATAGTCTCAATCGCCTTTTGTAGTCCAAAAACACGGTTACTGTATGTTTCCTATTGTCCATACATCTCCTCCAGTCCTCTAAAACCATTTGTGTTGCCGTTTCAGTTGAGTATTTCTTCCTGAATCCAGCATGAAATTTGGTTAAAATGTTATTTCCTTCAATAACTTCGATGATCTGTTCGTAAATAATTTCTTCAAGACTTTTTCAACATCTGGCAGAACATTTATTGGCCGCATATTGGTGTACAACTCAGAATTCTCAACTTTAGAAACATGAGTTATGGTAGAACACTTTAGTTTTGTTGGAAATATTTTAAACAGTAATTTATCAGGATTAATATTCTTGCTCCAATAATATCAAAACATTCATTAAGCAAACTTTTAGACAAAATCTCACTCTTATTTTCACTTGATTTAATTTTTGATATAATCTTGAGACGACTAATGTTTATATATTCTAAGCTCACTGAATGATGCATTATAATCTGAGCTAACGGGACATTGGTTGGAATCCCCGTCAATAATTGATCTTACAATGTCGTTGACACTTTCTATGAAATAGGTATTCATTCGATCTGCTATTATTTCTTCATTTGTTATTACCCCATAGTCGAATTGCATTTTACATCATGTATTTTTTCTAATAGGAAAAACAATGTTTTTCAACGTTTTCCACAACTGTTTGCTATTATTTTTACTCTCATCAATTTTGGCATTGTAATATCCTTTCTTTTCTTCTCGTACAACTGCTACAGATTGGTTGCTTGATCTTGTATATTCTAGCCAATCATTTTCACTCCCAGTAATCATAAACTTTTTATAATTGTAGTCCCTTTTCAGTTTAGAATCCTTGAACGTCTGCGAGAACCAAGGTGGTGATTGGATTTTTCCTTTTATAAATTCTTGTCTTATTTCATGCAAACTTCAACATTACCCGCTATCAAATATAATAAAATGTTCTCTTCTCTCCCTGTGATAGTATCAGGGAGGTTCCTATTTAAAATGTAATAGAAATAATGAGTGGAAAAACAATTTGCCTGCAACTGTTTAAAGTGTGGTGTGTGTGTGATAATAAGGAAAGGTTATATAAAAAATGGGTAGTAATCAACAACCATTTATTCAGTAATAGTAATAGTTCATAACTTATATTGTTACATAATTCAGTCTCTAGTAGCTTGGTGAAGTAAATTGGGGTAATTCTAGTGATAAGAATAATGATAGCATATTTCGATAGATAGAGAAAACAAATATAAATATCAATTCTCAGCTGTCCGAAATAAATTAAACAAACGCCACCTCCTTAATTTTCAGATTTTGCTTCATAACACATCATTTCAAGCAAAACAGCATTTGAGGAATTTTTGGTGCAATTTGTACTATGAAATAATCAGATAAAAAACTTTGGTAATTTTGAACTCCCTTTACAACACTGTAGACAGACTGTATCTATTGTTGCATATTCTAATAATACAAACGTAAAACATCTGCATTTGGACTTTCAATCGAAATATCCACTAAAGTATGCATCAAGCAAAATAACTTTAATATAAACGTGTATATGTAACAAATCCTCAACTTTTTACTTGTAGCGTGATGCAAAAGTTTCCATATAGAATTTACAACATAGACGCATCTAGAACATAACCTTGACGAGTTCCTTTTTGTTGACTTTTCCCATCGCATTTTTCGGCAGCTCGTTGACAATGCACAACATTGTCGGCACTGCATACTTTGGCATCTTCTGTTCAGCCCACTCTTTCAACGTGGCTAATGTCATCTCCTGAAAATAAAAACAAAGATGAATAGAACCCATAATAAGGTTAATATCCGTGCCGCTTATTTTCGTGTACACCACTTTTTCATTGTCTGAAGTTTCCATCGAAAAATGAACATCGTCTATCAACACTTACTTTTCCTTCGTGCAAGACAATGACAGCAGCCACCTTTTGTCCCCACTCAACATCCTCTACCCCCACCACTGAGCAATCCGCGATATCCGGATGCGTCAGGAGCTGCGTCTCAATCTCGAGTGCGCTTAACTTGTACCCGCCTGATTTGATGATGTCCACACTCTTCCTGCCTAGCATTTTGAACAACTTTGCTTCAGATGAGAATTCGCACATGTCGCCTGTTTTGAACCAGCCGTCTTCGGTGAACTCCTTGCGCGTGGCTTCTGGTCGGTTGAAGTACTCTTTGAAGACGCCATCGCTTTTTATCAACAGCTCACCTGAAACAAAGTATTTCTAAATCGCGGATTGATACATTTTGATTTTTTTGTGTTAGCGATTTCGTCAGATCCAACGCCAGCAAAAGAGAGTCCAACTCATTCAGTCAAATCAGGATTCTTTTTAACTGCCACATCACAATTTCCTGCAGTCTTTCGAAAAACGGCGTTGCCAAGTTCCCCTCTGACCAAATATGGCATCTATACTAGCCGTGAAGTTTGACATTGGAGATTCTTTCCTCGCATTCCACGCATCTAAACCGAACTCTGACAGTCGCTTCAACAAAACAGCTGACACTGCTCGTCGAGAGAAGATCAAAATATTCGATGCCGGCATTCCTGTCGTGCACCTATATTATGTAATATAATCGCTATGATAGCGATCGCATCGCCGTAATTCGCACTAGCTACTAGCTAGTACGATAGCTCATGTTATGAATTCTCGCTAGAACTTGCAGCTTAGGCCAGAAGTGAATGGCCTCTGCTGGTGCCATCTCTGAAGCAGGTGTTACATTATGTCAAACACATCGGATTGACACATACACATACTCGACATTTAAGCAACACGCAGCTACTACAAGTGAATGATAGCTAGTACTGCGTAGAAATGTAGGCGGTCACAACTATCAGATTGTGCAATAAAAATTGCAAATTGCAAAATGCTCAACTGGCATGTTAAACTGACGCAAAAAGCACTACGTGCGTACATGAAGTATAGTTTTAAATAAGATCTAACGAAGGAAACATGATCGAGTATAAATATTGCATTAAGCTGCTTGTCCGTCCAACAATGGTATGCAGGTTCGGTGCTGAAACCGATATACGATAATTATTGCTGTATATTGTTGTCCATAAGGTGGCAAGAGTTCGATAGGGATCAACATATTATCGGGTGTCATATCTTGATCAGTACATCAAGCTCTAGCCATACAAATGACACTGGAGCCACATAATCTCGAAGTTGGCAATATGCAAGCCGCTAATATATATAGCTATAAAAATTATGTACTACAAATTTTAAAATAATCGCAATCTGACATCTCATATAAGGCATTGCAATCTGACTGTAAAATCGCAATCGTACATCAAATAGTATGGAAACCATCAAGGACTTTAGAACATCTCGAGCAACACCACATGTTCATGACGGATAAAATGGATAACATCACCAGAAACTACTGACGACCTCGTCTTAGCTTACCTTAGGTCACAGAGTTGTAAAGCAAAAATTTTATCAGGATCATGGAAAAAACTCTTCTTTAAGGAACCCATTATACTGATTATACAAGATGATTCTTAATTAAATGTGTATATTAAAGGGGCCATTTTGGGTTTATTTTAGACTTATTAATTTTTGAGATACAGAAGGTAAATTTTATTAAAATAAATCAGTGGCCCGCGCCTGATTGAAATAAAAAATTATGTCTGTATGCATTTATGAGCAGATTTGATCTCTACAATATTTGGTCCGATGGACTGTGTTCACCTAAAAAATAAAATCTATTTCTCTGCATGGTGATTGTCATATTAACGATATTGTTATGATAACACAGAGAAAGGATTTTTATTTTTTAACAAAAACCGTGCATCAGACTGAAAAAAATCAAACAATCAAATTTGCTTAAAAGGGATTTCAAGAATTAATTATTTTTTGAGAAGTTTCTTACTATCAATGTCTGCCAAACTAGGCGAGTGAAATTTCGTACTAACGCCACTCGTGCAAATTAAAATTACGGTGGATTAAAAATACATGAATGGATGAATTATAAAATTAGAGGAATACTGGCTATCATAAGGAGCAGGAGCCGGGCCCGTATGCACCTCTACATTCCCTATGCCTCAAGATCCGCCTTGCTATCAAAGTTGAGTATAGCCTTGAGTTCCAGCTCCTTAACATGCGCCATAGATTCTTCCTCTACCCCGCAGCGCTCACACATGGGATCCTCAACTACCCCCAACACATAAAGGTGGCGCCTCAACGTGTTATGGACCGACAACAGACCCACCAACAACCTTAGTTTGGCTGTATCCAAAGATAAGCAAAAGCGTCCATGCTTAACACTGGACGCTACGATGAGCTTCCGTGCCTGACGGAGATGTCTAGACATGCTTCTCCATTTTTTACAGTGTTGTCTTGCAATCCACTTCTCTATTTTCCTCCGGGCTCCTTGCGCGCTGATCCTGCTATCGCAAGAGCGTCCGCCATATGACTGCCCTTTATCCCACCGTGTCCCGGTACCCACACTAACGATACCGGATGCCTCGCTGCTAGACTATCCGGAGCGTTGCAATACATGGCTCGAAGTAATCTTGCAGGCAGTTAGTGGCTGCATCGCAGCCTGGCTGCCGGAAAAGACTGTTTTATTCTTCTCCTACGGCCTTCCCACTTCTCTTGATGACATACATGTATGCCAAATTTCATTAATATATCTCAAGTGGTTATAACAGATATATTTTTGAAAGCTTTACCACCGTGTATCTCAAAAGTTGAGATGTTTAGGACATACGCTCATATGAAGTTTTCTTCTTAAACTGACCCAAAAATTGCCCCCTTAAAGAATGGCATTCAATTATAATGTTCGAGTATAATGAATCGTGAAGTTAATTAAAACATTGCATCTTACCTTTGTGGTTCTCGCTCTTGTATACTTTATGCGGGAAATCGATCAGACCACCTGTATTGACACATTCCAAGATATTCTCTTTATCTTCAGTAGCTTCGTTCTCTTCTAGCAGGCGAACAGAAACGCCAGGTAAAGGAAGACCTACATATCCAGGTTGTCTATTTCCTTCATATAAATTAGACAGTGCCATTCCTATTTCAGTCATACCATATCTGAATTCAAAAGTCCAAAGATAAATTACTATATTTGAATGTTTAGGAAGAGTTTCCATTCAACACCAAGGTGAACTTAGTATTTTCTTAGATAATTCTAACATACCTCTCCAAAAGCCGATGCCCAGAAATATTCTCCCACTCCTCGAAAATTGTAACAGGTAAAGGTGCAGAACCACTAACCATCAACCTCACTTTATTTTTTAATGTGCTACGGATATGCTCAACCATCTGTGGATCACCTTTAAATACCTTTTTGTACTCGTCGATCAGTTTTGAGTAAATCGTAGGTACTGCCATGTAAACCGTTACTTTTCTGAAAAACAACAAAAAATTCGAACTATTGAAGTATTGTTTTACACTGACGGTGCACGCCCATTGAGGGGAACGGAAACACGGAGAAGCGAAACTCTTCTGATGGGTTCCTTTACGCATAATCAAATGAGAACCTGCGCACTGGTGCCTCGCGAAGGGAAGCAACCTATCACGCTTAACGCGTGCAAATGACAAATTTCCTCACGGTTCTCCGCTTCGCTTCAGTGGACGTGCAAGTTAATACCGATAAATTTGTACATGCAGGGCTACAGATTTGTCAGTGTCTGTTATTTTTGTTACCGCGTAATCTCCGGAACCGATATTCTATACAGGGAAAACCAAAATTGGCTGACAGCTTGAGTTCAACGTGTTCGAGAGGGAAGCGCGAGAAGTGTATATCAACACATATTAGAAAGAGATAGAAGCCGGCTGAAGAGCGAAGGTCATCACATTGCCCAGCAACGGTGACGCAGAAGGTCGTTCAATCTGCCTTATTGCCAATATTTTACACCAGAAACTGTTCGCACAGGCTGCTACTATAGGTTTGGTTACTGTCAAACCCAAGAAGGAGGTATGTTCGAACATTTAATTTAATATTTTTGATTAGAATTATTTATTTCAATTTCGATGCGACTTGGTGTTCAATCGAAATCAAATCAAAATATCCTCGAAATCAAATCAAAATATCCTGAGTTATTGTTACATTTTGCGTGAGTGCTGCGTTCGCAGGTGAAAACCAGCTTGAAGCAGGACGCCACTACCCTACGAGCGCGAGATGGGTATTGACCAAAACTTCTCAACCAATTATCATGGAGGTGGAAACCTTGCCTTGGAATGTATGTACAAGATGCGATGATATCAAACGAACCAATGATGCAATGTTGCAGAGTTTGTGGCAATCCTGACCTATCATTTCGACATAAAATGGAGCGCCGTTAGGACCGATCCGAAATCAATCCTATACACATTCGACACAATCAAAAAATTTGTCGCTCAAAATTAAACCATTATTTGGACGTAAAGAATAAACTAACGCATACTTTCAATATGGTGTAACATATTGGTAACGCGACGAATTGCCGCGTCAGCCTTGCCAGGCAACGCGGTGATGAGCTTCGCTATCCAGGCGGCTTCTATCTCTTTCTAACATACGTGGCTATACATACTTCTCTCTCGTACACATTGAACTGAAGATATCAGACAAATTTGGTTCTCAGTGTAGAAGACAATTATTTCAGAAAATCCGAGCTTTCCCAATCATTTTTGTCAGGAAAGTTTTTGGTGAAACCTTGCTTCTCTGCAGGATACACAACTTTCTGATGATTTTTTCTAAACGTTTGTATACTCTGGTAGGCTGATAAATTGCACAATGTAGTAGAATTATCTTGTACCTATCACTTGGCAGTGCATTTACGCCTAATAACTGTGACCACACTGTATTGGCATTGAACTTCTCCAGCATAATAGTCTTGGCACCAATATACAGAGGGCACAATAGGGCATTTACGATACCATGAACATGGTGCAGTGGCAATGTGTGAAGGAGAACATCATTCTGAGACCACTTCCATGCTTCTAACAAAGTTGTTACTTGGAACTGAAGATTTCTGTGGGATAATACTACACCTGAAATTTAAAATTAAACTCCATTTAGCAAGCCAGCTTAGAAAGATGAAATTCCTGAATACTATGCTTAGAGTAAAAGGGGCAGTTAAAAATAGCAAGATGGTGGCTGGGCGCCATTTTGCACATTTTTTTAATGGAAGGGGTTGGGTGATACTTAATTGCGAGGCTCCATATGAGTACTTTACAACCCTAGAATATGAAATCGCCACTTTTCAAAGTGGTGATCTGGTAAGCTGTCAAATTTGAGGATTTTGTATATTGAGTTGCTTACATCTCAACAACCAATCATCAAAACACTTGTATTACATTTCACTTGAAAAAATTCCAAAGTGGCGCACAGCCGTCATCCCGAGAATTTCAACTGCCACTTTTATGCTAAAACATAGTATTCATGCACCAATTTCATTAGCTATTTTACGTTTCTAACTTGACCGGATCAAGAAATTAGGGGGAACTTTTTTGGAAAGCATTGAATAATTTAGATGTACATTTTTTTTATTATCACCGGTTGTAACTGGTCACAAAGAACTTTGGGCGGTAGTGCTTCATGCACACAAGGTCTACCAGTGGATGTTAGTTAAAGGAATAAGAATCAGATCTGTTGTAGTAGTAGTAGAGAAGTTTGAAATATATGAATTAATTAACACATGAAAACGAACCAGAAAGTGAAATGGCACAATCTGGATAAATAATGTATTTGAGTTTTCAGCAAATAACTGTTGAAACTATATGGTGCACATAATCTACAAACCCAGTTTTTCTAAACATCTTTCCTAAGCAAAATAAATATCCTAACCTTTTGGTGCTCCAGTGGTTCCACTGGTATATAGAATCATAGCATTACTACCATCATAAAATTGTGATGGAAGTCCACCTTCTAAATCACTTCTAGTTGTAGCCACTTTGTCAACACATTTTGACTTTAACTCATTATCTAGCAAGTGCACTACACTATGTGAGTTCTTTGATACCTGCAATAAATAAGCAACGAGTAGTAGATTACCTAAATTTTGTCAGTACTCTAACTCACCTTATGCATCAAATCTGAATATTCTGAAGTAGTTATAATCAATTTGGCATTTGTATCGTTTGCATAGTATAGAAGTACATTTTTAGGGTGTAGAGGACTCAAAGGGACAGCTAAAAAATGGATATTTTTTAGTACAATAATAATTCATATAACTTGTGAAGAGGGGGTACAATGAAAATAAACTAATATTTATTGTATTTTATATCGCCAATTTGGTTGTCTTGCAATCAATGTTTCATAGTAACTTAGCAATCACTATGATTTAAACAACAGAGTACTCATAATTAGTATAAATTGTATAAGATTCTTTAAATATTCTGTTATGCACATATATTTAACTCAACCCAGTGGTATTCCTGTATGTCTACTAACCTAGTCGCCATGAGCTGCATGGGTTCGGATTCTATCCCAAGAGAAAGTTACTCTCAACTATGACCATCATGTGCTGAGATACCACCAGGTGGATCCATAAGTCAGGGCCAGAATTTGTGTATATCACAACACAAGACATGCACATGTGTTCCCCCCATGAGACCATGTGACATCCCCCTTTTTCTCTGTATCCCCTATAGCTACATGGGACCCAATGTGTGTGAAGGTAGCTCCAAAAGCTGGCTCCACAATCCTACGCGTCGCTAGATTACAGCGGACCGAATAAATGCTGTCCGCCTGCGGTACGCCGTGGCCGTAGCATTACTCATAGAAGCCTGTGACGCGGATACTAGGTGAGCGCGGTAATTATATACAGTGCTTTTCTTCAATGTCCCCCTCCCCTTTGATTTTTTGAACGGATCAATTCAAAAAATTAAAACTTGATGCAATGAAATTGGTGCGTGGATACAATATTTTAGAGTAAAATTTGATAGATGAAAATGTGAATATGGCCGCCTGGCGCCATCTTGGAAAAAAAATTATATGAATTATATGAAAACTGCATCATTTTGAAGCTACTGACGAGCACTTTATAACCCTAGAATATAAAGTCAATACCATTACCTACTACAAAATGGTGGTACATTTAATAATTACTTGAACACAAACCCACTAGCATGCATATCTCTACAAATAATAATTGTAATACCCTGCGGTATCCACAGCAACAGCGATAAAAACTTGTTTTGTTATTTTTTGTTGACAGTGACAAGAATATCAGTACGAAAACAAACATCATTGTACAGTTAAAATATTTTTATTTAGTTTTCTGTTTTAGTCCTAGATACTGTTTGAACTATTTTTAAAATGGTCAATACTCGTCCATTGGTTAGAAAAAATCGAAGCGAATTTTATTTATGGTACGACACGTAACTTTCACGAGACCGAGAGGATTTTTAATGATCGTTTCCCGAATCGTCCTATCTGTAGAAAATATTTAAGGGAACTTGTATCTTAATTTACAGCTACTGGTAGTGTAAACAACAAAAAGCCCCCAGGTCATCCGACCATCCCGGAAGAAAAGCAAGTTCAAATCATTGATGAGATCATAGTAAATCCCCAACAGTCTACTTCCTCCATCGCGAATGTATGTGAGGTTTGTCCTTCTACTGTATGGAGACTTTTGGAAAAGAATAAGTATCACCCATACAAAATTCAAATGGTACATCAGCTAACTGAAGATGACCCTGATCGAAGAACAGAATTCTGCGAGACTATGACGGAAACCATTGCACGGCATCCTACCTATATCCAAAATATTTGTTTTAGTGATGAATTCTTTCTCAACAGTAATGTGCACAGACAAAATTGTTATTGGAGTGACACCAATCCTCACGTCTTCCGGGAAACTCATACTCAATATCCACAAAAAATTAACGTTTGGGCTGGGATATTGGGAAATCATATGGTGGAATGGCCAGCTCGCTCGCCAGATTTGACACCTTTAGACTTTTTTTTATGGGGCTATTTGAAGCAAAAGGTGTACGAAACTGAACCTGCTTCAATATTGGATATACGGCTGAGAATAACAAATATTTGTAGAAATATCGATGTTACTATGTTTGAAAACTTTCGACGCGAAATTAAGGACCGGCTGTTAGTGTGTCAAGAAGTTCAAGGCAACCATTTCCAGCATCTTCTAAACTGAACTCAACGTATTTATTCGAATTATCAAGTTAAATGTCAATGAATTCAGGTAATTATTAAATGTACCACCATTTTGTAGTAGCTAAAGGTATTGACTTTATATTCTAGGGTTATCAAGTACTCGTCAGGAGCTTCAAAATGATGTGCCACTAGACCCCCGTTTTCATATAATTTTTTTCCAAGATGGCGCCAAGCGGCCATCTTGACATTTTCGTCAATTTTACTCTAACATATGGTATCCATGCATCAATTTCATTACCTCAATTTTTTCAATCGATCCGTTCAAAAAATCAAAGGGGAGGGAGACATTAAAGAAAAGTACTGTACATTCTATCTGTACCTACGAGTCTTATGATATTGCGGTATTGCATTAAGTGGTTCTGCAGAGTTTGTAGGTTCGTATCTAAAGATATTCGTACACCTCAACTCATAACAAAACAGGCCTGTCGTATACGGTGCGCGATACTCCATGAAATTTAGGAAACATTTTTTTTCGTGAAAAGTTGCAGAAGTGCGTTGATGTGCTTTTTAGGGTTTAAAGTACACAACAAGAGCTATTATAATCAGTTATCAAAAAGTAGTTACAAACGGTCTCACACCCCCAGCTCCAAAGAAGAAAGAAGCTGGGGTGTAAGACCGTGTGTAACTAATTTTTGATAACTGATTATAACAGCTCTTGTTGTGTACTTTAAGCCCTGAAAAGCACATCGACGCACTACTGCAGGTTTTCACGAAAAAAAAATCCTAAATTTCAGGGAGTATAGCGCACCATACACGACAGACTTGTCTCTTTGCAGCTGGGGTGTAAGGCCATTTGTAACTACAGGTACTTTTTGATTACTGATTATAACAGCTCTTGTTGTGTACTTTAAGCCCTAAAAAGCACATCGAAGCACTTCTGCAGGTTTTCACGAAAAAAAAGTTTTCCTAAATTTCAGAGAGTATCGCGCACCGTGCGCGACAGATTTCTTTCTTTGGAGCTGGGGTGTAAGACTGTTTGTAACTACTTTTTGATGACTGATTATAATAGCTCTTGTTGTGTACTTTAAACCCTAAAAAGCACATCGACGTACTTCTGCAACTTTTCACGAAAAAAATGTTTCCTAAATTCCAGGGAGTATCGCGCACCATACACGACAGGCCTGTTTGTTATGAGTTGAGGTGTTCGACTAGCTTTAGATACAAACCTACAAACTCTACAGAACCACTTAATACAATACCGCAATAGCATAAGACTCGTATGCACAGATAGAATATATATATATATATATATATATATATATATAATTACTGCGCTCACCTCGTATGCGCGTCGTGGGCTTCTATGAGAAACGCTACGGCCACGGCGTATCGCAGGCGGACAGCATTAATTTATTTGGTCCGCTTAAATCTAGCGGCGCGTAGGATTGTGAAGCCAGCTTTTGGAGCTACCTTCACACGCATTGGGACCCATGGCTATTTATTTCATAGGTGTGCATGGTATTTCCAGCATAAAAATAGCATGATACTCTAGACTTCATCAAACTATGGAAACCTTTTGGAGATTTTTTTTGCACACAAAGATAGGCATTGTTACGCATTATATTGTCACTTCCCAGCTATAAATATACATGAGCAAGCATTACGGTATTATTATGCATGATTATTTGATATTTAAATATTTTGGTTAAATCTTGAATATTTAGATAAAGAAGAATACATTTATTCAGATAAGTGAATATGCTTTCCATATTTGAGCCATTATTATACAAGTTGTTTTGTTGTTGTCTTTCACTCTGTTTTCTATAAGCATCATTTTGTAGGCAACAATTAGGGTGCTGTTGCGTCTTGTAGAACTTCAGATTTCACTGTTTTTTCTCTTAAAACTTTTAGAGGGTAGTCTGGTAGATTATTTAGAAACAAAAAAGTGTGGATGAAGCACGCTTTTCATGAAAAAAAATTCCCAAAACATTGTATTTTTAGCTGTTCTTTCTATCATTATTTCCACCGCCATCTATCTGCAATATGACGTAGACGTCTGTGCATATGTCATATATGAGAGGAGCTTGCCTACGGTGTTGCCGGATTGGGCTATGCACTTAGGAAAACATATGAAAAGTTGAAAATTTATATACACATATATGTATATTAATTAATAAATCACAAAAATGACAAACTGAAACAAGTAACAGTAGCAAAATAAAAGGTGATTCCTAATAAGTATAGATAAAAAAATAACAGTAGTAAGCTAAAAAATGATAAATTATAAATAATTATAAAAAATAAAAACAGTAGTAAAACAAAAACTAATTCCATGTAATTATAAAAGTCAAAAAATAACAAACAACAGTAAAATAAACAGTAAAACAAAAAAAAACAATTCCATGTTGAATAAAAAGTGACAGCACAGAACAAAAATTAAAAACAGTAGTAAAACAAAGAACAATTTTATTCCATCCAAATTGCTTTTTATTTTACTGTTTATTTTTTGTTTTTTTATAATTAAATGGAATTGTTTTTTATTTTACTACTGTTTTAATTTTTTGTTTTTTATAATCACTTAGAATTGCTTTTTATTTCTCTGCTGCTTGTTATTTTTTGTTTTATACTTAGTAAAAATAACTTCTAAAAAATACAGTATTTTGGGGAAAAGATTTTATGAAAAGCGTGCTTCATGCACACTTTTTATAATGTAAAATAATTTATCAGACTACCCTCTATAAGTTTCAAGTGAAAAAACAGTGAAATCCGAAGTTCTACAAGACGCAACAGTACCAACAATTAGTGTTGAATTGTCAAAATTTGGTTGCATCAGTAATTTAAGAAGAACTGATTTCCCCCCAGTAATTCCGACCTCCTGAGGAAGTTGATCAACTTATTTGAAGACACATCCTTCAGGTCTTCTACTTCTTCTACTATCTATATAGATAAAACTCATTTTCTTTGTTTTTACTTGTACAATGGAAGATTTAAGTCCTAAAAACTTAATTACTGTAGAACCTGGGTTTCAGATTTAATTGAGTCCATTCTAGCACTATCATTCCAGCCTGTGAAACCTAACTATAAAAAAGTAACTATATAATAGCCTTACCAATCTGTCCAGATAACCAAATAGCCCATAAAGTCACAACATAGTTCAAATCATTAGGGCAAAGAAACATTACCCTTTCATTAGTACGCCCCTGGACCAACTTAGTTATTTCTTGTGAAAGCTCATTGGCTACCATAAATATATTGCTATATGTATATCCAGCAAATTGATCCCTTATAGCTATCCGATCCGGGAAATATGGAGCATTTCTGAACACAGGACCAGTGGGCAGACTGACAGGAGGCTGTACTTCTGCTTGTGTTTGCTGCAAGTGTCTTTTTAACAGCAGGACGCAGGGTCTCGCGTATTTCTTCATCAGAGACATCACTTTAGTTTTTTTGAATTGCACAACTTGAGAAAGGTGACATTCAAATCGACGACTGATTATTTTCGTTTGTCACAAGCTCTCATTATTTACGGTAGTATATTTTAAAACAAATTATTCTAAAACTATGAATTTAGACAGAACTAATTTTGGATGTGAAACGGTTTTGATCGGTTTTGATGAGTTTTTTAAATGTCACAGCTCACGGCGTCACAGAAAGGTTTTAGGTTAACCTTGCGCTTGTCAAATATAGGGATGGGCAAAAATAACAGGTTACTCAAATAACCTGTCTTTTATATTTGATAACTGGTCTTAACCGAATTATAATCAAATCCAAGCGAATAACCAAAATTTCTGTGTTATGTGCCGTGGTTATAATATGGTTCAAGATGACACACGGGTTGATGACGTCAGTTACACGAATCGCTTGAACGCGTTGGTTTTAACCGCGGTTTTGTTGCAAGTTGTTTATTTTAGAAAAGTGCGTATATAATCTCTGATTATTTTTATTATCACTTAATAATCGGTGCTTTTTCGTCTACAACTGTATATGGAAAGTTTAAATAAGAAACCTTTCATAATATTCATGGGAGAAATGTTTTTTCAGATTTTTTTTTAACGATGGAACCATGGCTTTGTAGCTATGATAACTTTCAATTCTCTAAATTTTTCCGCATGTCAAAGAAAACATTTATTGATTCAGCAGAAATGATGAAAAAAGAAATTAGCAAAACCGTATACAGGTGGATATCATCTAGTGAGTTTATATGGCCATAATATTCTTGTGGTATATGGCTACACAGGATACTTTGTTAAGCATAGGAACTACATTTAAAGTGTCCCCGACAACCGTAATGAGTATAACTAATAAGGTGCTCCACTTTATGGTAAAACTGAAGTCAGCCTGTGTCATTTTTCTCAAAAATGAAGCTGAAGTACAATAACAATATCCAATACCCGGCAAAATTCTAACTTGTCACATTTCAAATAATAACCAGAAATATAAAACTACTCTTGAGTTGGGTAAATACCACAATTTTGCGGTGATAACTATGACATATAACAGCTGATTCGTGACGCCACGGATCTTATAACCAAACTGATAACTACACTCGCTTGAACGGATTGGTAAATACCAACCCAAAATGGTAAATACCATTTCCATTTGGTTATCCGCTTGAATTTGATTTATGTGTTCGGCCGTACGACGTCGATGGTACGACGCACGTAAAGTATACAATCCACGATATTGAAGGTGATAGCGTTTCGTTTAGATGAAACTAGTGTTACACTGGTACATATTTTATGTTTTTTTGACAAAACCAGTCTATTTATTCATGTTATTTTGCAGAAATATCGCACAAACTGAAAATGCTGGTGTTAGCGTTTTCAGCTAGAAATAATGTCACATTTCACAGTTTTTGCTTGTGGCTTAGCATGCAATTTTGTAACGTCAATTTTTCTCATGATGTTCTCTATTCTGATCCGAAGATTTACCATACAGCGCGGAATAATTCAACGAAATAAAAAATAAAATTTTCATTGACAGCAGGAGACGAGAAACGAAACAAAAATTTATTAACAGCACATCATATGAACAATTCTTCTTAATTCGTGATTCTGGAAACTGAACGATACGAAATATTCTCTCCATCAAACAACAACAATGGCGGAATACCTGTATATTGAAAATAGTGGGATATCTTGCATCAATTCTATACTCGGCTATTATAAGAAGCTGTGGTGATCCGAGCATATTCTTGAATAAGGACAAATACCTGTAGTTGAGCATAATATGGAAATTCCTGCTATTATATCATTGTCACTATATCCAATAAAAAGATTTGAAAGTATTTTAATTAATACGATATTCACATTTTTTAGGGCCTACCGACCTTCCTCCATAAAATCTCGTAGCACGAAAATGATGACGTAAAATCACTATGTACTTGTAAGACGCAAAACTTTAACGTTCAGATTTAAAATTAACTTGAACAAAGTTGAATTTTAGTTCAGTTCGAAGTTAGACTAATGTTTCGGTTAGCCTTTTTCAGTAAACATACATCCAAAAATTTGGTTTGATTCCAACATTTTTATCTTTCAATGTTGTTGTTAGGTATACAATTCTGTTAGACTTTAGCTTGGGACTAAGTGCTGAATGAAGCAATATATAATTAATAAAATCACAATTACACAACCGTCCTCGTAAAAGCCCAACGTTGGAGCATGTAGATACCCTTTCGCAACGATGATGACTATAATGTATAACACTTATCGATAAAAAGAGCTGCTCTTATCCAGTTTAACTGGCAACTGCCTGGAACACTAGAATTGTATGGAACACACATTTTTTTATACGTTGTCGCAGAAAAGTACGAATTTAATGTTAAGTGTTAAAAACCGTCAAACTGGGGGCTTAACTCTGATAGACTTGCGATATGAACTTGAATCCTGAGTATTGGTATTGGTATGTAATATTGGCTAGAAGAAAATCGTTTGCATGCTCCTTCTACCTAGTCCGAATTGGTTGACAGATTCAGTAGAATTTGATCCATCTCTACTAGAATTTTATTATTCTGTCAAGATTATGTCACTTGTCACAACACCAGGTGCACATAACCTAGAGTTTCGATTTGTTGTCTTTTAGGAAAGTTTGTCTTTCGTTAGTAAACAGTTCATTAATATTACCCCATCGTGTATTATTTTTCAAATTCTTCTATAAAAAAAAATAATTGTATCCTTATTTTGTTTTTGATTAAAATTGCATTTAATGGAAAACATTACCGAACATTAAATTTATAATGTCTTGTGCTGTTAGAGGATGTGATGCTACCAGACACAAAGGAGAAATAGTAAAATTTTTCAGGTATTTTTAAGGTAAAAAGGATTTGTTCCAGTCTAATTTGATTGATTTCACAGTATTCCGTCTCTACATGCACCTGGAAAAAGCATCGTACGCAAAAAAGCAAACAATATACTGAGAGAAAGGCAAACATTGTGGCTTCAGGCTCTTCACTTAAACAATATCACAGAAGATGAGTTAAGGTGCCTGACAGTATGTTCAAAGCATTTTGTGACAGGTTTGTATTCTGTAATCCTTTGTTAACATTTTCCCTTTTCCATTTCATGTGGACATCATAAATTAATGAAGGCATGTCGTCACCTGACCGAGATCCACAGGGTTCAGTCCTAAGACCATCCTTATACTCGATTTTCATCCATGATGCCCATCCCCTTGACTGTGAAGTTTACCTCCATGCAAATGAAACTGGCTCAGTAGCCAAGTCATGTTGTAGAGACAGTTTTAGGGCTGTTGTTCCTAAAATCCTAGGACACCTTTATGGCCTCCTTGATATTCATAGGCTTTTCTCTCCATAAGAGAGGCTGGGACATTTCTAGATTTCTACTATCAAACCTCATTTACTCTGCGACAGAGCAAACATGAGCACCCAATTGCTCCTTCTATTTGCCCGTCATTGTCTGTCAGGCATCTGTGACCCACTATGGGAACGCGTGAATTTTAACATTGCATGCTTGTATTTGGTTTGATAGCTTTGTTTGTTTGTTTAAGATTTATTTAGCATCACATTCTTTTAAAAAACTGCAACAATTACATAACATACAGATATTCTGAAAAAACGAAATTTGCATCTAAGAATTTTCACTGGCCATGAAATATACCTTTAATTTTCATTTAAACATCTTTAAATTATAAGTAGACTTTATATCATTATTCAGTTTATTTAATTCAAGTAAAATCCTTTCAGAAATATTGATTTGCTAGTTATATTACTATTGCAATTTTGTAAATGAAAATCTATATTTCCTCTTGTATAATAATTTTGATTCATTGTTTAAGATTTATTTAGCATGATTGCTACAATTACATTCTTTTAAACAACTACAACAATTACATAACATACAGATATTCAGAAAAAAAATAAAATTTGCATCTCTAAGAATTTTCATTGACCATGAAATATTCCTTTAATTTTGTTTTAAATATCTTCAAATTACAAGTAGACTTTATATCATTATTTAGTTATTAAATTCAAGTAATCATTTCTGAAATATGGATTTGCTAGTTATATTACTATTGCAATTTTGTAAATGAAAATCTATATTCCCTCTTTTATAATCATTGTGGTAATGATTATTCAATTCTATGTAGTGTTCTAAATGTTCTGGCAAAATATGATTTTTTATTTTAAATATAAAAATAAGAACAAAATATGATATCAATTTTTTTATATTCAACCACTGCAATTATTGTAACAGATTTTATTTTGATGTGATTTATTTTTATGTGACTTATTTTTATTCAATATCATTCTCATAGCTTTATTTTGCAAGACTTGTAATATTGAGAATACAGCTCATTGGCAGTGAACAATATAGTAAATGCAGTAGAATAATTGTATTATAAACTATTTTCTTGGAATAGGCACCAAGCCACCAAGACTATGAGAAGCAATATAAAAGCAATTTGTTTTTTTGGCAATTTTTGAAATAATGTATTCATAGTGATCCTCAAACTTTAGTTTACTATCAATATATATATACCTAAATATTTAATTGATTCAACATTTTAAATTATTTCTCCATTTATCCTAACTGTGATAGTATTTTCATTTAGGTATTTCCCTAATAGCATACATTTTGTTTTAAAAGTATTCAATTTCAGTTTATTTACATTTAACCAATTTACGATTTTTGCCAAGTCAGAATTGAGCATTTTTAAAGCAGTGTCTATATTTTCATCTGTTATGTATATGTATATTAATGTATCATCTGCAAATATCTGAAGTTTACAATAATCTAAAATATTACATATGTCATTAATGTATAAAATAAATAGTAGTGGGCCTAGTTTACTACCTTGTGGTATACCAACAGAAATATTTTTTCATCTTGATAATGTAGATCCAATTTTGGTTTTTTGACCTCTGTGGTAAAAGTAATTTGTTCTTATGGCAATTTTTGAAATACATAATATTGCTCCTGACACTTTAATTTACTATTAATATACAGGGTGTCCGCAAAGTTGGGGTTTTCCTTTACACGACGTGTAGATCTTGAAAACATAAGCAATTTTTCTTAGTACCATATGCACCAATGTCTTAAGGGAACCGAGATAAAGGGCTCTGCAACATCAAAAATATCTGAATACCGTCCTGTAGCCGCGACCCACGACATCACCAATTGGTACAAGGTCACTGGCTCAACCCGACGACAGAACTGGGTCGGGGTCAGTGTGTCAGGTCAGTATGCAACCTTCAACCGACGGTTACGGTCACGCGTGTAGAGGTAATCGCGTAGACGAGAATCCCTTAACAAGCACTAGAGACTTGGCTAGAGAAGTGCAAGTATCAAAAACTAAAGTGTGGCAAACGCTGCGTGAAGAGGGGCTGTATCCGTTTCACGTCCAACGTATACAAGCCCTTCAACCTGACGATTTTCCAGCAAGAGTGCGGTTTTGTGAGTGGTTGTTGCATCAACATGACAATAATCCGGACTTTTGAAGTGCATATTGGTGACATACGAATCTACGTTCACGCGTAATGGGGTGAATAACTTTCGCAACACTCATGTTTGGTCAGTAGAAAATCCGCACGCTGTCCGTCGGGCACATTTTCAACAAACATTTTCGGTGAATGTTTGGGCTGGCATGGTGAACCTAGACCTAGACTTTTTACGCAACATTTTGCCTTCCTTGTTTGCCTGCGTCTACTCGGTACCGCATCAGCTGATTTCATTTTCTGTTGGAGCGGTATGATTTCGGACAGAGACGTACTTAGCCCTTCTCGTCAACTGGAGAGTGAGTACTTTTTCCTTTATTTTTTTTTACTTGGTCGCCCTCGTTTCACTACACATTACCTTTGTTATTTCAAGGGTAGTTGTTTCTGAAAAGGAAAACCCCAACTTTGCGGACACCCTGTATATACTAAGTGACATATAAATCCGAACACCCAGTTTAAATGGTTTTATTTTAATAAAAGTTGGTGAATGTATTTATCTTACTGTAAATAACAAGTGCAGTAAAGAATCAACGTTGGCGGATTTTGGTTCTTGACATCCTTTACGATCGGTTACGATGCCTAGAGTACGGAGACCTGTACGATTTCGTCAACATAGTGAGTTTGATAGGGGCCGTGTAGTGGGACTTCGGGAAGCTGGACTTTCTTTTCGGGCAATTGCAGTTAGAGTGCAAAGAAGTGTAGACACTGTGGTTAGGTGTTGTCAGGCATGGCTTCGAGAAGGCCGTGCGCAAAGAGCAAGGGGCACTGGACGCCGCCGTAGAACAACAGATCGTGAAGATCGCCGCCTAAGTTTATTGGCCTTAAGGGACCGTTTCTCCACTACCAGGTCCATTGCAAATGAATGGTTTGCAGAACACGGAAGACCTATTGGCATGCGAAGTGTTTACCGACGAATGAGAAGTTTTGGCTTGTTTTCATACCGGCCACACTGGGTCCTCCCTTTAACTCGAGAACACCGACGTAATCGCCTTGAGTGGTGCAGACAACGGTCACACTGGGATCAGGAATGGAACAGTATTGTCTTTAGTGACGAGTCTCGATTTTGTTTAGGCATGCACGATGGTCGTGCCAGGGTTAGAAGGCGACGTGGTGAAAGGAGGAATCCACAGTTTTTTGTTGAAAGACATGTTCATCACACTGTTGGAGTTATGGTTTGGGGTGCTATAGCTTATGGTTCCAGAACACCTTTAATCTTCATCAGAGGTAACATGAACGCGCAGCGTTATATCCACGGAGTTCTAGAACCCCATCTTTTACCCTATCTTGACACCCTGGCAGATCCAACTTTCCAACAAGATAATGCCCGACCACATGTTGCAAGAGTCACAATAGACTTCTTTCAACATAATGATGTCACATTGTTACCATGGCCCACCAAGATCTCCCGACTTATCCCCAATTGAGCACGTGTGGGATATGATGGGTAGGAGATTGCTCAATTTGCAACGTCCTCCTCAGACTCTAGAAGCACTTCGAGAGGCGTTGGTGGTTGCCTGGAAGGAGATACCACAGGAGGACATTGACCACCTGATCCCTAGGCGCGTTGGAGAATGCGTAGCACATCAGGGTGCATCCACACATTATTAAAGGTCAAAGGGCTTTAAAGCAGTGCAATCATTTTGAAATTTTTATCATTTACTTATTATGCTTCATTAAGTACTTATACAAAATTTTATTAAAATAAAACCATTTAAACTGGGTGTTCGGATTTATATGTCACTTAGTATATATATAGTATTCATAGTTAATTGCCTTAACTGTTAGGAGAAAATATCCTTGAATTTCTTTGGGTAGAAGGCAAAGCATTGCAAAAGTACACTCTTATAACTTAAGCTCAAGCTTTCGAAGATCTATGTCTTCATCGTCTGGAGTAAGTCGGCGAGATTGTTGCTGAAATTGTTTTTAAACGACAGTTTTGTTAGTTTACTACCTTGTGGTACGCCAACGGAAATATTTTTTGAGCTTGATAATGTAGATCCACTTTTGTTTTTTTATTTCTGTCAATCAAGTGGTTTTGTAGGATTTTGAATACAGATCCTCTAAATCCATAGTGATGTTATTTTGTAAATAATTTATCGCTGAGGATGTCTCGATAGTTTCAAACGCCCTTTTGAACTCTAAAAGCATGGTCACTGTATGTTTCCTATTGTCCATACAGTCCTCTGAAACCATTTGTATTGCCGTTTCAGTTGAGCATAAATGAGATTTGAATAGATCATGGTACTGAGACTATATCTTCAGATTCTGGTGGATATAGCATTCCAGTGGCTTGGATGCCACGATGCCACACTTGCCAATTCAAATGAGAAATAATTAATGTTGATGTCGCCCCAACTACATTATCCATGCTCACTGCTGTTCAGAGGAGTACTATCTGACTGATTGATGACTCTTCTCTAACGGACAATCTCGGAACCCTTTCGCGATCTAGCTCTCTTCTACCGCTATGTCAACGGGCTTTGCTCCTCAGAACTCGTCCATGATGTCGACGCGCGATGAGCCTGCAAGACAGACACTCCTGGTCGGTACGATCACTCCTTTGGCCCTAAGGTATCGAGATTGTGGAACAATCCGCCTGACGAGGCTTTTCCCAGTTTAACTAACCTTAGGCAATCAAAAAATCGGATTAAAAAAGTGTCTCTAAGCTGCCCAAAGCAGCCGCGGTACACTGGCCTGGACTTTTTTTTGTGGAATTTGCTGAATTTACAGTTAATTGTTATAACATAATTTATAGTAAAACAATGAAAGCATTCAGCGAACATAGAGCAGTCCAGCGGCGCATCACTTGTATGATGAATAACACTATTGGAATTATTAAATCTGACAACCAAGTGACAAAGCTATTCAACATAAAAGCGGTGCAGCACTGGACCACTTGACTTTGTCTAAATATCATAAACACGAATTGCGTCGCGTTCCTGTAAATGCGAACGATACGGGCGAATGCGAAGTGTAGAAAATAGACTTCCTTTATCAATGATTCGCTTACATCAGAATAATCTTTTATGTTATCATCTAATCAATATTAATTCTATTTTTAGTATATCTTGCCACTGTCATGATCTTATTAGATTTGTTTTTGATAAGGTGAACCTGCCCCTACTGGAGAGAAGGATCACGTTGACTATGTCCCTTGTATAAATATGGATCCTATGAGGAGGAATAAAAACGTGGGCCCTATTGGAAGGAATCAAAGTACAAGAAAACGGTCTCCTGAACTTAGCACTAATAACGTATGTGAATACATCTGTTGAAAGCTTAAAAATTATTTCCAGCTCAGTATATAATAATAATATATTCGTGTTTGTACACAAAAGTGCTTACAGGCTTCGAGAAAATTGTCAGCATTTGAACAGTAAAAAGCAATACAAAAAATAATACATCATACGCTTAAAGAAAACATAAACAAAATCGAAAATAAACACAAAGTAATAAAGCATATACTATCATGGAACAAGTCGGTAAATTTATTATTTAAAGACTCGTCTATGCTGTATAAAACTTTTGTCACTAGATATCTTTTCACAGTTTGTTTAAAAATGGTTGGGTTGAGAATTTGACAAAACCTGGGCAGAACATTAAAGAATTTTACACCTAAATAATTGCTTCCGTGTCTGTTTTTTGCTAGTCTTGTGTATTATGTTATTAATTCATTATTGAATCTTGTATCTCTTTTGGAGTTTTGTAATTATCATAATTATTTTTAACATGGATTGGAGATTCCAGTATATGTATATATAGAGGGTGTTCCTTAATGATATGCGAATATTTAAGGGTGTGAATCTACATGAAAAATTAATGTTTGCTTTATAAACTATGGACCAAAAATTTTTCCTTTTTAAAAACTCGGGGTGTTGAAGTTTTAGGAAAAAAATGGAAATTAATTAATATTTTCAGAACTGCTTCAGATATTTCACTGATATGTAGTACGTAGTGAAAGTTAGTAAAGTTGCATATTTTTCAATGCAAAAATAATTTTTAGCTTTAACAGTGGCGTGCGTACGGGTATTGACTTCGATATTTTTTAAGAAAAAAATGGTACGCCAATGGTTTTTTGTCAATTAAAAATTATTTTTGAATTCCCCGTTCAATTTAAAACAAATGATCTCTCTTGAATTGTTTTCCTTCGGTGCGCCATTTTTGAGTAAAAAAATAAAAACCGTTCTATTGTCCGAGAAAATTAATGTAATAATTGAAGAATGCAATTTAGCAATAAATATCTAGTTGCTCTGGAATATGTCACTGGCTTTTGACATCTGACAAGTCTCTGTTATTCAAATGTGTTCGCTGTGACATCTTTTTCATGATTTAGTTTTTACAATCTTGTTAACAATGGTGAATTATTCAAATGCAGAAATGGCGGAATTGCATTACGTATATGGCCTTGCCGACGGTAATGGTGAGCAAGCCAGACGGATTTATCACCAGAGATATCCCGATCGTGCTTTGTCAGATAGTCGAACCTTTTCTAATATTCATCGTCGTCTTGTTGAAACTGGTTCTGTCCGAAAAGGAACATCTGAAGGTAGACCTCTAAGTGTGAAAACACCTGAAATTGAGCAGTGCTGCACGAAGTCGAAGAACATCCTGAAACGAGTACAAGGAAGATCGCCAGACACTTAAATATTTGCCATCAAATTGTTTGGAGAATTTTAGTGGATTTTTTGTTATATCCTTACCATATTTTAAGAGTACAGGCATTACTTCCCATTGATTTTCCAAGGCGTGTGACCTTTTGCTAGTGGTATCTTCAAAAAATTACACAAAATCCGCAATTTGAATCAATGATTCTGTTCACGGACGAAGCTAATTTTTCTCAAAATGCCATTCAGAATTTCCACAATAATCATTTGTCGGCAGAAGAAAATCCCTATGCCGTAACTGAAAACACTAATTTTCGGTTAACGTATGGGCAGGAATTATTGGCAACCACTTTATTGGCTCATTCTTCTGGCCGGGACGACTTGACGGACAGACTTACCTCAATTTTCATCAACAACAGTTGCCTTTGCTGCTTGATTACGTTACTAATAAGAATCAATATGTGGTACATGCATGATGGTGCACCAGCGCATTTCAGTGTAGCGGTTCGTAATTATTTACAAACTGTTTATCCAAATCGTTGGATTGGCCGCGGTGGACCCCAAGAATGACCAGCAAGGTCCCCAGACCTCAACAGTTTAGATTTCTTTTTGTAGGGCTAACTTAAGACACTAGTGTACACAAGTCCCATTAACACTATAGAGGAATTAAGAGAAAGAATAGTTGCAGCTTGTGATAGAATAAAAAACACTCTCCAGGGATATTTCAACCAGTGCGCAATTCCATGAGAAGGAGGGCGGAAGCGTGCATACTAAGTGAAGGGGGCCATTTTCAACAATTTTTGTAATCATTTCCTTGGTTTTAATGTTATGTTTATGTTGTCAGTTGTTGTTATTCATTACCCGTAATGTGTTTAATTTTACAAATTAAATTGATAATAATTTTGCAAGTTAGACAATAGAACGGTTTTTATTTTTTTACTCAAAAATGGCGCATCGAAGGAAAACAATTCAAGATAGATCATTTGTTTCAAATTGAACGGGGAATTCAAAAATAATTTTTATTTGGCAAAAGACCATTGGCGTACCATCCTTTTCTTAAAAAATATCGAAGTCAATACCCGTACGCACGCCACTGTTAAAGCTAAAAATTATTTTTGCATTAAAAAATATGTAACTTTATTAACTTTCACTACGTACTAAATATCAGTGAAATATCTGAACCGGTTCTGAAAATATTGATTTCCATTTTTTTTTCCTAAAAATTCAACACCCCGAGTTTTTGTAAGGAAACGTTTTTGGACAATGGTTTATAAACCAAACTAACATTAATTTTTCATGTAGATTTACACCCTTAAATATTCGCATATCATTAAGGAACACCCTGTATATATATATATATACAGGGTGACTTCGAAGTTGAGTCATTTATTTTAACAGTGAGTAGATCTGATCAAAAGAAATGTTTTTTTCCTTTAACATTTTTGTGGTAAAATTAAAGTAACAAAGTTATAGCCCTTTAGAAGTTTGAGTACCGCCCTGTCTCAATAATAATATTATGTGCTCGTGTTTGGCAACAACGGATATACTCCGCCTTATCGGTTCATCGCATCGGAAACAAAAAAGCGAAAGAATTTGAAACGCTGATCACGATGTTTTTATTCAGTCAATGTGTCAGTCGGTAACGCGTGAGTGAATAGTGGTGTTTGCTGCGTGGCTCAAACGAAATAAAAAATGTTACATATTTATGCGGATCGGTGTCCCAATCGAGTGCAACCAACCCCTCGTGCCTTTGTTAATGTAGTACAACGGGCTCGTGAATCAGGTGACTTAAGACCTCACAGGGGAGAGCATACCGGTGCTCCAAGACCTCACGATCAAATACAGGTCCGCACTGAAATACTTGTCGGGAGGATACTTTATAAAACAAGGTAAAAATTTTTTTTTAATTTTTTTTTATTTTTACACACATATTTTGGTTTATCTTCCTTCTACAATCATTATCTGAAAATTAATGACTCAACTTCAAAGTCACCCTGTATATATATATATATATATATATATATGCTTGGTGCAGTTAAATTTTAATACTGCAGTAATGTTTGAAGTTTGCTATTATTCTCAAGCATCGACTTTGAACAGCAAACACCTTTGATACATGAGGTGAATGTCTCCAAATCAGTATGAAGTGTTGTAAATTAGATTGGAAGTAAGCATAATGGGCTGTCATCAAAGTCGATTTTGCTACGTAGGTATTTAAACTACGGATCATATAAGTTATTTTATCTAAATTTTTTCATAAAGTGGTGATGTTATTCCCAAGTTAAGTTCGTATCAATAAACACTGAAAGAAATTTCACGAGTTCTATTAAATTTGTTTTATGTGGGCGAGTACTGAGTAAAAGATATTACTGAGTAATTAATTACGGGTTGCTAGGTTATAATCATTGATTAACACATTTTCAAACAACATGTCCCTCCATATGCTGTATTTGGACATTCGGTTACAATTTCCATTCCCATAGCCACATTGCAAAAAAGAATCGCAGAAATTTTCTAAGTAATAGATAAAATGGCGTCAGGTAAATTGATTCTATACTTCCCACGTAATGCTGTCATCAGTCTTCAAAGGATTAGTGTTCGGCACAAGTTAACCCTTCTGAGAAAAAAGTACGTAAACTACGAATATGTATAAACATAAATGACTCCCCCTCCCTCTGAGAGAAATTCCTGCGGACACACATGATCAATACTATGACTAATGCGTGGATTACGTTAAAGATTTTTACTGCATACAACAGCACGGAATCTGATAAATATACCAACGTCAAATTCACCCAATTTTTCACCCCTAAAAACTATTTCAGAAATGATCGAGAGCCTCTGAAACGTGAAAAAAAGAAGTTTTTTTTATTTCATCGTTCTTTACCTTTTTCTCCGCAGCCAGTGAACCGGTTTTCAAAAGTTACAACGCTTTTTCGTCCTTGGCATAGTATATTTGTAGCCACCGTTCTTGGCAGGTCAAAGAAAGACTACCAGTATATCCCTTTATATATCTCCATCTTACTCATACATACACATCCAACCTACCCCTGTGTGTGAACGTTTGTTCAGTAAGCTCAAAGATGTACGTTTTTTAGTTGTCTGTCTCCGTCTCGAAAACTTTGTCGTTACGTATGAGTGCCCTTCAATCATATTTGTCAGAGTGACAACTTACTTGACATCATCGTGCAATTTAAGTTGACCTGTTATCAATATATAATATAAAATTGTACAATGCCCGGAAATATGATCAATGGAGAAGGCCGACAAGCTCGTCCTAAATTTATTAGAGTATTTCCAGGAAGAGAATGAAAACAGCGCAGCGGTCCCCTGTTACCCACTTCATGCTTACTGGAGAGAGTAGCAGATGCGCTGAGGTTAGTCTGCGCAGTGTTCTGCGGTTTTTTCATATTTATTTGCCCATTTTTTGTATTTTGGCGAATAAATATTATTATTATTTCATATGACGTTGTTGACGTAACCGCCAAGAATGGTGACTGCAACTATATTAACCTTGTGTGAACATTTCATTCAAATCCGAGTGGTACTTTCTAGGTTATAGACGGGCCAAGGATTCGGGGACAGGCAGAAATGAGCGACATGGAAATCGTGATGTCATATAACATCCAAAATTCATCATATCTCATTTTAGAAATTTCTCGCGACTGGAATGCTTCCTCGCCAGTAGGCGTGGGAAGTAACAAACTCCATGTATATATATATACAGGGTGTCCGCAAAGCTGATGCTTTCCTTTACACGACGTTTAGATCTTGAGAAAATAAGCGGATTTTCTTAGTAGCACATATACTAATGTCTTAAAAGAACCGAGATATTGGGCTTCGCAAACTCAATCAAACCTGAACCAAACTGAAGTCGGTCCTAACCGTCGATCACGTCCACAGCGCCAGCGTACAGTTATACGAAGTACGACTACGATGTAAATTAGTATGCAACCTAATCTAGTTGCCGGTAGTGTAGGTTAACGAACCATTACATTGGTAACCGATTGCTGTTCAAAAAATAAAAAAACGGCACACTCGAATAGCGAACTAGTCGACATGCTGTTAATTTACGGTGAGTGTCTTTAAAATGCGACCGAGGTTTCGCTACGTCGAGCACGCACATGTGTTTTTGAATCCAACAGCGACAACTTCGAACAATGCTAAATATGATTCATAGTTATTGTCGAAAATAAAGACGAGTCTTCCACATATACATTTATATATATAATATATAATTGTAACCCCCTCGAAGTTCCCTCCTTAAATTTTATATTCTCATAACTTCTCTAAAGCCGGTGGTCGACAGGTATATAGTTGTAAGCATAAGTGGTTGGCAACGCCGCGGTACGTATACTTATAGATTTTTGATAGGACAGGACTAGGTATCTGCTGTTAGATGTTATTCAATGTTATAACTTAACAACTCTTTTAGGGTTATACAAAAGCATATAAACCAAGAAATATTTACCAAAGATGGGCCAATAAGGCCACTATGTGTCGAGTATGCTTAACACAGAGCCCCACTATGTTTGACCTCTCAAACGAAATTGATGACGCTGATGACAACTCTCAGAAGATGCCTATAATTCAAGTTCTTCAAATAGTCACGTCCACCACAGTGAGTAAGAAACACAGGAATCATACCTCAAATAGATCAATTTTTTGCTAGCACAAAGTCACATACTATTCTTAAATGATTTACAACAACAATAAAAGATATGAGCTTGGCTGTTTGTGAAAACAAAATATATTTGATACTTTTTCTTTATCATTTAAGTAACTCTAATTTCCTTTCTTAGATTAATCTTCACCCAAAACTTCCACAGTGCATCTGTCCTGTTTGTATGAGCATGCTAAAAATGGCATATAGATTCATTGTTCAGTTTAAAGATTCACAGACAAAGTTAAAAAACGAAATGAACATTGAGCCTATTGACAATCAAATGACTGTCGAAATACAACCAGAACATTCTAACAGAAACTCAAAAAACGGGGAAGTTGAAGTAATAGTTGATGAAAACAGGTATGATTTGAATGATATTGTATATGTTGAAGAAGATGACGAAACAGGTGAAGATAAATATGACGTTTTTTTGAGTAAGCTCGGTAAAGAGATTACTGCTACATTCGCCAGCGAAAAACGTGACGACGCAAAACAGCAAAATGGTAAGATAAAGGTCCTCTCACTTATTTTTTGAACGAGTCAAGTTAGCAAGGTGAAATTTGAAGTCATGAAATTGATACATGGATACTGTTTGTAAATGTGACAGTCTAAAATTTCAAGATGGCATCTGAATTTAGACATTTTTTAAATGGAATAGTTAGTCAGGGATACCTTATTTTGAAGCTCGTCATCCGTAATTCTGGAACATAAATGTATTGTCCTAGCGGGCTGTTAAAGTTGAGCGTTTTTAGACATTAAATTGTTTATAACTCGACAACTAATCCACATAGAGTCGTATTTAAGAAGGACCCTAAGGGTTAGGGTCCCTACAGGGACCACTTGGGGGAACGATGTAGCTACAATTTTTGATAACCCTTGAGGGAACCTTGGATGTGTCATATAATTATTGTTATATCGAACGTCGTGTTTATCGTGATTTTCATTGTGGTAAAGATGATCTTCCAGCTGGATTTACCATATATTTGAAAGAGTTGTGCCTTGTCAAAGAAGAAAGAGATAATTGCTCGAGTAATTAGTTTTTCAAAGTTTTACTTAAATAGTTGATGAAGATAAGGTTGTGACTCAATATGTGATCAGCATGATGTATATAAGAGATACGCAGTCTTTTGATGTTTATGGAGGAACTAGTGCTGAATGGTTGTAGAAATGGTAAAACAACAGTCAATTACATTTGATTGTATTTTCCGTATCCCTTATATGCCTTTTGTTGATCAATTGAACGAAACTTCTAAAGAATTCTTTGTTATGTCTTTATAGGACTATGCTATATGCGGGAGATATATGAAATGTGGGTGAAGTTTCACTACCGAGCTTGGTGTACTAGTTTACTCTTTATTTCAAAAAACATTATTGTTATTTGGCTTTGATAAAAGCAGAACGTCTACCTTTTTTGTTGAAATTACAAAGTTCTACTTTTGTAAGTGTACTCGTATAACGGCTTATGTCTATTCTGCTCATTGTTGAGTAAACGCTATTTTTTTAAATTACAATTACATACCTTTTTTATATAATGTAACGTAGATATGATTCTCAGAAGTTTTCATTCTGGACATTTACGTTTTGGCTAAAAAACGGCCGTTATTAAATATTCCATCTGGGCTACGTAACATATGCATAGAAATATGATACCTCATGACACTCAACTAACCTCTCAAGAGATTAACATACCATTTTGACGCATAACTAAATATTGCCATGTTACAAAATGTCTTGAACTCGAGCCACATACTCGCTCAAGGGCCTCCTTTAGGGAGCCCTTAAGGGGACCCTTCCTCAAGGAACCCTAAACCTTAGGATCGTTTGTGAATACGGCTCTAAGTATGTTATGTTCTTATTTAAAAGGTTAATTTCATCATCCCGAATTTTAGATTTGCCGACTTGACCCGCATCCGTATTACGTAAATGTCACCTTTTAACTAGCGGACATTTTACCGATTTTTTTGACATTATACTCGTATAGGTTCATTGCGTAATAACCCTCATAAGATAACTGGCTTTATGAAAAACAGGGTAGATACGTTACAGTACAATTTTACATTTATTGCAGATACGAGCGCGATAACGATATTAATGAAGGAAAAAGACAGTCTAGTACCTGTACGGGAACTCGAAATAGATGATGCCGCAGAAGTTATAAGGGTCGAACTTGAATCAGATGACTGCAGTTTAAAAGATAATACTAGTATGGAACACTACGTTAGTGACTCTGAAGGGCCACCTCTAGAACTACGACGGCAATCACAAAAAGATGATCGTACTACAGTAAAGGAATCGTCACGTGACCACATATATAGTGAGGCAATACGTGAGTTTAACAGTGAAGAGGAAAAAATGATTGAATCGTTCATCATACACGACCCTGAAACAACCATTGTGAGACGACGAAAACGACGTATCAGAAGGCCACAGTTGCACAAGAGCCAAGTTCGCAGCAATCAGGAGAAGGTGTTTGAATGTAAACGTTGTGGGGCTCAGTTTGCTACTAGATCAGGTAAAGTTATTATTCGTTTGGCCTGATACCACATTCTATCGTTATTTTGTGAACATTCATCTTGTACAAAGGCTACTATAGAAGTTTTGCAATATGACAGTGTAAAGTGCGGACTATGGCATCGTGGTCACGTAGTGAGATAAGGGCAGTTTTACGGTATAACTTTACGCTTGGTTTAAGCATAGACCAGTGCTTAGAAGAAATTACGCTTGCAATAAAGAATGATTGTCCTCATCGTACGACTATATTCATATGGTACAGAGCTTTCCAAAGTGGCAATTTTACTCGGGATGATGCTGAGAGGGAAGGAAGGCCGCGAACGTCAGTAACAGAGGAAAACATTACTGCTCTATGGAAAATGCTTGACGAAGACCGGAGAGTGACCTACCAAGATAAAGGAGACCTTACACCTTCATGCACCAGTAATTCATTCGATTTTGCATGACCATTTACCTGTAAGGAAACTTTGTTCTCTTCTCATAGTCTGACGGACGAACAGAAGACTCATCGCACGACTTGGTGCCGAAAGATACTGAAAATGTTTGACGAGGGGCAGTCTCGGTATGTGAACAGCATCGTGACAGGTGACGAGACTTGGCTCTACTATTACGATGTGCCTACCAAGGCTCATAACAAAGTTTGGGTCTTTGATGATGAGGACTCACCCGTAGCTGTCAGAAAATCCCGATCTGTTAAGCTGTATTTTTCAAATCGAGCGGGATTGTGGAGCGTGTCGTTTTGGACACACAGAATAGAGTCACAGCTAAATGCCTAAGGTCATAGAGTCTATGAAAAACCTGCGGTCAAAGTCAAGGATGGACACGGTACCTCCACCATGACAACGCTCCAGATCACCGCGCCAAAGCCTGCACCGAGTATTTGACCACTACCTACTGAACTGAAACTTATTGAGCACCCTCCTTACAGTCCAGATCTTGCTCTTTGCGACTTTGCAGTTTCCGCACATAAAAATGAAGCTAAAAGGAAAACAACAGTGTGCCGCACTCCCAGGTGAAACTTGACCAAACTGGTTTAAGGACTGGTTTTGGCGGATGGAGAAGTGTAATGAATACAGTTTAAATTACTTTGAACGAAGCCAATAAATAAAGCTATATTGCAAAACTTTTACAGTACCCTTTGTATCTCCAAACAGCAAAGTAGATATTTTTAACACCCTGTATCTTGGTGAGGAGATTTTTAACATCCGACGCGTGTATCGAGCGATGTTATTATGTGTATATGTGTCTTGCCTTTCGAGATAGTTCCGTGTGATGAAAATCAGTTTAGCTGGTTAAAAGTTATAGGGGTCAGCATCCCAAACTAAGCAAATATGCCTGAATGACATAGATGAAAGACCCATTTTTCTCTTTAATTTTTAACCCCTGACGTAAAAACTCACAAGTAGATGAACCACTTTGAGTGTGAGCTTTTTAATCGAAAATCTTGTCTGTTTTGATTATTCTTAGCCAGAAATAAAAACGTCATCTCCAAGCTCTTCATTGGAACTAGTAATATGGTCTGTCACTAAATGAGTATCAACACGAGATTTTACAAATAACTTTACTTTCGTTGTTTACAGCCTTCAAAACCCATACAATTAAACATGATGGCAAAACGTTTTCATGTGAAACATGTGGCCGGTCATATTATACAAAACACAATTTAAAAGATCACATGTATGTACATACAGGTGGGAGAGTATACTTGTGTAATGTGTGTGGTAAAGAGTTCAGCTATAGCACAGGTCTAGCATACCACATGCGCTTACATACAGGTGAGAAGAGGTACCAGTGTGCATATTGTGCTAAATTGTTTAGGTGAGTGAAACGAGGCTGGACAAAAATACTTCTGGTACATGAACCGAAAGCAATAAAGCATACCGGATCAACAAAAATGCAAAGTAGTTTTATGAGCAAACTGGAATATATATATATAAAAAAATCTGGTGGTAACCTTAATGGTAACCTTAATATACCATAACTTCGTGCCGTAACAAACATGTATTTTTTAAATAGACTATCCTACCCCATTTTATTGCATATTTGGATAGAGCTTCTAAAAACAAGAAGTTTTATACCATATTACATTTTGATTGTCAATTGTTTAGATATTTAGTGAAATGTCGGTATAAATGCCCAACTTTGACGGCCAGCTCCGCCATTTTTGAAGATATTTAGATAAATTTTAGTTCACAAAATTTTATTATCATCGAGAACGTCATTTATTATGAAATTGTTGTAATATATTCCTGTTGATTCCTAGCTGTTTGATCTCGGAGCCAGTATTTTTTCACAACCACGTTCTTCCAGCAACTTGGATTCCCTATTGTGTTCAAAGGACCATATATCATTGAAGTTTAATAAAACCTAGCGAATCTCAGAACTGGAATAACAACTAGCTCCTTTATTCTCGCGCACAGTGGAGTACAAAATTTTAGTACATGCTTTCATGCTATTGACAGCTCAGGGTCTTTTGATTCAGGGTGGCCAACCTATGCTGCAAGCCTTTTCGCCATCTGACTATTACACAAAGAACAACTTAAAATGCAAAAATACATTTTGCGTTGTTCCGCAACAAATTGCCGATTATTGAAGTTTGAACGAATAAATCTATATACGATGCCCGATTCATGGGAAATTGGAAATTAGATTTTTTTAGGATCATTAACAACCCTAGCTAATCAGATGTTTAAACAAAATGCTTTCATCTGACCGACCAAGAAAAGAAGGCAGCCAACCATGTACAGCTGTTTCGTGCTTATTAGCATGGTATAGGCTTGGTCCCTTATCTCTGGACGAACAAACGAAAAGGTCACAATGATCCTCTATACCGGAGGTACGGTTTATCAGCATGAGATCCGGTATAGAGGATCATTGTGATGCTTTCTTTTGTTCGTCCAGAGCTGTACATGACTGGCTGTCTTCTTTTCTTGGTCGGACAGACGAAAGCATCTTGTTGAATCTGTTCAATGGCAAGTAGACCACTTCTAGTTTCAACCAGAATCATTAGCCATCTAGCGGCACGGCTATTGAACGCGAACTGAGATCCATGACAGTTCCAACTAATAGCAGCGGCGCGCGATCCATAATCGACGATTCTGGTGCGATAGATGGCGCTTCGCGCTATCTCATGCTAATCAGATGTTGTCTGTTGTCACATTTTGACGAGATAAAGCATCGTGAAAAATGGTATATGTGTTCTGCGGTATTCGTTTTTTTTTTATAAGTTACTAACGATTCCCATTCTTTTAGAATGTCAAGTGCCCTGAAACGCCATGAACGGACTCATACTGGTGAGAAACCCTTCCAGTGTAAATTCTGCTCTAGACAGTTCTCCTCAAAAAGTGAAGTAAGCAGCCATGAACATGTCCATACAGGATTTAAACCATATCGGTGCAAGTTCTGCAAGAAAGGCTTCATAAAAACCCACAATCTGAAGTTGCACCTTCTTCAGCATTGTGGACCCCACAATTGTGATATTTGCGATAGGACCTTCATAGAGGAAGCCATACTGAGAATGCACTATAAAGTATCTCATGCAAATCTAGTGCCGGATGTAGATTTAAGTGGTTGGAAACTTTCAGATTACTTTGAAAAAGCGAAAGGACAGGTTTGTGCGACTATTACATGGTTTGTGTTTAAAGTATCCGAAAATCAAATAACAGTCGGGCTTTGCACTAGAATAGATATATATGTATCGCTGCTATACTGCCGAATAATTAAAAGCACATATGGTAAAAAGAAAATATTACTGACGTTTCAACAGCTTACACGATATCACTCTGGCCAAATTATACTAGCACACATGTTGAATAAACTGCTAGTTTTACCTGCCTCACTAGTCTTTTTCACAGTACTACTGAAAATTAAGATAACAGTGACATTTATTAGCCAGAATGTAAATCGATCAACGAGTCAAACACAAGATAATCTATAGAAGTCATAGCAGTCTATAGCCAGTATTTCGTGAATTAAACATGATTCTCCAAAACACTGCAAACAATATCGCACCATAACGACTGACATTTTTTTCAGAGGTACTCAGAAAAAGACACAAGTGTAGGCGAGCTCCTCTCCATGTATGTATAGATGAAGATATTGCTCAAGAGTACAACTTGCAAAAAATCTGGCGTGACTATAAATATTGCTCGAGAGTTCAGTGTGTTCTATTTTGTAAAAATAAATGCAAAGGAAAAATATAGGTCGTATTACTTTTATTACCATTTAGCATTATGCCCCGCAGTTTTACCCGCGATACGTTAAGGTGGCGCCACTAATAGAATAACCAAATTTCCCAAGCCAAGTTACTAATCCCAAAAAGGACTCAAAACGTGATAGAAAATTCATAGCATTACTTATTAATATCTAACTTTTTTGTAATAATTTCGAACGTACGAAGTCTAGGATTGCAGCTGGTGCAAAATAAGTTTGTATCGCTTGATGGTTACAGGTTGAGTGGGGCGATGGCAGGGCGCGCTGTTGCTGTCTTGACGCTGACCGTGGAGATTTTTGCACTTGCCGCGACAGGTAATTACAAAATTGACGATGACTTTGGGGGTAAAACCATGCCTTTAGCCTTCCTCGTGTATCAATTGGTAATTGTACAAATTTTTACGTCTCTCCATTTTGTGGTTTAGACATGGTGCTGACAGATAATATACGAGTATATGCGAGGTCTGTAAATTAAGTGATGTGATTATGTTTAATGTTTTTGTTCAAAGATATTTACAATTTTATATAGCTGAGGAGCCACAGGAATGTTTTACTGGAGAAAAACTCGTTTATTGACATTACTATGTGATAAGGAGCATTATCGTAATGCAACACGCAGTTGTTCTTAATCCGATGAACGGTGGTGTGAGTCAAATGTATCATCATTCTGACTGTCAACCGACGATCCAAACGCACAAAATTCCGGGTTCTGTCGATATTTTCATCAGTTCTTTAAGATGAAGGTCTTCCGCTTCGTGGTTCATCTTCAATCGACTCTCCCTTCTGAAAAGGTCTTAAACCACCGAAAAACCTGGGATTTTGACAAAACAATATCTCTTTAGGTCTGTTTAAGTTAAGCAAGAGTTTATGTTGCAGTGTTCATTTTTAGAACCCAATATCTGTTTCACAAAAAAAACAAAAACGCTACGGATAACCAACTGACTGGAGCGAGTTCAAACTTGTACCAAAGGTGGATCACATGTTCCCCTGTCTCCCCCCCTCCCAAGACCGGCGTCTCCAGTGTTGTCAGATCGAACGCTACGTTAACCATCTCATCACTTAATTTACAGACCTCGTGTATATATATATATAACATAAATAGGAAAATAATAGGCAAAATCCGCAAAAAGTGGATTTGAGCAGAATAGGATAGGTAACCCGAGCGATACGTATTTCTGCTGGTTGGCTTCATCAGGCCCGAAATGAATGCACATATGCAACTACAAAAGTGGAGACACATGCCCATACATCCGGATACAGGTGTAACCTGAGGAAACAAAGATGGAGAGGAAAAAAAGACACACGAAGTCCACAACAAGAGCCAACCTACACATTGTAGTATCAAATGGCTAGAAGACCTAGAATTTTCAAGGCGACAAATAACAACAACCACGCGGCCGGTTATAGCCACTTGCTGTGGTACTTACTTACTTACTTACCTATCCTATTCTGCTCAAATCCACTTTTTGCGGATTTTGCCCATTATTTTCCTATTTTTGTTATATACCTTTCTCCGCATGATAATTTACTCTTTGTAGATCCTTTGGGCTTGAAGTACCATAGCAAGTGGCTATAACCGGCCGCGTGGTTGTGGTTATTTGTCGCCTTGAAAATTCTAGGTCTTCTAGCCATTTGATACTACAATGTGTAGGTTGGCTCTTGTTGTGGACTTCGTGTGTCTTTTTTTCCTCTCCATCTTTGTTTCCTCAGGTTACACCCGTATCCGGATGTATGGGCATGTATCTCCACTTTTGTAGTTGCATATGTGCATTCATTTCGGGCCTGATGAAGCCAACCAGCAGAAATACGTATCGCTCGGGTTACCTATCCTATTCTGCTCAAATCCACTTTTTGCGGATTTTACCCATTATTTTCCTATTTTTGTTATATACCTTTCTCCGCATGATAATTTACTCTTTATATATATATATATATATATATATATATATATATATAATATACAGAGAGAAGACTGAACCACAACTACACAGCATTAGAATTTGCTAGAAACAAATAAATGTACCTTATCCTAGCTGCAATAAAAATTGTATGACAAATAACCCAATAACTATTTATTCGCAGTATTCAACTTATAGTAAAACAAATCGGTTGGACCAGCGACTGAGCGCTTCTGCACCAGACACCTCATATGAAATTCCGTTGAACCGTTAGGGCTGTAGCCCGAGAAATAGACATTTCAAAGTTATTTCCCGAGATATACGGTAGCATATGCGCTATTCCAGACCACAATCAATCTCGGTACCTAATTTCATCCAGATCCGTTCAGCCATTTCGGCGTGATTGCGTAACAAACATCCAGACTCTCTAATTAAATATTAAATTAATATGGATGAAGGAACTACAGGGTGGCCGATATGTAACTGGTTTGTATCTTGAATATTTGTGAAATGAAATATGTCCATTTTTATTCATCTTGATATTTTATTGAAACTTAGAATTTATACACGAAAGAGTATCAGACAAATGTCCGCCTCTAGAAGCCGCGCAAACCTGAGCCCTCTTGATTACATTTTCCATCACTTTTTGTTCGGTTTCGGGAGGAATATTTTCAATCGCTTCAGTAATATTGTTCTTCAGCTGCTCTACAGTATTTAGTTTGTTGGCATAAACCCTATTTTTAAAAAATCCCCATAAAAAAGTCAGGAGCCGTTAAATCCGGTGACCTTGGTGGCCAGTTGACATCTCCAAATCGAGAAATTAAACGTCCCGGTAATATTGTTCGCAAAAGATTCAGTTTCCCCAGCTGTGTGACACGTTGCTCCATCCATGCTGGAACCACGTTTTGCAGGTTAAATTGTTGCGTTTGAGGAGCCAGAATGTTTTGCACCATATCACGGTAGCGCTCGCTAGTGACAGTAAGAGAAATATCTGCAGCGTCTTCAAAGAAAAGTAAGATTAAATGACACCTCCATACCAAACACCGCACCTAACTGACTCGACGAGGATGTAGTGTTCGTTGATGGATGACACCAGGGTTCTCCAATGCCGAGATTCGACAATTCTGCTTATTAACAAATCCTTTCATATCGAAGTGGGTTCCATCGCTCATTATCAGTTGTCGGTAAAAAATCGTTATTTTGGTTATTGAGCTGCAATATTGCACGACTGTACGTCGGCAACTTTCATTGTCACTAGGCTGTAGTTCTTGGGTTACTTGAATTTTGTATGGCAAATGCAAATCCTTTTTTTAAAATAGTGCATAATAGATGTCTCGGGGCGCTCCACTACACTTTCGCCAACTCTCTCGATAATTTCCGGAGTACGAACATTTCAAACACGGCCCGACCTTGGTAAGTCTTTAACTTCACCAGTTTGTTCAAATTTCCGCACCAACTTGCGAATGGTGTTGACACATGATTTCGACCGAAATCTTGTCGTAGCTTCCGAACCGTTGCAACAATCGACTCAAAATTTAAGTAAAACGTTTTAATAATACGGACGCGTTGTGGGATCGTGTAGCACTCCATGAATAATTCGACACATGTGCAATTTAAATGTTATATATTGGGCACCCTTTGTAAGCAGCAGTATGCCTGAGAGTTCAAGCCATGGCCCGTACTACTTCGGTCTAAAAAGGTATACAAAATTTATGGGTTCTTGTAATAAATAAAATGGAAGGCTAAAATCGTAGCTAGAAATCAGTCGGCTATCATCAAGTGTCATTACTTGGCTCTGTAATAATCTGGCGTTCTAAAAATGAAGTTTCACAGTATTCCATAGTAATATTTCATCTGTTGATCTACGTTCCATTACTGTGTATGGTATTACATTATCAAGTGGTTTACAAACACATTTGAGGTTTGAAACAGTGACTGTGAAATAGTTTCGCCTGCATGGCCTCCGTTAACTGCACAGTATACAGATGTGAAATATTGTATATCACAATGATAAACATTCACGCATCTCCAGATGAACGTTTGTAGTCCCATAATAAATTCAAAGAAGACCAACTAATGTAAAAATATATATATTTTCAAGATTTCAATTAAACTGAACTTATAGTAACAAAACTTGTAATAGACTAAATAATAAAGATTTTAAAATAATGAGGTAACAAAAAGTACAACTAGAACGATTACAATACATGCATCACAATATTCGAGACAACTATGGTTGGAATTTGTAATAGCAAAAGACTTCAAACAAACTGCAGTTATAGTAACAAAATTTGTTATAGACTAAATAATAAATATTTTAAATTAGTAAGGCATAAAAAGTACAAGTAGAACAGTTACAATACATGCATCACAATATTCGAGGCAACTATAGTTGGAATTTGTAATAGCAAAAGACTTCAAACAAACTGCAGTTATAGTAACAAAATTTGTAATATACTAAATAATAAAGATTTTAAAATAGTAAGGTACAAAAAGTACGAGTAGAACGGTTACAATACATGCATCAGAATATTCGAGACAAATATAGTTTAAAAACTTTCACAAATTCATAATAAAAAAGATACTGAAATACTGAGGTATAAAAAGTTCAACTGAATGGTTTGAGCATCAAAATATTCGATTATTTGAGATTTGTACTTTAAATGGCAAACACAAAATAATATGCTGAAAATACAGACATAAAGTTATCACTCAACTGGCCACTTAGTAATTATTTACAATGCATAACAATGTAATTCACCCTCCTTTCTTTGACCTTTTCTTTGTATTACTTGTGCTGGGTTTGCCTATATCGAAATTGTACTTTTTATTCAATTTCTCGCGTATAAGAAGTCCTTTGATAAGCCGCTTCCAATTTCCATAAACTCTCTTCTCCACTTTCTCTTTCTCTCGTTGTTCTATGTTTTCTTGCTCCTATATAAGCAGATTATAAAATATAGTATAAGAAAAGATCTCATCTTAGTGTAAACTTATAATAAAGTCATTGATGAAGGTTTGGAGAATTTCCAACCATGTTGAAGGCAGTTGATTTAAGGACTAATGCCAGTATAGCACATATTGTACATATCAACAATTTTGCTACCTACATAAGAACATTTCTGGAGACCAGCATGAGGTTATGAATAAGAGATTTACAGTAACCAACTTGACAATATTTACCCAGTTAGCGTTTAGTACATTGGATAATCAAGCTTTGTACAGCTTTTTTTCTTTACTGATCAGTCCATAAATCTGTTCTCTTATCTTGGTGATCGTCGCTTGTACACAATGAACACAAGTCTCAGCAGTGTTTGGACAGTGCAGTGGTGCCTCATTGGTCGAATTAGGGTCTTCTCCTGTTTCTATTATTTATCAATGTCATGAACTAAATGTGGTACTTTGCTGCTCGCTGACGACTTAAATTGTTATACTTTTTGCGTCTTGTGTTTTTTTTCATCTACAGGGTGTCCAGTGGGAAAGTTCACTCTTTGATTTGAGAAAAAAAAATACAAACTTAATGAAAAGAAAATATTTATTACTATCAACATATTCGTAAATTCGGCGGGTTTTATTTCTTAAATATCATGCCGTCCAAATGTTTTCCATCCCTTCGGACATACTCTTCTAATAGCGCGTGCAAATTCTGAAACACTCTTGCATAGTTCCGGAGTGATGTTTATTCCTCATCGAATGTTGTATTTAAGCTACTCCAGTGTTCGTGGATTATTGGAATACACTTTTGATTTTAGATGATCACACAAAAAATAATCGCATGGCGTGAGGTCGGGTGACCTATGAGGCCAGTGAATGTCTCCAAACTTCGATATAACTTTTTGAGGAAAAAGTGCTTTCACCGTGCCATCGATTCTCTGGAACTATCCTGTTGAAACCATGCGTTTCTGATAAATCGACGTTCTGTTCTTACAATAGGAGCAAAAAAAGTGTCAATCATGTCCTTATATCGCTTGGAATTGACTATCAATGCATGACAGTTTTCATCTTCAAAGAAATACGGCTCAATAATACCGTTAGAGGATATGACGCACCAAACAGTCACCTTTGGACTATGTAGCTGTTGTTGATGTTTCTCTTTTGGATTCGTTGGTGCCCTATATCTGCAATTTTGCTTGTTCACATAACCGTCCAAGTGAAAATGGGCCTCGTCACTGAAAATTTCCGTAATACGTAATCACTTTCCTTTAAAGCATGGACTGATTTTATTTTATAAGGACGAAAACCCATTTTTTTTCTTCATTATGCTATGCAGTGTTGACCTTACGGATTCCCAAAGCAGCGGAATGCTTCCATACAAAACGCCGAGAGTTTGCAATGACTGAATCACTTACTCGACGCACATTTTCTTCGGTTGATACAGTAGGTGTGAGACCAGGTATGGGTTAACTAAGAGTAGAGCCTATTTCACGGAACCTCTTAATCCACTTTTTCTATAGGTTCTTGATTGGGGCATCTCTTCATCGGCGAGTGTTGTAATGTGTACAAAATTTCCGAAGGGCAGCTGCATATGAATCACCCCTCTTAAAGTAAGCCTCGATAGCAAAAGCACGTTGCGCTCCGGTCCAACGTTCCATTGTGACTATTTAACCCGCACGCCGAACGCATCGATCAAGACCTCTCCCCACTTCATCGCGTAAACGGTTGCCGCGTAATTCAAATTTGAAATGCGAACTTTCCCACTGGAGACCCTGTACATTTACATCCGTTTTAACTCGCAAGCAAAATCCATATTTTCCCACCCTAACGTTTGTAGAGAGGGATCAGCACTTACTTAATTTGATTGTTTAACACACATGAAGCTGACATCTTTATATTCTATATCTTTAAATTGCCACTAGCTACTACGAGCCATTGCTGCGTGAAGTATGGCAGAATAGCCTATTTCTCATACGTGACTTCAGTCAATCGATGTGAAGGTTTTCAAAAGTTTTCAAAGCAGTCCATTCCTATGACCTCCAGCAGACTAGGCTAAGCCACAGTTCATGCAGGGAGGCTTGCAGCGGCTAGATGCAACTAAATGTAACCGATTATGACATTGCTATGCTACTTACCAGTTCCCAAGCAGCAATGAGCTGATCAGCATACTCTTCACATATGACAAATCCATCATAGCTAGGTACGCTACCGCCACAATGGAAGTCGAAACCCACTATAGCAGCGGCGCAATCTATATTCATTCTCTTGCATATCCTATTCAGGCCTGGTACTGTAAAATAGTAATACAATTATGGAAAATCATCACATCAAATAAAATGTCATTACTCACATCTCAAATGTACTGTTTTCTTTGGTAACATGCAGGGTTTGAATAGTTCAACATTTCCAAAAGCATTCCTGGGTACTATGCCGTTTTCTGCTGTAGGTGGTTCATAATCCATTGTTTGCCAGATTCCAAATATTTCCAACATTTGATCTGTTATTACTGAATTGGATAACTGAAACAAAAATGCAAATTTGACCTTGTTATCTATTTTTGAGGAAAGAACAATTTCTTCTAAAACATTTGCCTTCCTCATATAGTCAAAACAAAGTTTGTCAATTTTAAATAAACACAGTTGACTTCAAAAACACGCCAGGGGCCATGATGGCAAGATATTGGAATGCCGAGCTGCAATGCAAAGTTGAAATCTGACGATTACGCCTAGCTCAGTATGCGAATTATGAGCGAGATCTCGTTGGAGTATATTGACACTCTTTTTATTGAAGACCATCAATTGCTAGTCGCTGGCAAAATAGTTTGAAGTACAGCAAGCAACAATCTAAGTTTCTCCCAGTTGTACTTAAACATCTTGCATGCCAGATGACTTCAATTATTTCGATGCCCACAAACTTAATATAAATATAATAAGACCGTTGTTACCTTATCCCATTTTGGCCTAGCCTTGACGATCTTATAGGGCTTTTCTCCTGGCTTAACTACCTTAGCTTCCTTTAACCATATGTCCCTTGAACGGCATACATATACACAATTTCTAGGATATACAGCTTCACCTCTAATAAAACCCAATGGAGCTACATCTGGTGGGTACATAGCCTCGAATTTCAGCAAGTGCCTTTTCAGTGCGTATAATGGATGATTTTTGTACCTGCAAATTATAAAATAAAATTTAAGGAAAATGTACCTTATTGCATAAAACTTGTTCCTGCGAACGTGAGCTGTATATGTGCTCCAATAAATCTATACCTGTATGTAGACATGAAGATACTTACTCTGCTATAGATTTTGGTAATGGTTGGTCCAACTGTTGTCTATTAAGATCATCATCCTCTTCTTTATCCTTTACTGTTTGTTTTCCTTTAAAAGGCTGGATCGTCTCTTCCCACCATTTGGAATCAACACGCAATTTACGGGTTACTGTACTAAAATTCTTACAATATCTCATGGTTATGTCTTTCAGTGTATTGTCATTATTCCATGCAACGATGTAGGTTACTGGATGTGTAGCTCTTTTCTGGAAGGATATAAGTGCAAACTTATAAATGTTCAATATCATGCCTATTAACAATCGTCAGTACAGTAAAGGATGTGGTCTAAATACAGAGTAGATAGCTGATTCAATTTACAGTCAACAGGTGTTCGCTCAAACTCAAACTGGACTCACATTAGTACTATTGAGTTGAACTTAGGGTGCAACAGAACTAGGCTCGGGTGCGGGTGAATGAGGCGCGCGGAACTTACATATATCTCATCAACACAATGAACTTGGCCTTTCACCACATCTGCTGTTATCCACTTTTCCTCCATCTCCAAAAATATTTCTGCCCACACGTTGATTCCTCTGTTCTTTTTCTTTCCCGATTCATCTAAATCTTCACTACTACTTGATAGTACTTTCATTTTTCCAGACTCATCACGCTTCACTTTAATTCTCTTTTTCACCTAACAACAGTGATAGATGAAATTCTAATAGTACACAGGGTGTTTCTAAATAAGTTCCCAATATCTCAAAGACAATTTCTTAGGTATTTTCAAAGCAAGTTCATATTCATGATTATATAAATCTCTTGTCTTAAAACTCCTAAGGAATCGCCTAGTGAAATACTGAACTTATTCAAAAAAATCCTGACCATGGCTAGTATTGCACAAAGCATCTCCCATCTCACGAAAATTCTAAACACATGCGCAGCTCAAATACAAAAATTTATCTATTTTGTAAAAATGGTGTCCCATTTTAATCTCCCCACCTAAATAGTTCATTCTAGAAAAAAGTTTCAAAAAAAAGTGTAGAGGTCAAATCAGTACATCAAAAACATTGCTTTAACAAAAATGTTGGACAGCATAGTTCTCAGGTTTGTGGGGAGCTTAGCGATGACCTTGACCATGACCTTCCAGGTCAAGTAGGATTTACAAACAAAACCTTTATTTGTACCTATTCTGGAAATGAGAAAAGTAGGAAATTTTACGACCCAATGTGCCCTTGACATCAAAGTCAAAGTTGTGTCAAGCATAAATGCCATCTGAGGTCCAGGTCACATTTGGACGTTAAATTTCCCGATTTTTTCATTTCTATTAAAAAATAAGAGGTGTCCTTTGGAAGTTTTGACTTAATCTGTTTTTCTTTTGAGTTTCGAGGTGAATAAGCGGCAGGAAGCATTTGAAAATATTCCCTTAACCTTGAAGGTCGCAGTCAAGGTCATTGTCCTACAAATCCTACAACTTTTTTTGTAGCCTTTTTATAGCAATTTTCGAAATATTTAGGTGTGGAGATTAAAATGGGACACCATGTACAACTTTTAGACTATGAGCAATTATTGAATTATAAGTCTTTTCACCATTTTTGAAAGTTGCGCAATACTGTCAACAGATCAACTAACCGTAGCTTATTTTTCCTAGCTAGGGAAAAACACACAGCACAAATCGATTATTAACTCAACTACCCCTTGTGTTTGGACACATCAAATGTCCAATTTCTACTAAATCTCAACCCATGAAATTAATCTCGCATTGAACTATGATAACTTCTTTTAAGTCCTATATCAAAATTCCCATGGTAGTGTCAAAGTTGTCATAGCAGGTAATACATCTGACTATAAGGCGACATCGAAATTGATGTCAACGGTCGAAATTCAATTGACAAGCTTTTTGACAAAAAGGCAGATGACAAAGTAGGAGTTTGCTTGAAAATAATTGCTTTTGGTTGGTTATTGACCACCTTTTTCCTACACCCGTCTTAAAATCCAATAGCTTTAGAAAAATGACAACACAGTGTCAAAGCGAGAATATTTCTCAAGCGACACTGATGTCGAAATGAGAACACCAATTTGCTGAAGCTTTCGTCATTTTCATGCGAGACTAAAGAATACCCCCCAGGCCAATACATAACTGACTGATTTAAATTGCGCCCCCTTTTTTTACACGCATTTCAGTAGGTGGCGCCGTAGTAGTTATTTAAAGCACGTGTCCAATTCATCATGGAGCGCTGCACGATCCCACAACGCGACCGTATTGTTAAAACGTTTTATTTAAATAATGAGTCATTTGTTGCAACGATTGTGAAGTGTTCACACCATTCGTCAGTTGGTGCGAAAATTTGAACAAACAGGTGAACTTAAAAGACTTGCCAAGGTCGTGCCGTGTTCGAACTGTTCATACTCAGGAAAATATCGAGAGAGTTCGTGACATCGTTCTCAAGAACTGGGTATTCTTCGCACGTCATTATGCACTATTTTAAAAAAAGACTTGCGTTTGCGGCCATACAAAATTCAGTTAATCTAAGAACTACAGCCTAGTAACCATGAAAGTCGCCTACAATACAGTCATGCAATATTGCAGCTTAACACCCAAAATAACGACTTTAACCGACAACTGATAATGAGTGACGAAGCCCACTTCGATATGAACCGATTTGTTAATAAGCAGAATTGTCGTATCTGGGCATTAGAGAATCCTCATGTCATCCATCAACGACCACTACATCCTCGTCGAATCACTGTTTGGTGCGGTGTTTGGTATGGAGGTGTCATTGGACTTCTTTGAAGATGCTACAGATAATTATCTTAATGTCACTGGCGAGCGGTACCGTGATATGGAGCAAAACTTTCTGGCTCCCCAAATCCAACAATTTAACCTGCAAAACATGTGGTTCCAGCAGGACGGAGCAACTTGTCACACAGCTAGGCTAACAATGAATCTTTTGCGAACAATATTTCCGGGATGTTTAATTTCTCGATTTGGTGATGTCACGTGGCCATCAAGGTCACCGGATGAAACGGCTCCTGACTTTTTTTGACGATTTTTGAAAAATACTGTTTATGCCAACAAACCAAATACTGTAGAGCAGCTGAAGAACAATATTAGGGAAGCGATTGAAAATATTCCTCCTGAAACCTACCACGGCGCGGCTTCTAGAGGCGGACATTTGTCTGATATTTTTCATACATAATTTCTAAGTTTCATTAAAAGATTAAGATGAAAAAAATGGACGTATTTTATTTCATTTCACACATAATCAAGATACAAACCAGTCAGTTATCGGCCACCCTGAATTTTATAACAAAGACCAATAAAAGGTAAACTCCAAACGTAAGCCTATGACAAGAGAGTACTCACGCTGACAGTGTAAAGTATAGTTGTACGAGGGATGTCTTTTAAGTTTTGCATATGGAAATAAAACAACACGGTAGGTAGTTTTAAATGATTTTATTGTTTTTCGAAGCACTTATTCCACTCGTTTGCTGGCAGATCCAAAACGGCATTTTTGAATGCGTCAACTGCTTCTTCTGGTGACTGGAACCTTTGACCACGCAGTCTGTTTTTAATTTTCGAGAAAGAAAAGAAATCGTTAGGACTTATATCGGGACTATATGGAGAATGGTCCAATAATTCCACGTTTTCTTCCGTTAAATACTTCCTTGTTTTTTGGGTTGTATGCGAGCTTGCATTGTCTTGGTGGAGGTTGATTCTTCTTTCGGGGTTGATTTTTCGAAGCTCGGAGATGACCTTTGGCAAACAAATGGTGGTATACCAATCCGCAGTAACAGTTCTTTGCTCATTAAGAGAAATTGTTAATATGACCCGCTTTTGACACAATTGCGCGACCACCTTTTTCGAAACAGTTCGAGAACGGATGACTTTTGTTGGCTTTTCTTCACCTTGGAACACCCAATCAGCCGACTGTCGTTTATTGTCTGGTTCATAACAGTAAATCCGCGATTCATCACCACTAACAATGCTGTACACATTTTTTGTTTCCGGAATTGAAACGGTCAAGCGTTCTTTGACACCAATTAACACTGGCTGCTTTCTGCTCTTCAGTCATCAGGTGGGGTATCCAATGAGAAACTAATTTTCTTACTCATAATTCTTCATGTACATTTTTTTGAATTGAGGTCTTTGAGATCTTCAAGGACGCCTCAATCTCGCGATATGCTACATGTCTATCTTCAATGATGAGTTTGCGCACAGCATCGACGTTTTCCTGGGTGACTGACGTTTTTGGTGCACCCACCCTGGAAACGTCGCTATGACTCACCCGTCCACGTTTGAATTCTCCATACCAACTGAAAATTGTCGACTGATGTGGCGCTTCGTTGCCGAAAACAGACATGACTTGGTGACACTTAAAAATTCACTGTAGTGAGAACACTGCACGTATTGTTATGAAACTTTGAATTTAAGTTTACTAAAGAGTGACGTTAAGATTCAGTACTGAAGTTCAATCCGCGCGGCCTACTTTGTTTCTATATGCAAAACTTAAAAGACATCTCTCGTAGATCCTTCATGCGTTACGACGGGTAGGTTAGATAAAACTAAAACAAAATGTATGTCTGTGAGCTTACACAAACAAATGCCCCGTCAAAGGTAGATTACATGTGTACGAGGTCTGTAAAATGAGTGATGAGGCTGATTTATTTTAATTTTTTTATTCAAACAATTATTTATATTGTCACCCTGAAAATAACTTCTTTCACCCCTCATTGCAGTGCTAGAACTCCGATACTAGAATAGCCTTCAGCTGGTCGGTTACAGCCGTTTGAATATTTTCGACTATCCCTCTTGGTGTTTTTCAACTTCGGGAAGAGAAAAAAGTCACGAGGTCTCAAGTCAGGTAAATAAGGAGGCTGAGGAGCCACATGAATGTTTTTGCAGGCCATTGTGAAAAGGACCATTATCTTGATGCAATACCCAGTAATTCTTGATCTGATGAACGGAGGTGTGAGTCAAATTTAACTATTCCCAGATCATTCTGACTGTCAAAGGACGATCTGAATGCACAAGATCCCGGATTCTGTCCATATTTTCAATGGTCCTTTCAAGATGAAGGCCTTCCGCTTCGTGGTTCATCTTCAATAGATTATCTCCCTTCTGAAAATGCTTTAAACCATCGAAAAACCAGGGTCTTGACAAAACACTATCTCTATAGGCCTGCTGAAGTTTAGCAAGAGTTTTCGTTGTAGTGTGCCCAAGTCTGAGGCAAAACCTGATATCACACCATTACTAGAAATTGATGTCGTTCATTATAAGAACACAATAGGAACAATGTTTCACAAAAAAATCGCTACGGACAACCATATCACGAGTTCAACCTTGTACTGAAGGCGGATTATATGTTTCCCTGTCTCACCTCCAACGCCGGCGCCTCCAGAGTTGACAGATTGAACGCTACGTTGCCAGTCTTATCACTTAATTTACAGACCTCGTATGTATCAGGGAGATGGAGATGAAAGTAATGCTGAAAGTTTAACTGTGAATTGGTGAAAAAACCAGGATTTGCAATCTGTAGACTGTATAAAATGTAGGAAATAAGACTGTCACTATTAAAAAAGCTCTACCTTAGGTTTAGGTACAAAGTAATCCAAATCACTGTCGCTATCGTGGTGCTTTTTCTTCACTGGCGCTGGGACATAATCACTGTCTGAATCACTATTTTCTCTGGGTTTTCTTTTGTTACCCATTCTACTACGATCTATATGCTTTTGCTCTGCTATCCGTCCTTTTATCAGATTCATTATATCATTTTTAACATCCAATTGTGGTCTCGTTCCTTGAAACGTGTGATGCCTTCTTGTAGGACTTGGAGAAAAGTCATCTTCCGAGTTGTAGTCGCTTGTTGACGATGGTTTCTTTAGAGGTTGTTTAACCGGTACCTACAAGACAGGGTATCCAAAAAGATTCCAACCCTCCCCCTCCATCTTTGAAAATACTGCTAAAACGAAAAAATGGTCAAAACCAAAGTTGCAGAGCTTTACAAGAATACTCTGATTACCTTGATTATGACCATCAACGTTTGTAGATCAACTTGATAATTTCAAATAGGACCATATCTTTTTGACACCCAACAATCAAAACAGCAATAAACTTTACTTTCGGACACTACTGTGCAATGACTTTGACTATAACCTTCAACATCAAATAAAAAAATGTATAATAAGGAATACTATGCTTTTGACCGGTCAAATAAAAAAAGGAAAATTTTACGTTCGTAAATAACCTTCGCCATGGCGCTGAGCTTCCAAATCATTAAGAGATCAACTTGAAACTTTAAGATGGAACCGTAATTTATGGCTCACAGGTGGAAAGCTCCAAGAAGTTTGTTTGTACATGACCTTGACCATGGAATAGTTGATCTCTAACTCACTTTGAGTCCATGGTTAAGATAATTTTAGAACGTGAGGTTTTCCGCACTTATCATTGGAGATATCAAAAACATAGTGTCCTTATTATAATACTTTCTTCTACAAGCCTGTTGAAAGTGAGTACTTTCCGCAAGCTGTTAGAAAAAAGCTTATATCTAACACTTTCCGAATGTGTATTTTCCGCCCTTGACAGCTTGCAACTGCTGTCGCGTACGAAAAGGTATCACTTTCTGCACTTGTTAGGTAAATAACTAATAAGTTGACATCTAAATAATGACCTTGAGGATTATGGTTAAGGTAACTTTCGTACATGAATTAGCTCCATTAGTGTGAACAGTTCCATTCAACATTCTCTGTCTAATCTCTAAATCAAGTTCAATTTCAGAGTGCACGGTCAAGATTGTCATTAAATTGCCTTTTCAAACTCTGCAACTTTAGTCTTGACATTTTTGTTTGGACAGTATTTTCTGTTAATTGCGTTTTTTTAATCCTGCAGGATACAAATTATTGTATATAGTATTCCTAGTACCCATTCTACATTGACAATAAATCCACGGATTTCTCCATGAATTGAATTCATGAACACAGTTTTCAAAAGTGTAAAACACGAATTTGACGCCGAATAAGTTCGTGCATTAATTCACGAAATTAGAACTTGATATGATTTTTTTCCAAAGTTGACATCAAATTCCATGGTTTTCCTTTCCAATATATCGAACAATTTTTCAATTCAGGTACAGAACTTTCAACAATATGGTTTTGTTTATGAGATTCCTCTCTAAATCAAAACCACAATACATATAAAAACTCAAAATGTTTGTAGCAAGAATTTGTCCATTGATGTAAACAGTCCAAAATATAACCAGGATGTGCTTCAAGAGATCCATCTCAATAAATTCGTGAAGAAACTGTTGATGTAAAACGGGTGTTGTGTGACGCTCATTCACACGGCGTTGTAGTTCTTATGAGAATATTTCCCAGTAATGAGGTAACGTCAGTATTAAAGCCAGGCGCCGGTACACCAAGCTGTCTGTCGATAAATCGGATTATAAATGACACACGCTAGGGATACAGGCCGTTAGAGGTAGAAAAATCAAGTTGGCAACGCCAAATCCTGCAAATTGATGAAAAAGTTATCACTTGTGTCTTTGAATCGAATAACGAAAATTTCGAACAATATAAACAACGTGTGATAAGGCGACGCTTGAAATTTCTCATCAGATGAACTGCGATTGGGTTTCTTCATTTTCTTTTTTCAACGACAATTAGTGTTATTTCATGCATAGTAGTTTCTAAAAAATATAGCTTCAAACTCAGAACATCCTTTATGTATGTATTATTTTTTTGTGCTCATAGCACGGAAGCAAACATGCATTTAATCTTTTTTATTAGTGGAATTACACTCTATTAGTGTGACATAACAAATTAAACAACCAGAAGTAGTATAAAATAATTTTAGAATTTAAAAAACATAATTACACCCAAACATTAGCATGATGTTCTGAAGCATATAAGAATGGAAGGAAAACAAAGTTCAGAAACGATGAGAAACTCTTGTTTTCAAAAACAAAGTGTCAGCTGACCAAAATCGGTACAGCCGTTTCTGATATTTTGCCCTAAGGGAATTGTCAACAGTTAGAGCAACAGACAGAATGATCGAAGGGAACGGATAACGAGTATTTTTTTGATGTGGAAACTAAACTTAACTGGAGTACCACCTTCCTTAATGCGTAGGAAGTAAAAGCTAAATATCATTTCAATGCATTTCTAGTGAACTCTGCTAATGAGAAGGAAAAGGGAGAAGTACTAGATCCTGAAATATCGATTACTACATGATATAAAATATAAAAAATTAATGAATTGCCAGAATCTAAAACTCTTTTCAACAAAATTTTTACCTGAGTATCCTTCAATTTTTGAATGTTTACTCTGGACCTAGTCATTTTCTTGGGAGGAGATTTATCATCATTACCATCCAATTGAGGTATGCTATATTCATTATCTGTCTTCATTCTGTCTTCGGGTATCACTCTTTCCATTGATTTGAATGTGTAATGAAAACTAAATGACTCAGGAGACATATCAATGTTTGATAGAAATGTGTTTTCCTCGCTGTCAAACTGTGATGTTGAAACTGACAATGGCACGAAGTTTAGGTTCCAATCATCATTATTATATTTACAATTATTATGTCTTGTTGTTCTGTAAATTGTACTTCTGTTCAAGTTTTTAGAATCATGACCTAACCATTCCATACAGGAATCATCTACTACTCCATCAAGCTGTAGGACATTTAAATTTGGATTTTTATCTTTTGTAAGTTTCACTTTTATTGTGTTTTTATTTGCTTTGTTTTTTACTGTCCCCAGGCCTTTTTTTGATGCAGTTTTAGTTGACTCAGCTTTTTTGTCTACGTTTTCTGAGTCATTGGTTGACTTCGACCTAGATTTTCCTTCTACTTTGAGCTTTTTGTCTCCATTATCAATCGTTACTTCAACCAATTTTTTGCTGTTATTACTTTTACTTGAAGATTTTTGTGTATTTGTATTAGGTTTTAGTTGTTTTTGACTGCTTGCAGATTTTGAACGCCTTCCTTCTCCAACAACCTTGAGATTATCCTTAATATTCAAATTTGTTACTCCTAAACTGCCAGCAGATGTTGCCTTAAAATTGTCGGTTTCCTTGTAATTAGTTCTTTTTGTATTTCTACCCTTTTTTGAACTATTTTCTGTTTTTCGAGGATTACCATCAAGAGTCTTTGTACATACTTTTTTATCAGTTTCTGATTTCGAAAAGCCCACATTTGCCTCATTTTTCTTATGAAGATTCTTAGTTGCAGTTTGCTTTGCACTTTTGGCACCTTTAGTAGATGTTCCTGTATTAACAATACTCACTGATAACCTCTTATTATCCACCTTTTTTGATGTGCTTGCTTTATTTTTCGAGTCACTTGAAGCTTTAGCTGGAGACTTGAGAGAATGTAACTCACTGGCAGGTGGTCTTAAAGATTCTAATTGGAAAGAGAAAACTAATCGACACTGTATGCCTAAGGCTCTCATCATAGCTACAAACATATACACAAGATACTTTTTATTGTATGCTTTTTTTGTTTGCAACTGTATTTGTAATGCTTTTAGAACATTCATATCTTTTAAAATCTTCTCATCCATCTCTATAAGCTGCACACTTTTTTTAAACCATTGTACAATTTGTTCCAAATAACTCAGATCTACTCTGTCTGCTGGGTAGCATTTTTCTGATGGCATCAATGATAAAGCTAGACCCATAATCTCAGTATTATTAATCACAGAATTAATAAAGTTGCCATGAGCTATCCAGCAAAGCAAATGGACTTTGTGAACCAACACTTGGTTTTCTTTTCTGATACGATTCAAACGCCTTTTCATAGCTGCCAGAACATCAGCCCGTTTTTTCTTCTGTAATTGAGGTACAGTATCAACAGTGATTTCAACAGCATGCTTTGGTATAGCTATTTTTTCTTCATCTTCTTGATTAGTTTTTCCTTTAACTTCTTCCCATTCATCTTCAGAGGACTCAAAATCACTTGAGTGAAGATCATTTGCTGAAATGTTATCCTCAGTAATAGTTTTAGATTCACCAATAGCTAATAAATCAGAGATATTTGCATCTGAGTCTGATTTCTTCTTTTTGGCATTGTATGTCTCTATACTTCTTTTTGCCTCATCCATTTTCTTAGAATAATCTTGAATTTGCTTGAAATTCAGTTTGGTCTTTATAGGTTCTGACTGATCATGGGGTTGCTCTATACATATTTTTTTAACTTCTTTGAAATTCTCATCAGAATCAGAACTGCTCAACCTTCTTCGAATGGATGTGTTAGTTTCTTCAAATTTCTCTGATTCATTATCCTTTGTTTTGACTTGATAAAACTCAGACGATAGATCAATCTTATCTGGACGTTGCAAATAGTTCTCAATGTCACTCTCACTTGATGATGACTCATTTTTCTCTGGATCTGGTGCAACCTTTTGGTTTTTTTCTTTAATTTTCTTAGTAGGCTGCTCATCTTCACTATCACTACTGTCCTCAACATAAACTTTTCTGCCTGCTTTTGCCCTGCGCATTTCGTTATCGAGATACCTGAAAAAATATGTCAAATGGATGATGCATGAATTTCATTTTTCTTTATATTTTGCGCAAAAAATAACTCAATGACAATGACTCTTGCATACAGGGAAAACCAAATTTGTCTGACGGCTTGAGTTCTATGTGTACGAGAGAGAAGATCGAGAAGTGTGTATCAATAAATTTTAGACAGAGATAGAAGCCGACTAAAGAGCGACGGTCATCACCATATTGAATAGCAATGGTGACGTGCATCTGCCGCGTTGCCAATAGTTTTACACCAAAAAATGTTCGCACAGGCTGCTAGAATAGGTTAAGTTAGTCTCAAACCAAAGAACGAGATCTGTTCGAACATACAATTCAATATTCTGTTTGCATTTTGATTAGATTTATTTCAATTTTGATGCGACTAAGTATTTCAATTCATTTTAGAATTACCTTTGATATCTACCGATGGCGATAAAGTCAACGCATCCTGAGTTATTATTACATTTTGTGACAGCGAGTGAATGGAAAATATAACAAATACCATTATGCAATACAAATTATCACTGCCCGCTTGTGCACAGGTGAAAACCATTTCGAAGCAGAACGACACTCCCTAATGAGTATTGACCAAAATCGCTCATCTACGATCATGGAGATGGAAACCTTGCCTTGCAATTACCAGATGCGGTGTTGCCATTCAAAAATGTGTACGCTCAAAACAAAAACCATCATTTGCGAGTAGAGAATAAACAAACGCATATGTTCAACATGCATCTCAATTCAAGGAACAGATTGCCGCGTCCGTGTTGCTAGGCAACGCGGTGATGAGCTTCTCTATAGAGCCGGCTTCTATCTATGTCTAACATATGTGTCTATATACACTTCTCTCTCATACACATTGAACTCAAGCTGTCAGATAAATTTGGTTCTCAGTGTTTATCGAGGTCAGTGGAGAGCTCAAATAACTACTTGTTTAGGGTTGTTTTTGAATATTCGGGAAGAACAGAGAAGTTTTCCTCCAGGCCAATACCTCTAGAAGAACAGGAGTTCCATAGTTAAATTCATTTTGACAAACATGACATACCCTTTGCTGCTGTCTAATTATCACCAGCAGCAAATGAATGCCTCAAAGAGGGAAGTAAGTACTATACATGACTTTGTACCCTGCGTTGAACGGCACTTAAAGGCATTCCAGCTAACTGTATTAAAAATGCATAGCAGTATCACTATCTGAATTTTAAATAGTCAGAAGTGTCAAAAAATACCAGGACAACCGTTGTTTCCAAAACAGAAATATCAATAACTTGTAGATGTCAAGTATGGGTAAAAGTGGTGAATCAGGCGTGGCCGTAGCGTTACTCATAGGAGCGGTCCTCTAATCTATGATTTTTTTTCATAAATATTTGGAGAGGTGCATTGATGTGCTTTTTAGGGTTCAAAGTACACAACAAGAACTATTATAATCAGTTATCAAAAAGTAGTTACAAAGGGTCTTACACCCCAGCTCCAAAGAAAGAAATCTGTCTATCTGATTTTGATAACTGATTATAACAGCTCCTGTTGTGTATTTTAAACCCTGAAAAGCGCATCAACGCACCTCTTCAACTTTTAATTAAAAAAAATGTTTCATTGATTTCAGATAGTAGCACGCACTGGTCACGACAGGCTTGATGAGTTGATGTGTACGATTACCTTTAGATACGATCCTACAAACTCTGCCGAACCATTTAATGCAATGCCGCCATAGCATAAGACTCATAGGCTTACATAGCAAACATATAGTTACCGCGCTCACCTCGTATGCACGTCACGGGCTAAAAAGAGACGCCACGGCGTATTACAGGCCGACAACATTTATTCGGTAGGTACGCTGAAATCTAGCAGCGCGTACGAATCGTACGATTGTGGAGACAGCTTTTGAAGCTACCTTCACACGCATAGAAGACATAATGTTATTTCGGGGATGGAAGAATTGTACTCAATGGGGAAGAGTTATGAGCTGGTAAATAGCTAATCCAACAAACACCAAAAGAAGCAGAAGGGGCCTGAAAAATGTCCATCACAAATGCCTGCAGGTCGAAGTGAAAGTGTTAATTTCTTATACGAGAAGAGAGTGTAAGATGCCCACAGTTTAAATGATTAATTAATTAGAATTATAATTGCAGGAACATGTATCATGAAATATTGTATAGTAATAATAATAATAATAATAATAATAATAATAATAATAATAATAATATTTATTTACTCTAAAATACAGGGAACGTGAAACGAGTAAATAAATATAATATATCCATAGGAGGACAATGCCTGTGCATGGATCATATGTATGTTGAATTGCAAAATATAATAAAATAGAGAGAAAAAAGAAATTATTGGTAAGAATGGAATATTGTGTAATATTTGAGATTATTTTATTAATTTGATTTCTCCCAATCGTGTTAATAAATTTTTTTAATTTTTTTTTTTGAAGCCTAATGTATTGCGTAATTGTTTTAAATTATTTGGTAAATGTTCGTACAATTTTGGAGCTATATACAGGTGACATCGTTTCATTAGGGATTTGTTTGGTTTAGGAACATTTTTTGCGCGTAATTTATATCTGGTTTTATGATTATGTTTAATTATGTCGTGTTCACTAATAGTTTTATGATAATGAGTGATGGTGTGTAAGAAGTAAAGTTGTTTAGTATCATATACTTGTGCATCATTATATAAGTCATTAGTTGGGTATAATTTTGATTTGCCTAACATTGATTTTAAAATTCTTCTTTGAAGTACATCTAAATCGTTAAAGTATGTCGTGCATGCAGCACCCCACACTACTATACCATATGTTATGTGTGGCTCGACTAAAGCTTGATATATTATTCGTAGATAATATTCAGTTAATATACCGGTTAGAAATTTTATTTTATATGCTATGAATCTAATTTTCTTTAGTATGTGAGAAATATGTACATCCCATCTCAAGTGGGGATCTAGATAAATTCCTAAATATTTTGTATCATTAACTCTATTGATTTTTATATTTTTATCATTTACCTTAAACCGAAGGTGCTTATATTTTGGTAGATGATTAGATAGTGATGAAAATGGTAAAAAATGAGTTTTAGTAAAGTTAATTGTTAATTTTCGGTTATTAAACCACTGAATAATTTTGCAAAAGTCATTTTGGATAATATCTTTTAAGTCGTTCCAATCCTTACCCTAGTAAATGTGTATAGTTTAATAGTTTTCAATTACATTATAATTTTGTGTTATCCCAGCAACAATATCTTTTTTGAATTTTGAGCAGCAGTTTTTTACTGCTTCTCAGATTCTCAAAGTCAAGGGTAACTAAAACATTTCTGTTGTTTTAGGGATTCCAAAAACTTCTGTTGGATATTCAGAAGTAATTGGATGACTATGGAAAGGTGGCATACTATTCGTCAGAGCGGTCCGGTGGATCTTTGCTCTTAGTTAAAAGTCTCGTCGGTCTGTTAGTCTGTCAGGTCTGGCTACCCAAATACCAAACATGTTTAAGGGGAAAAGGGAAAGAAGGAAATGAAGGAAGGAAGAAATAGAGCAAAGAAAAGAAGTAAATCATTTGAAACAGCTTAAGCATTATTGCTTGACTACTCGAATTATTTTGTAACTTCCAAAAATATTTTTGATCAGTTTTGTATACTGAAATAATTTAGGCTGGTCTGAATTTACAATTTAATTTTGATCACAGTGCGAGGCGCGGACTGGAATGTTTGCGAACTTGCTCGACTGTGTAGTCTTCTGAATCATGCAACAGAATCTTGCTGTGCGTTTCGGCTTGATTGTAACGCCGCTGCGCCTGTTGTTTTACAGAATCCCTTAGATATGGGATATCAAGATCTCTGTGAATGATCTCATTTGACACGTACCAAGGGGCGTTAGTAATTGTGCGTAGGGTTCTGTTTTGCAGGACTTGCAGTCTCTGCATGTGCGTCTTGGCAAGAAAACATCAAGCCGCGCATGCGTAGGTAATTGCGGGTCTTATGACCATTTTATACAACCGAATCTTGTTGATCAAACTTAATTTTTAATTTCTGCACAACAAACGATAAAACTGCCAAAAGGTAATTTGGAATTTTGTTTTTAAAATGTCAGTATGTTTCTGCCAGGTCAACCCCTTGTCAATGATGACTCCAAGATACCTGGACAGATTGCTTCCATGGTATACGAATTCCATTCACTGATATCTCTGAGGCGGCACCGCGACGTTTTTTAGTACAATAGATTGCCTGCGTTTTTGAAGTATTAATTTTGATCAACCACTGATTCACCAACTCCAATACTTCCTCCACCGCACTCTGTAGCCTGTCGTGAACCAGGTTACCAGAACGAGATTGGGCTAGCAGTGCAGTGTCATCAGCATAGAGATAGACTTCACATTTGCTGGGGCAAGGTAGGTCATGTATCTAAAGTGAATAAAGGATTGGTCCTAAGACCGAACTCTGAGGAACACCGGCTCTTACGGGTCATGTTGTTGACAACACATTGTTAATTTTGATCCGAAATTTCCTTCCTTCTAGAAAAGATTTCATCAGTTTTAGTAGCCAAAATGGAGTACCCTTTTGGATGAGCTTATACAAGAGGCCCATGTGCCACACCTTGTCAAATGCCTTTGATACATCTAAAAGCAAGATACCAGTACTTTTGTTCAGGGTGAACCCCCTGGTTACATGCTCCACCAGTCTAACTGACTGCAGCTCCGTACTATGCTCATACTGAAAGCCGAATTGCAGGTCAGGAATCACATGGTGACCAGACAAGAAATTCTCAAGGTAACGATAAATCACCTTTTCAGCGAGCTTAGAAGAAGCTGATAGCAGACTAATGGGAGGGTAATCCTGGGGGAATATCGAACCTGCCTTCTTTGGGATCATGATGATTTCAGCGATCTTCCACGCCTTAGGAAAGTAATGAGTTCTGAGCATTGCATTGATTATTGCCACCAGATAAGTCAAAGCCTTGAGTGAAAGCAACTTCAGTGCTTTATTGGTGATTTGATCCTCTACAGGTGCTTTACACACCAGAAAGGTGGTATATGATAGAGGACACAAGTGTGTTGAATAGTGCCATTTCGTCACTTTGGTGGGTTAGTTGGAATCTATTTCCTTGGATGGCATTGCCAAAGGTGGTACTAGGAAGTACTTAAGAGCGAATTTACTATCTGTAGTGCACCAAATATTTGAGGCCCCAAATGTTGCTCAGCTTTGCGGCTCCTTTAGCTGTGAGCCTTGTCCTAGCTAATGGTCAATTTAATATGTATATCTGTTAATACTTCTTAGAACAAAGCAACAAGTTTAAAATAAAAATACGGAGCCCCCAGCAGCACTATTATAGCTTTCTCAATGATGGTGAAGATTGAAGGGCATAAATATTCAGCTCGCCATTAACAGATCTTCAATATCATAAAATACAAGGTCAGTGGTAAGTGGTATGTATACAAACAATATTACATATATGTACAATCATACCAAGGTATCTAACTAGAATAAATACTAGCAATCAAATCAAAAATACACTAAAAATACTAATTATGATATATTAAGGTATAAAACATACATACCTTAACGAAATTCTAGCAATCAAATCAAAAATATCTTACAAAACAGAGAAGAAAAAAATATTTTCACTTAGTTTACATCACACACGTTGCCGCCATTTAAAGCTCGCAGTGGTGCCAGATTGTGATCACTACTTTCTAAAAAGTAGAAATAGAAATACGACTAGCTGATATTTTACTGTTGTGAGCGCAAACACATCAATAATAAGGTGTATTCTTTAATTAATTATAGACAAGATTGGTGTACAACCGGTCGCTCAGACGGAAATTAAAGGAGGTAAAATTGGCTAATTCCTTGCACCGGTGAATTAAAGAATACGCCTATACCGGCGGGATAGCTCCAAAACAGTTAATCTACGAAGGCTCCAAGCCACAACTCTAAAATATGAGCTTTGAGTAGATGAAGGACGATGGCACAAATTGAACATTTCTTGCCTAGAAATATGAATAGACAAAAGGCTTATATATTAAAAAAATTACCTATTTGGATAGAGCCGAGGAAAGCTAAGCTTCAGATGATTTGTCCAAAGCACATCAAAAGGTGGACAAAAGAAAAAATAATAAGAAAGAAGTTTGTAAAATCTACGATGGTTCACTCCTGTTGCACGTTGATATGATAATCACAGCATTGGTATGTCTTTATTAAAGTATATAACAGCTATTGGATGATTAAATATGCTGAAATGATATTTTTCAAATACCCAGCCACATGTATAATTAACAAATACGAATGGAAAATCCAAGGATTCTCATCAAAAAAGCTGGCAACGCTGGCTGATTCTTCATTAAATCATGACAATTAGCTAGTGTTGGGCTAATATGATCTGGGATAATGGGAATTAATTGTTTGTATTTTACCAATATTCGAATGGAAATAAGAATGATATTTATAAATCTTGGATATTGATAATAAATCCTTAAGAGCATCAGCAATTCCATTTTATTTAGAATCTTTTATTTTTAAATGAATTGTACGAGGAATAAAAAGGTAACTTTGCTAGAGATTATTAAGTCGTGTTGTTCTGCAAAGAACTATACACGTGACTATTATACTAGAACCGTTCTGGTGCTGCGCAGTGGTATCTGATGATTGCAGAACCGCTTTGCGATTGGTTACCGTCAGAGTCAGAACAGATGCAAAATAGTTCTAGGATAGCTCTCTGTAAAAAGCAGAACAAAGCGAATGTAACGTTATACCCTATTTCACGAGTGTCCATCATGCTTTGACGTCTACTGTGGTGAACCGCTGATCAGCAAGTGACATTTTTGTGTTAGTCTGCGACGTTGTCAATAATGAATCGGGAGTAAATCTAATAAAACTTTTTTTAGCGTTTTGTGTTTTGTATGTAGATGAACTTTTATAAATAAAAGAGCTGTTAGCAAGTACAAAATGAATCTGTAGCGTACAAGAAACCAAAACAAAGTACGGCTCTGACTACCTGACGGTGACGGATCCGTCAGAATTATGTCATGTGCCAATATGGGGAATTTTGAGATATTACTAGATAATCAACTGTCATTGTACCGTGATGGATACTCGTGAAAAAGTATACATCTCTACTATTAGAAACTTCCAACAATGACGTTTGTTATTGACACTGAGTAACCGTAACCTCATTTTAACTTAAATTTTGATGCTTACTTGCTTACGCCGGAATAAAATATAAACATAAACAGTTTGTAAATAAATTTGAATAATTTTTATTATATTCGTAAATAAAAATAGCCGAGGATGGTAAAAAGTAAGTTTGCATTGATAAGAGTGTATACACGATTAATATAAATTAAATGATTAGATATTTCAGCTAGAGCAAAAGAAGATGCTCCCAATGATGTTACAGCCCCAACCCCTTCAAGCAGTGCTGCAGAAGAATTTTCTGTAGAGAAAATTTTGGATAAGAGAACGAGGGATGGGAAAACTGAGTATCTGTTGAAATGGAAAGGATACAATGAGTAAGTATATCATTCAAAACATCTTTTAATCACACACCACATCATTTTGGCTAAGACTCCTCAGCTGCTTCAGTATACAAAATATATTTTGCTATCATCTAATTAGGACTCCAGAATTGTGTGGGTGCTAAATGAAACCACATGTTTGAATTACTTTTTACTAACCTTTCAGCCAACATGGTGGCCTTTTTTATCAGTAAAAAGTAATTGAAACATAATATGTAGTTTTATTTAGTGGCCAAACAATTATGGAGTCATATCATCATGATAACCTCAGCATACATTTCAGGTGTTATACATAATTATTCAGTGAATGTTTGTTACCAAATGCACTGAATATATAAGAAATCAAGTAAGCAGCTAAATTTTGTAGGAAATTAAGCAGTGTCAGATAGAATCTAGAACATAATTTTGAATAAACAAATACAGTACACATTTTTTTAGAACCTGTTCTGAATAATTGGACACTAAAAGTGCACAGAGGCCTACTGCTACTTTATTACAGAATTATGTATTGTGAAAATTGGCATTTATCTTTAAGCCAAAAATTAAGAGCAATCTTCTCCTTTTTTATTGCTCAGCCATTAATTACATTGTTGCATGTGGATAAAGTTTTAAATATTATTATATGGTAGATAATTCTACTTTTTGCCTTGCTAAAACAATTAGACTCGTAATTATTCCAAATTGCCCTGTAGTTTGCCTTTAGAATTGTTTTAAAAATTACATTATATGTATGGTGAGAATGACAATATTTTTACTTTAATTGATTTTCGTAATTTACTGTGAAAAATAATGTTACTACAGAGAAGATAATACCTGGGAGCCTGAAGAAAACCTGGATTGCCCAGACCTTATAGCAGCATTTGAAGCTCAATTTGAGATTGCAGCACCATCTGGTGGAGAAGATGCTGATAAATCAAAACGCAAAAACATAGTAGAAGACAACAGGCCCAGAGGGTTTGACAGGGGTTTAGAGCCTGAGAAAATTGTTGGTGCCACAGATGCTAGTGGAGAGTTGATGTTTCTTATGATGTGGAAAGACTGTAAAGAGGCTGATTTGGTACCAGCAAATCAGGTGAATGCCAGGTGCCCAGAAGTGGTTATTAGCTACTATGAGAAGAAGAAACAGTGGTACTGCAAGCCATCAGTTATAGAGTTAGACTAGATTAATTTATAATATGTAGGGATTTACACTAATGTGTTAAATTTGGATCTTTAAGACCAATTTGTCATATACAGATTTTATATTTACAGCAAAACTTTATACTCTTGTTATGAGTATAAAAACATATTTGGTAATGTATGTAGAATCCACAATAATTTTGTATGTAAAGTGCCGATTACCTTTAGTACCAATAAAATTTGTGTATTGTGAAAGCATCCTTTACATTTTAACTTTCAAAGATAATTTTATTTGATAATACATGTTTGTTTTATTAACACTATATTTTGTAAAGGTAGCTGACATTTATTCATTTTTGATGAGGTTTTATTTATTGGCCAGTAAAATAACTATGGTCAACAAGCCAACTGTAAGATATGTTTGAATCAGTTACAGACGACAAATGCCTTTAGCTGTATTGGTATGTTTTGAGATTAGAAAAGAGAAAACTAATAAAAATGTAAGAGGTATCTATTCTCCATTGTCTGGTATCTATCATTTACAATTTACTTATGAAAATATACATTATAAAAATTATTCAATTATGAGTTTTCTGTTTCCTTAAATTTACACTTAGTACATGTATAAAAAACAGTTTGACCTTCATCAGCAGATCGTAACTGTAATGTAGCATAAGACATCTTCTCATTTCCACATTTAGGGCACTTTCGTTCAACTACAGGACCTTCTTCTGCCTCTTCTTCATCTTTTGGGTCTTTCATAGTCTTTTTCTTAGAGTCTCTCGAGTTGAAATGAATAGTGTACTTTACACGAGACTGTCCAATAACTAAAAGGAGAACTTTGGTCATACCTCATGCATAATGTGAGTGCAGGCAAGTTATCTTTGAATGTATAGAAATGATTTTACCTTCCAGATCATTTGCAGAATATGCACTTGAACACGAATAACATGTAATACCCCCTTTTTCTCGAAGTGGAGGCAGAATCGATCCACAATCTGAACAAAATCCTGATAATTTTTGAAATGTTTGAGGCATAATTGCTGTGGGTAGTATTGAGGTGAACTTTTTGAAAAATTAAAATCGTAGTATGACAAAAAAAAGTGAGGTTAGATTTCGGCTTAACAGAATAGAGATGTGAAGTGTAAAATAATGTTGCCGTTCAGTTTTTATTAAGGGTTTTGGGTACCAAAAAATGCAGGCGGCACGCTGGTTATGGATAAAATTTAGGAGCGTTAGGGCCTTTCCTTTTTGGTTCTTGTAGTCTTGTATTCGTGGTATTATTAGCATTTTTACTATTTATCACAGATATTCGTAACATCTCTATGAATAAATTGGCACCATGACAATTTGACATTTGATTTTTCCAGAAATGACACTTGTTTGTTTACCTTTTCATTGTGGAATTTTTATTGCTTGTGGAATTCATTATCGCAATGAAATTTTATATATCATGATTGTGACCCGAAAGGAAGATTAAAAAATAATAATATCTGAAATGTGAATCTGGAGACAAACGGCTCGTGTAGGTTATGTCATCAAATGATTAGAAATATATATATTTTATCGGAAAAAATAATTATCAGTGGATAAATTAGCAATTAATGGACTGCTGGCGCTATTTACCTGATTACTATCCTATTATCACATGCTCATGTATGTGTACAGTCAATTGATATTTAATACTATTGTTGATTATACCCGAGTGTCCCGAGTCAGTGTAGTTGCAGTCCGAATTTAGTAATGGATGACTATAGTTCTTTAGATGATGACGAGTTAAATGATTATGATATTTATGGAAAAACACCCCCAAGAACGAAAATACTAAGGAAAAACCGAGAAAGAAGGCAGAAAGAAAGAGAAACTAGGTAACACCACATTATATAGGCTTCCAATATGTAATTAAATTATTGATCTGATGGTTCAGCACATACATGGATAAACAGCTACAATTAATTTATTTAAAACTTTTCAGTGGAGTCAATATTAAACCCAAAATATTGGATAGAAGGAGAACCTTACCAAATGTTCACAAAATGTCCAAAAGTGAAGAAGAAGATACTGAAGTCAACAATGAGCAAGGGGAAGAAGGTATGTCAAGTATACACCAATTTATGTAGTGAATTATATCTCAGTGATTATTATTGGCCATGTAGCAATTGATTTCAAATGCCAAGTTTACTGGACCAGTGCTGCTTGACTTTATGTGTCAAACTAGTTCTGTTTCCAATTGCCTACAACCATCAGAAATTCATTGCCAGGACATGCTTATTAGTAGTATACTGAAATTTGAGGCTCAAAAATAGAGATCATTCTGAATTAGTCATCACTAACAAACTCATTCAAATCACAATTTAAGATTCAAGGTATATGTAAATAAATTATTGAAGGTGTGATTATGTAATGATAAATTCAGAAAATACCAATGATTGTTGATCTTCTGAAGAATGTGTATGTCTGATCTTCTTGGTAGCATTAAGTTCCATTTATCACTTTAACAACCTTTAAAATCTTATAATTGACATGTAGCTATGCACAAGAGGAACTTAGCAAACTAATAAAAAATGATAACTCTCAAAGGCATTTGTATAATAATTTATTATTTTATCAATACCCATGGGCAGAAACCACATTAAAAGATATTTACATTTTTTCCTAAAAAGATAATTATAATTCTACTTAATTTTGTATAATGATTTATTATTACTATTGTGAATATTGATAATGAAAAAATATCAATTGTTTGATGGGAATACTTCAATTTAAGCTACAACTGAGGCTGTTTGATATAATTTTTTTTTCATTATAATCAAGCAATTATCTAGATACTTTTGTTACTTTATTGCACATGAGGATATTATATCAAATTGAGAAACTCTAAGCAATAATTAAGTTACTATTATATACTAAGCTCATAATCTTTCTGTAATATCAGGTCCAAAAAGGACTAGCAAACGCCAACTGAAACTTCTACGTGGATCTGAAAGAGATCTTAAACTTGACATTGCTAGTGCACAGGCAGTCACTGAAAAAATGACTACCAATGGTGAAAAACAAGAATATGTCAAAACCCCCAGCTTTCAGGTATGTATCACTTCACCAACAAATTATTCTATAGTATGCCTTTTATTTTGAAAACATAGAAACTGCAATGTCTTTTCTATGCCAAAAATGATTCTTTAACCCTTAACAGGAAACGTGAATTTTTGGAACACAAAAGGAAACATGCCATCTCTCAGACTGCGAACTTCAAGATGTTCAAAAAATTAGAGTAAGGCGAAAAGCAAGCAATAACTTCGCTGAAACTGATACTGGATGTTTATTTTATGTGTTTAATACGTAAAATGCTCATTTCAAAATGATACAAGAACATAAAAGAAACATTTTTATTAACTATGCTAAAACCATACAAAAATAACGCTGTTGTTGCAACATTCAGAAACTAAATTAAAACTATGGAATAGTAGTAGTATAAATACAAAAAGAACACAATCAAAATTCACTGCAAGTCTCAAACATTGCCTATATTTATGCAGCTAATACATTTGGGTTTGGAGCATTGAAGACATACAGGCTTCCTACATTGTACACACAAAAATTTGGTCATCCGATGGGTCGTTCGGTGACATAAAAAGCAGGCTTTCCTTTTTTCCAAAACCAAATTTTCAGCTTCTGTTGCTGGATGTTCACATTTGCCAAGGATGCGATTTATCGTAAGTCGCAAATCCCGAGGTAAACGGGGACTCTCTAGTCGCTTTTCCATATGCTCACGGACCAGGTTAGCGGCCAACATCTTAGCAAATACCGATTTTTCCTTCTGCAATTCATTTTTCTTATAGCACTGGTGTAAAATATACGAGTTCACTACCGATATATCCAATAGTCGGTAGAAAATAACCAGTGGCCACCTACGCGAACGGCGACTTGAGGTACTCTTCGAACATTTTTCATCAAGAGAATCAACTCCACCTTTATTAGCATTGTAATAGGCTATTATTTCCGGTTTCTGTGTTTCCGGATCACAATATTTTCTGTGGTGCATAGAAGATATGAGTATTATGGGTTTATTTTTTTTGCTTACATGAGACACAATAGTGGAATCTTCTCGAAATCCGTACATTGTTGATCCGACTTCTCTTGATTTGTTGGGTAAAAATGCCGGAGGAATTTCTCTTTTATTTTTCTTCATTGTACCCACATAGGTCAGTTTGTTCTTCAATAGGACATCCATTAATTCTATTGACGTAAACCAGTTGTCCGCTGTAATGTTGCGATTAGTTCCAAACAGAGGCTTCGCGAGACGTAGAACTGATTGTGTGGGTTTGGAATACCGCTTGTGTTCCTCAGGAAGTTCGAAACTATCGGAATCTTTACCGCAGTATATATATGCGTTATAGAGGTAGCTATTCCTTGCATCCGTCAGTGCCATAATTTTTATGCCATATTTGCAAGGTTTCGCAGGCATATACATTTTGAATCGACATCTTCCTCTGAAACTCACGAGCATTTCATCGACAGTGACAGACTGGCCAACTCCGTACACACCTTGACAGTTCTTTATAAAACTATTAAAAATGAAAGATATTGGTGCTACTGGATCTAGCTTCTTTCTTTCATTCCTGTCATCTGGGTTATCAAACCTTAAGGCTGACAGGAGAATACCAAATCGTTTTATGTTCTTGGCAGCTCTGAATATATCTCTTCCAGAGCCATCGGTGGCAAAAAGTGTTTCAATGTTCTCGTGGTTGCTGTTGAACACCGATGTATATACTAAGAGACCCAATAGTGCCTTTATTTCGACTAAATCAGTGTCGTTTGGGTTGCTGGTTTGATTTTTGTATCTCTTTCGCATTTCTTTGAGCTTGTGATTGGTCCACTTAACGATATGTACCAACATGTCGTCAGTGAACAAAAGCTGCCAAACCGTCAACGGAGCTGCTTCTTCTCCATATTCATGAGCTTTTCCTCTTAGAGTTGGTACTTTAATGACTATATTGTGCTTCCTTGTACGTGATGATGGTACAACTTCCGAAATATTCCACCTATGACGATTTTTTCCATAGAAATAATTCTGAGCTGGTAAATCCTCTTCATTTCCTTCGGCTCCGTCTTCTGATAACTCACTATCACTTGTATGATCTGATTCCATGTATTCGTCTTCTGAGGCACTGTCTATATCACTAAAGTCACTTCCTTCATCCTCAAACCATTTTAGAACGGTTTCTTCGAACTCCGGATCATCGTATCGTACACGTTTAGAAGGTCCCGCCATACTCGCAAACGCACCTATGTAACACAAATAGCAAACGGGAACGGAAACGTGCCGTCTGACAGACTGCAACAAACTAAAATTGGTCCATATTTTAAGGCACGTTTTGGCTAGACTTGTGTGAATGGGGGTGGGCGATGGTCACTAATAGCTTATGGATTAGATGGGTTTTTACGTCTGTTAGAGGTGCAATAAAAAAAGATACGCTCAGGTATAGAAACGCCGCAGTCTCACAGACGGCACCTTTCCGGTTAAGGGTTAAATATTGTGGAGAGTATTTAAAGGGATTAAATTGAGAGCAAGACAAATGGGTTTTATTGAAAGCATGTAATTTGGAAATCTATGTAGTAATAGCCATGAAAAATATTTCAGGTTGAGCACAGCAAATGCTTTATGAGCCTTATGAGTAGGACTGTTCAATGTGCTAAGAGCTTCAAACAGAAGAAACTTGATTATAAAGCCAAAGAAGCAAATAAAGAAGACTTGAAAACAGAGACAGATGAATGCCCTCAATCAAGGGTAGAATTTTATGACATGCTAAAGACCTTGATCAGAATGGGAAGTGGAGAGAAAAATGTTTCAGATCGAAATCCAAGAAGAGCTGTAATAATTTATTTTTATGATATTTATCAAATGCTGTAAATTTAAAAAAAATAATAATTAATATTCCAAATTATAATATTATAAAATTACCTTTAAGCATATAAACGCTTGTAATGCTGTTGTTATTAGTGACAAAACTACTGTCTTTGGGAAAGAGAAGTATGTGATTTAACCACTTACAGTTTTGAGGGCTTCCTACAGGGTTTGTCCGGAAAGTAAGAGGACTCATTTTCTTCCGCCATGACTGTACTTCGGAGCGTGCGCGCACCGACTGGATTCGGTAGAGGGCGTTCCTAGCTAACGAATGAGTGGCTGGTCAGTTGTCTCCGAGCACTTGGAGAGTCAGGACAGGCATTTTCGCGCGACGTGTTTCTGTGAGTGGTGCAAGCCGAAAATGCAGCGTTCGTTAGAGCAGAGGTACGCGATTAAATTTTGTGTGAAACTCGGTAAATCTGCGACAGAGACGTTTGATATGATCAAGCAGGCTTACCCAGGTGTTGCTTTAGCAAGAAGTGGTGTGTTTCGGTGGCACCAGGCCTTTTTGGAGGGCCGGAAAGAGGTCGCTGATGAAGACCGTGCTGGAAGACCTTCGACTTCGACAAACACCGATAATGTGACTCGTGTGCGCAAAGTTTTTAACTCAGACCGTCGACTAAGTATTCGTTTAATTGCCCAGATGTTAAATTTACCAAAATCTGTGGTTCATGACATTGTGACACAGCATTTGAACATGCGCAAGGTGTGCGCGAAGATGGTCCCAAATGTGCTCACTGACGACCAGAAATTGCGGCGAGTGGAAGTGTGCCAAGAAAATTTGAACATGTGTGAAAGTGACTCTCAATTTTTGAATAACGTAATCACAGGTGACGAGTCGTGGATCTTTGAGTATGATCCCGAGACAAAGAGGCAATCCTCCGAGCGGCACACGACGGCGTCTCCTCGCCCAAAAAAAGGGAAGAATGAGCAAATCCAAAGTGAAAACGATGCTCATTGTCTTTTTTGACATCAAAGGCATTGTCCACCATGAATTTGTTCCTCCTGGACAAACCGTCAACGCCAAGTTTTACGTGGAAGTGCTCAGGAGACTCAAACGAAAGATTAGTCGGGTCCGACAAGACATCGCAGCCGACTGGAAGTTGCACCACGTCGACGCCCCGGCTCACACCGCCTTTCTTGTGAATAGCTACCTGACCAAGGCCGGCATCCCAACGCTTCCGCAGCCGCCCTATAGCCCAGATGTGGCCCCCCGGACTTTTTTTTGTTTCCTCGCCTGAAAAGGCCGATGAAAGGCAAGTATTTTGAGACGACAGACGTGATCCAAGCAGCATGCACCGCGGCTCTCAAGGCTATTCAGGAGAATGCCTTCCGTGACGCCTTGAATGCTTGGAAATCGCGCGGGCAGCGCTGCATCGACGCAGAAGGAGCCTATTTTGGAAGTTTTTATATAATTGTAACGATTGGCTCAATAAATTTTTTTAAATCGACTCAGTTCTATTACTTTCCGGACAAACCCTGTATACCTCAGATTTATCCGAAAAATGCATACCTATTCATGCTGATCTATTTTTGAGAAATAAGTGTTAAATAGAAATTTCTTCTACTTATTATCCTTGAAATAACACCTTCAATTATTCTTTGCTGTAAATGAGTTGTATTGTTTTTAGTTGAGTAGAGAAGAAACTTTGTGGCAAACCGAATTGAAAGATGTGATTTGGTTAGAGCTTCAAGCATTCCATGCTGAAAGGAGTCCAATGGAAGAAGATTCCTACCTTTGTAGTGCTAGAGAGATGGTTGAACCACTGTTAAATGACATAAAGAACTATAGGTTTCAAAGACATAAAAGGTATTTACTACATTATCATCCATAACTTATTATTTATTATCACTAAGCGACATAGGATTGTAAAACGGGTGACACTTAACTTCAGTCTATCAGGTAAATTGCATAAATATAACATAAATTATATGAAAGACAATCACGTCAACCCGTCGGCGTCGGTGAAGCATTGAGTGCTGACATTGTCTCTAATGTGCTCCTATAGAACTATCTGCTCCAGTCCAAATGGAACAGCCTTGCTGAAACTGAATGAATATTTGGCCATACACTCTACACTCTACGTTGCGTCGAACGTATCGGGTCTTTACGTTCATGAATGGTTTTTGGTTTGTCGGTCCGTCAAATTTGACATCATAGAGAATGAGGTTCTTAACGCCGCGGTAATGATGACGCACTTTATTGTATGTAATATCCAAACGCTCTGACCATAGAGCTGCACTGACTGCGTTGTCAGCGTCACTCTTTAAACATGAAAAGCCTTCCTTGAAAAACTTATTGTAGGCATTTGTATTTTATTTTTGTTGTAGGCATTGTACTCAAAATAGTGACAATGGAGTTGGGGATGATTGCTCCGGGTGCTTGTCTATTTACTGTATAAACTGCTTGGAAGCTCAAACTGAAGCTTTGAAAGAAGTGGAGCAGCTACTCAAACGATTGGAGGAAGCGGAAAGTTTGTTTCCATCAAGCAAAGCATTTGCGGAATTGTACCCGTTATATAGTAGTCCAGAAATTGTTGGCAAAGTGAAATCCATGTGTTTGTGGTACAACATGACAAGGCATCAAAAGCTGAAGCTAAGTATTTTAGGAAGACTGATGATGTTATTGGAAGATAGGCGTGGACTGTGGCTAGTTCCTGGGGAAGAAACAGGTTCAAGTACGTTTTTTTTCTTAAAAATAATTTAAATTCAGAAGACTACTAGGACAAGAGCAATCATTTGCAGCACATACAGGATCATCCAACCCTGTGAGGCTTTCCTCTTACAGGCCTGAAAGGAACATTGTCATGGACTTGTCATTTGACAATCTGTTCTCCCGGACATTTTTGCGATTTTCTTATTTCATACTGTGGAAGGAAAATAATCACTAATCCCTCTTTCTAAAATATATGACAGTCAGTTAGAAATTTTGTTGCCTCAAGTGCCTTGTCCAGCGAATGTTTGATCATGAATCATGGATTATCAACTAAAGTTTGCTATTCAGGGATTATGAAATGGATTGACAACTCAACGCGCAAGTACGTCAAGTCATAAATTCTCATGTAAGGCTAAGACACTAACCTCATCTGCGATTCCTTCTTGTCGAGACGGAACAACCAGCTTTCGTAAAGGTAATGCTAAGCTTGCATTCCATCATTAGACAGTCCTTAACACATCAACAATGAATCATGAAGCCCCCCCTTGCGATCATTTTGACAACAAACAAAGATGGTCGGGAAAAGAAAAACTCTTAGAATCACTAAAGTGAACCGTGGTAAGTTAACAGTACTGAATTCTGTTGATCTTGACAGGTTGCTTATTTTTTTTTATGTTGACGTGAATTCCAAAATTTCATTACTTTTGGAAAAAAAAATCATGGGAATGTTTCGGTAATATTTGTGTTATGATTAGTATGAACCAGTCACGAAATGACTATTCTTAGAATCCGACACTGGAATTTTATTTTTGTGATTCTTCTCATCGTTTGTCACTCTGCTGTTTCATTCGTTATATTATTTAGTTTTTTAGACCGGTGTTGAAAAAAAGTCATTACCGAAGAAAAAATAATATTTTTAAGCAATTCATACTCCTACTTTTATCTGCCGTTTTGTCGAACGCAAAAAAATCTCGATCGCGTGATTAATTGTCTCATGTTTTTAGATTCGCGAGATTTTATTGAATGAATGATGTCGATTGTGAGATTCAAGAAGTCACTTTATGAGTTTCGTGCGACATTTTAGTTATCTCGCTTGAGACATTAACCATTCGACATTCGAATCGAAACCCTCGCCCCTGACCATATTCACAATTCGTAACCAAAAATGAAACATAATACACAGGATCGCATTTTAAGGGGGGGTCTTCTATGTAACATTTTTTCATAGATGGCTTCATTAAAAAGATATGGGGTGTTGAAGTTTAAAAATAAAAAACAATTTTTTTTATTTGATTTGTGGGTTTACCTGAGTATTGCCCACATTCAAAAGTCTTTACTTAAAATTAACGTGCACCAGTGGCGGAGATACAGGGGATTAGTGACATTATTTTTCCAAATGAAAATAGTACGCCACTGTTTTTTTTTTTTCGAAACGCACGATTTTTCGAATTTTACTTCCAATTTGCTACAAATAATTACTCTTGTGTTTTTCCTAAGGTGCATTGTTTTCGCAATAATAAAAAAAATCAAATCAGATTGTTCATGCAAGTTCTAAAACATACTTTATTATTGAACTCAAAAGCCATACAAATTCAAATCCTTTGCGTGCGCATCCACGTCAAACATGCGCACAACAGGAAGAAGATTTCGTGAAGTCTTTCTCGTAAAGATCGGAAAAGGCTACGGCCGTCTTCAAAGCCTCGACAAAAGAACCCTAGTTAAACCAGGAACAATATATCCGCTAAGGCAAGTGTGGTGAACCTAAGAAGAAGCTGTGAAGAGAGAGGAGCTCCTCCAGACCAGGCGACAGGAATACCCAGGTACGTGCCAATCCTACATTGTCTTTGTATGGCTCGGGTGTCGATTACCTTGTTACCTTAATTATATCTGAACGCGCTTACAGTCCTGCGGCTCTCCATGATTTAGAATTATCTTTGCAATAACACAATAACAATAACAACCATATAACACGTAACTTTGACAAACTCTCTCCCAAGAAACGTCAAGTTAGTATCAGGGCCTCCTATTTTATTTTGAAACTAATTGTTTTCGGCTCTTCATGAATGATCTAATTTGTTTTATTTTCATTTTTACGAAAACAGTGCACTCTAGGAAAAAACACAAGAGTAATTCTTTGTAGCAAATTGAAGGTAAAATTCGAAAAACTGCGCATTTAAAAAAACACAGTGACGTAGTATTTTTATTTGGAAAAATAATGCCACTAATCCTCTGTATCTCCACCCCTGGTGCACGTTAATTTTAAGTAGAGTTTTGAATGTGGACAATACTAATATATAATAATAATATAAAAATCCACATACCAAATTTTAGTTCATTCCAGTTGACCGTATTGATATTAAAAAAATTGTTTTTTATTTAAATGTTACATAGAAGACCCCCCTGTGTAACAAAAATCTGATCAAATTAATCCATTTAGAACACTGCCGATTTCTTGAATATATCTTTCTGTAATATAAAGCTCAAATTTCTATTATATTTTAATCAATAGATTTTTATAATTTTAATTATTCAAATACAACAGCGCTCAATAGGAAAGTGATTTGTTTACAAAATAAGCTCTCCCTCATTCTCCGTAAGTAACCGACCTTCTTATTTCCATAATGGAGAACAAAGTATCGTCTTGCTACTGTGCAAACTCAGAATCACGAAAATCATATCAAAGCAGCAAAGTAAGAGAATTTTTAACCCCTATTATCTTCATAACTTACTGGCACTGAATCTATGAGGATTCCATTTTCCTACAGGAAAGAATGCTTGAGTATGGGCTGCAAATCGTTGACGTTGTGTAATATTTGTTGTAATTTTGACATTTCAGCTAGCCCATCTGATAGTAATAACAGCTCAAATTCGTCGACCGGCGATTTGTACAGTGATCAGAAGAATAGTGACATTGTCAACATGGCTCCAATCATTGCTTTGTTGACTAAAAAAGACGGGTCGAAAGTATCACCTTATAGAAGATATATTGAGAATGTTCTGAAGACAAGGACGCTGGATAAGAGTCTGAATTTTTTGCGGAAGCTTCATACGAATGTCTTAAAGAAAACTCAGTTGACACTCGAAAAACCGAAGGATGATAGTATTTTTTCAGAGGTAAATATTTTTAGCTCTTAACGCGGATCGTCCATTCAGACAAGCACAAATCCAAGCGCGGATCCTGAGGGGAGGGTCATGGGGGTAATACCGCCTCCCTGGGGGAATCTAGTTTGACCACCTGTATTTATGACTTTCGAATCTGTTTGACAAATTTAATAAAATGCAGACTTTTGTTGATATGTAATGGATACAAACTGAGAAAAATCGCCAGATTTGGTCAAAAATCAACACACTTGGCAACCTTGATCAATTCATCGCTTCGATGATGGGGTGCGTAAGTCTGGTTGCCTATACGTTCAGCTTGACGCAAATATAAATAAAATAGTGATTCTGTGTTTTTCGGCTTGGTAGCACTGCATGTTGATTAGTGCATTTTTGGAAATTGAGCTTCTTGTGTTCTGTGATTAAGGTAGTTAATTGAAAATTCAGACATTCGGAAAGGAATATAAGAAAAAACATACTCGCGTGCAGCTAATGCTTGATAACAATACTTTGATAAAATCCGAGGAAAGCAGTTTCATTTGTTTTAAAGGAGATGGTAAGTAGTAAGCCTCATAGTTGTCTAACCGCAAGAGTGTTCAAATCTCACTCTCTTCATCTATCAGCTCATTAACATATATGCTACTTCATATTCTTGACGCTTTTTATTTGTAACTTCGCATGATGGTATTGTCTTCGTTTAGTCACGTACAGGGTGTTTCCCAAATATGGGTCAAGAATTCAATGAGTGACTAGTGGGACTATTCTGATACTATTGAATTTGGTCCTCTCGATATGCGAAATACCTCTTGATTCCTGAGACGCAGGCAACTGAAAGAGACGTCTTTGGAAATAGGTTTTTCTTAAATAATTTTCACATATCGTCGCTTAAGTTTTAACATCGCATAACATGACGCCATCAAGATATGCGTGTCATTCGATAGGGAACCCAAAGATTCGCCGTTTTTTTCTTGCTCTTTCATAAATTTGTCAGTTTTGAGTTATGCTGTGTTAGAACTTAGGCGACGATATAATTTTATTAACTCATTTGGTTCGCCAGACACGGACTAGCCATAAACGAAATATATTGCTAATTATTTTTACACCTTTGTATAATAATGACCTAAAAATAATATTTTTTTAATTGGAACTTGCCTCGATAGTGTTGACTGTTCCGTCTATATCAATATAATGTTATAGTTGTAGTCACCGTTCTTGGCGGTTACGTCATCAACGCCATATGAAATAAGTAAACAGATCAGTCTCCGTACCATGGACGGAACACTGCGCAGACTAATCTTCATCGCATCTGCTACTCTCCAGTACGCGTGAAGTGGGTAATAGGTGTCCGCTGTTTTCATTCTCTTCCTGGAAATACTCTAATAAAATTTAACACGAGCTGTCGGCCTTCTCCATTGATCGTACTTCTGGGCATTGTACAATTTTATATCGAAGATTGATAACAGCAAAACTAAAATTGCACGCCGATGTCAAGTAAGTTGTCACTCTGACAAATGTGAGCTCTCATACGTAACGACAAAGTTTTCGAGACGGAGCCACACAACTAAAAAACGTATGTCTTTGAGCTTACCGAACAAACGTTCACACTCAGGGGTAGGTTGCATGTGTATGTATGAGGGAGATGGAGATATATAAAGGGATACTGGTAGTCTTATTTAGATCCGCCAAGAACGGTGACTACAACTATAGCTGCGGTTGTTTCGAAAAATTTATTCATGTTTGATTTCGATAATATCAACCGTTTTTAAGAAAAAATATCCGTGGTTTTTCAAGTCACTGATGAGAATTACCGAATTTTGAAACCAGGGGAACCAGTAATCAGAATCGGTTCCATAATTTATAAAACTACCAAAATAATAAGTCTATTTTACTCCAAAACCTCAATATCGGAATCAAACAATTGTAATAAATACATTTTGTCTCCCATGTGGGTGACTCTAAGGGAAAAAATGATAAAAAAAGCGGACTGAAGCGGAGTAGAGTTGAAGGTCCCTTTAGAAATATAGATTCAGTTTTTGCTAAAAAATCTGCGGCTTGAGATTAACAAACAGACCAAAATTTCAGCTATACTAACTCATACAAATATTGACGATGCTGCTTTTACAGCTGCATTAACCGTTGCTTCAACATCCAATGAAGAAAAAAGCATTATCCTGTTACTGAGGCTTTCCAGTGCATGTCATATCCGTCATCTGATTCTGATCAGATAAGCAATTCGCTTTCGCTATCTAAATTTTCCTCAAACATCTTTCTGGTATGTTGGGAAAAGCATAGATGATCTAACGAGAGCTATGTTACACGCCTTGGGTGCTTCCACCATATTAAATTCCCTCTGCCCCGGAGAAGAATATCTTCCTGAACGTAAATCCTGGGAACCTCCCCCGGACGCAAATGCTGGATTTGCCCATTCTTTGGAATAAACACGTTCGCAATGAAGTATTTTTATTTTGAATTCATTATTTCAAAAATATCAAAAAACATAAATCACTTCTATAGAGTTTCCCATAATCTTAGTATGTATTTCAAAAAATTGTGTGTGACACTGTAATTCTTCCCTATTTTTATATTGTTCAACCATTTTTTACAGCAAATGAAAACATATTTTCAAAATTACAAATTCTACAAAATAAAGCTATGAGAATAATTTTAAATAAAAACAAATATGCTAGGATTAAGTCTATGTTAGAAGCACTACAGTGGTTGAAAGTGAAAAATTTTGTATGTTATTTAGTTCTCATTTTCATATTCAAATTAAAAAATCATTTATTACCACGACATTTGGAAAAGTTCACAAAATTAAAAGGTCATTATCATAACTACGAAACTAGAGGCAGTATAGATTTTCATGCTCAAAATTGTAATAGTAGCATATCTAGCAAATCTGTATTTCAAAAGGGAGTATTTTAAATTAATAAATTGAATAATGATATTGAACAGTGTTCAAATTTAAAAATGTTTAAGGTGAAATTAAAAAATCACTTTATGGATTCTCAAAATGCATAGTGATGTAATTTTAATGGACAAAGAATTTAAAATTACAGAAAATGGTTTGAAGAAAAATGTGTAAGCGAATAATTATACAAAATTGACTTTGTAGCATTAATGCTAAATAAATCTTCAACAAACGAACAAATCCACCTTGGTAAGGAACATTGTGGGACCAATTTTTATATGAACTTGTCTTTTTATTTTTTTATCTACTTTATGCCCTAGAAATATTGGTACTATTTTCAGTATCACCTTGTTTTTCTTCATATTATTTTTCAATTCATTATTAATTGTTGTTAAACATAGTTAAAATGGAGTGCGTCCAATCTTGATGGGTAGTGGGTTTCACGAAAATCCATCCAGTGGAACCGGGTTCCGAGGTTTTAATATTTCTTACGACACCCCACTAACGAGTCACATTCGAACAATGAAAATGATGAAAGAAATGAAAAAAAATGAATCTATTATTTTTATTTTGCAGATTAGTCCCGGAACAGAAGAAGAAGAACTACGTCGATACGGATCATGGAGTCCCGAGGCTCGCAGCGCAGGCCTTCCTTCATATCGCGCTATGTTTGTTTGTCTGTCTATAGTCCCGATGACTATGCTGCACGAGTATCTGTTGATGAGACTGGAACAGAAACCTGAGAATCCATCTCCACTGAGTGTAAGACAGTTGATGCGTGAGCTGAAGGAAGGACTTAAATTGGCAGTTGCTGAAAGGAAAAGAACATGCGGGTATGTATTAAAAGCGATTGATAGACCAATGGAATTAGGCACAATTATCAGCTCATGAATATAAATGTGAACGTCGGTCCATTCTGTCAGCATCACGTTTGAACTACAATACAGAGAGACTTAATAATATGTACACTTACTATTGTACTTTGTATAACACAGTTGCAAGGTTTGAAAATATTCGTTTAATGGTGATCTTGAACCTGACCTTGGACTATGACCTTCAAGGTCATTTGAAGGTCAAGACAGTTTTTTTAAACGAAACCCCTATTTTTGACACCGGAAATGTAAAGATCGGGAAAATTTATATTAAAGTATGTCTTCGCCCATGACCTTGACCATGATGCGTTTGAATATTGCATTTTTTTCTCCGAAACCAATCTCCTTCACCCTATTGCAAAACGAATGTCCTATACACTACTTCCACGCAAGCCAAGCCGCGGGTGTAGTCTAGTTTACTTTACTATAAAAATGTATACCTCTGACAGTCAGGATTATTATTTTTTCGGACAATTTCAAGCTGAAGTATATCCTTGTCAATATCAGGACCATGACCTTCATGACCAAAAAGCGAAATATTGACATTGACTTATTGTTGCATTAAAATGTTGGATAAAAAATATTCATTGCATTACTTTGAATATTGCATCTCTTTCTCCAACACCAATCTTCTTTACCTTTACTCTAATGCAAAACGAATGACATATACTTTACACTACATCAACGCGAGCGGAGCCGCGGGCTTAGTCTAGAGGCAAATAAAAATAGATCCAGTATGTGGTATTAACTAAGGCATTTTTGTTATAGTTATATCGAATCGGCGATTTCCGGTACCAAAGAAAAAGTCGACAGTTTCAATGTACAACTTGCCAGTTTCGATGACTGTGTATCGAGAATATTCAACGACTATTTGGATTACCTAGAGCAGTGGATTTTACTATACAACCATACGTTTCAAAAAAATCTACTCGAAGACGAATATGACTTTTGTTTAGAGATGTGCGAAATTATACCCAATGGCAAAGAACTGATTGGTAAGCAGAGTAACTGAATATGCTCCTTAGTAACTGAAATTTTAGCATAATCGCTGTAATAAGATCAAGATATTTGAGAACAATTAAGAGTGCGTTTTCTCCATCTTAGAAATATGACTAATCAATGCAGATGCAGCACTAGTACTCGAAGAATGCATAACGGCCAACCAGTGCGTTCCGATAACGGTTGTCACATTCGCTTGGTGTTGTTGGGACGATGAGCGAGGATAACGTATCTGGGAGATTCAAAATAACAGACTGTAGATTAGTAAACTTCTACTTCAACGTTTACGATTTCATTTGAACATTGCCTTTTAGCATCTATAAAATCACTACCTCGTCACCACACTGCAGCGTTACCTCATGTTTTAATGTTTCCTGAATTAGTGAAAACCTCGCGCAATTACCTTTTTCGATTGTAAAGGGTGTCTCAAGAGCGCTGGATTTGAATTTGCCGCCATTTTTTTTGTACAAATAGTATGGTGTTTACTTGATGGCAGCTGTCTTGACCAGACCACGCGATTAGACGTCATAAAGCAGTATTTAAACGAGTAACGTTTAATTAATTATTGTGTAAACTCACTAAAAAAAAGAGAAAATTACGCGGAAACATTTCGCAAATTACGTCGGTCACAATAATGTGCCAAATGAGTCGTCAGTTCGCCTTTGAATTACAAAATTTGAGACGAAATTCACGTTGCTGAATGTGAAGACCACTGTTCGTCGCCGTCCTGGTCGGTCCCTCGAAAATATAGTCGCAATGCGGGAAAGCGTGGCCGAGAATCCAGGGACTTCCATTCGGCATCGTGGCCATGAATTGAAACTTACCAGACCCACTGTGCAACGAATTTTGACAAAAGATCTGTGCAACGGACCATGCGCAGCGCCGTGAATTCGTTGGTTGGGCGCTCGAGCACCACCAAATTGATGCGGATTTCTCGAAGAAAGTCATTTTCTCTGATGAGGCATATTTTCAACTGAACGGGTACGCCAATAAGCAGAACTACCGAATTTGGGGTTCTGAAAAGCCTCATGTAATAATCGAACAATCAATGCATCCGCTGCGAGCTACCGTTTGGTGCGCATTGGTGGGTGGCGGAGTGATTCGACCGTATTTGTTCGAAAATGCAGCTAGCACTGCGGTAACTGTTAGTGGTGTGAGTATCCGGAAATGTTGACCGAGTTTTTGTGGCTCCAGTTGGATTAAATTGATGTGGAGGATATGTTCTTCCAACAAGACCTGCCACACAGCACGCGAAACAATGGTGTTACTGCGGACCAAGTTTCCAGACCGTGTCATCTCTCGGCTTGGCGATCAAAAGTGGCCACCAAAATCGTGCGATCTAACGCCAATGGACTTCTTCCTCTGGGGCTAATGCGAATGAAAAGGTGTATGCGATCAAGCCACAAACAGTTGAACGCCTTAAAGAAGATGTACGGCGCGTTATCGACGAAATAGAGCCACAGTTGCGAAAACAAAACTTTATCCAGAATCTTTCGCAACCCCCCCCCTCGGTCATGTTTAAATATAAATACTCGCTTAATTCGAAAAGAAATTGTGTTTTTCTTGAAAATCAAATACGGCGCTCTTATTGAGAGACCCTTTATATACTTGACAATGTTTAACTTGATCCTATTGTAGGGCGCAAGTTTTCCTTCATACTTGGAACGATTCTGCAGAGGATAGGTGACAGGCTGTTGAAAAGGATTGATGAAGTATTGGAGGAAGAGGTGAATAATTGTGATGACGGCATGGTCAAGCAGAGGTTGTTATCAGTATGCCGGCACCTACAGTCATTGTTCAGTGAAGAAAGAGAGCTGTGTCTCAAGTCTATATCGTTCTTTAAAACACATTTAAAGAAAGAGGGCATACCTTCTCAATGTATGCTATTTTTGAAGGTAATAATGAAATTTTAGCTAAAAAGGCTTCTTGCGTTTCTCATCGTAATTGGTGTGACGTTGTATTTTATGCTTCTTAGCTTGTAAGTTATTAGTGGAGCTTCAATCTAACGGCGCCATTGAGTCATTATTTTGTTTTTTTTTTGATTGATTCGATGTATGACTTGTTTTTCTAACGATCAAGGTCTTAATGTTGCACCGTGTGGAAGTTCAGTATAGATTTCTTGAATGCCATTTTGTCATTCTCGTTCTTTTGGATCTGAAAACATCAAATAACGTTCGAATGGGAAGACCTTCATAAATAATGCAAAATAAGTTGTAGGTTTTCTATATTGTTAACATCCCCTGGAAAAATATATGGTTCTTGAGACATTTTTTGTTTTAGGAGTCTATAATAGCATTCAAATGCATTATACCAGACGCAATAGCTAAAGTACAAGGACTGTTCGAACATACTAGCCTAAATTCCTTAGATGAAGCCGATAAATTAGCTCTCAATGCCAGAATTAGAGAAATTTTGATGCAAGTTTATCGTTTTGGATTTGATGTAAGTATGTAGGGTGTGACTTAATGATAGGCCATAATGGGGGGTAATCTGGAAAGCTAGAAGTAGAAAATTGTGCATCGCTGCCATTACAAGTGCGCATTTCTGAACCAGATTCAAGTATAAAAGTTCATATAAACATGTGCCCTTGTTTCCAAGATGCAGTTTGAAAAGAATCGTTTGTTTGTTAATATCTCAAAGATCATTTTGCCGATTGCTCTTGCTGTTAAGAACAGAGCATCACCCCTTAGACACAGTTAAAGTTGATTTGGTTTTATTTTCAAAAATTTTCAACATGTAATATCGTTCTTATAATATACTCAGTGACATTAGAAGTGTTACACTCAGAAAAAATAATTTCAACTTGTTTTTTGCCAACATAATGACTATATTTAAAGCATGCTGTGACAACAATATCAAAGTTTTATCTTTGTTTTTGTACATCTTTGTTAAAATGTTACCTCTTAGTTTTTGTGAAGAAAGCAGTTTCTGAGACCTGAGTAGTACAGATATTTTTATTTTATTCATTTACTAGTATTAAGCATAACAAAATGCCTCGAGTTGGAAGCCGTCCAAATTATCACCACTATCGAGATGTTGGTTTATCCTATCGTGTTAATTGTACTGCAAAGACGGTAATGCGTGTGTGTCGTGTGTGGATAGAAGAAGGTAGAGGAACACGAAGAAGGCCAACTGGTCCACCGAGGCGTACCACAGAGCTTCAAGATATGAGCTTCAGGCTTATAGCCCTACGAGACCGTTTTGCTACTACGCGTCAGATCGCTGACGAATGGTTTGGAGAAGAACGCAGACTTGTTACTATGCATACACTGTATCGCCGCATTCGAGGGTTAGGACTTTTTTCATACCGTCCACGGGTCAGTGCTTCTTCTGACTGTGGACCACTGTCGACAACGTTTCAACTGGAGGAGAGAACGGCAATATCGGGAGGCATAATGGCATAATAACGAAGCGCGATTCTGTCTAGGTACGCCACTTTACTGCCGTATCTAGAGAACCGTCCACACGCCCTTTTTCACCAAGACAATGCACGTACCCATATTGTTCGTCGTACTGCGGACTTTCTTCAAGAAGCAGGCGTTAATGTTTTGCCGTGGCCACCCCGTTCACCGGATTTAAATCTCATCGAACATGTGTGGGATAAGATGGGGAGGAGACTATCCACTTTGCACCATCCTCCACAGACTCTGCCACAGCTAATCCACGTAGTTCGAGTTGCTTGGAATCAGGTGCCACAACCAGCATCGATCATCTCATTTTGTCGATGCCTAGACGTATACAGGAGTGAATTCAGCTGCGGGGTCGCCCAACACATTATTTTTTTTTTCTTATTACTTATCAATACAATTTCGTGAGAATGTAATCGTTTCATTCTTGATGTAAGACTACCTCATTGCCAAAAAATCAAGTTAAAGAAATAATTTGTTCTGGGTGTAACACTCCTAATGTCACTGAACATATTTTTCCTCGAAAACGGAGTAGGATACGAAGAGATACCAAGAGAAAAACAATTTGTATCATTAGCAGCTATACTGCTATATACAAAAACTGGCCATTTGACTAGTTAGTGTTAACAACGTATCTACGTGACCTTGAAGTATTTAAATTCTTCAATAATTTCAGTTTTATAAAGAAATGTCCGATACAACTCCATCGGCATTCAGAGGTCGTTTAGTCCACAGTATGGTCGACTTCGCCACGTTATGGATGAAATTTGTAACTGAACGATGTGAGAGGGGAAGAGGCATGAGGCCAAGATGGGCTTATCAAGGCATGGAGTTCCTCCTTACGGTCTGTGAACCAACAAACACCAAACATCTAACCGAAGAGAAATTTGAACAGCTAAAGAAGGATATGGATGTGTGCATTTCACATGTCATAGGTTTGTTATTTGCAATATTATTCAATATTTTTTGCTGCTGACCAGAGAAGCGCTAATTCACTCTCATATTGTGTACAGATTTGCAACACAAGAGTTAGTGAATAAAAAACACTTTTGGAGAAATAGTTGTTCTGCGCATCTTGTTAGATATAAAAAAACAGCTATAGCTCGTGGAATAGGCAGTTCATTGCAGAACTGTATTCTCCATACCTAATATTTTCCTGTTTACACCTATTTCGCATTCTGCAAAACCTCTGATTTTTTTAACAAAAATCCCAGAAGCAAGCCGTAATATGATTTTCCAAAACGTTGGAGAGATGTCATAAAATACCTAGATGGCTAACATATTATTGATTGATTATATGAGAGAAAAGTGGGTATTATGTCAAGGGTCATATTACCATCTTTGTTAAACTGCAAAGGCAAGTCCCCGTCCTTCTAAGCAGGGGTGATATCATTACCCCTAAATATCGCTTCAACCGCAAGTTTAATGTGGAGTATCCAACGAGGGACGAGTGGGACGCCGGTGGCCGGAGACTCTCCGGAGTGAGTGAGCAGGCCTGGTACATGGTCGGCTCGGTAACTGACGAGGGCTCTGGCGCCTAGCACTAGGCTATCTCTGCCTCTTGGTGGATATGTCGGCGTCGAACGCTGAAATCCGTCATTCCCTGAAATACCTAGTCAGTCCCCGTATTGCCGGCAAATACCGTAACATTTTGATTATTACAACGCTTGACTAAGCACTTCAATCATTCCCTGTAATGACTGAACAATTTCAGTCAAACACCGTAACAACCACATTAACTTCGTTACTGCATTTGCCTGATTCAGTCATTCATTTTACCAGTTTTGTGTTCATTTGCTTGAGTATACACATCGTCTTTACTGTGTTTGTAAAGATGTCACAGCATTGAAACTAAGTGAATACTATGACAGAGTGAATAAGAACAAACCATGGAATAAACATTAGTTAAAGGATGTAAGTTAATTTTTATAATTTTGTGAACCTAACTTACATTATAACGAACATAGGCTTGCTCAACACCAGCATCCATTGTTGCCGGATTTTGTATATAAATACTAGATTGAGAAAAAAATATATAATTCATCCACGCTGGAGTTATTTATATCAACAATGCATGTCCTTGACGCGCGAATTATGTTTCTCAGCCACAACAAGGAGTTTTTAAAAAATATTTATTTTGTAGACATGAACGTGTTACAAGTTGGAATGATAATGAATTAAAATATAAAAAGAAAAATAGTTTTAATAAAGGTTTCTGCTGTCGTTGCGACTGGCGGTGTCGTCTTGCTGACGCCTCGGGTTCTTGACCTATAACGCCTCCCTCGCTAGGCTGAAAGTCCGTCCTCGGACTTTTGAAGTTTTAGGTTTTCCAAGTCGGCAATGGAAATTTTCGGCTTGAAGAAAAGCGTCTGGAGTCTTCTTCTTTTTCTTAAGACGAAGTAAATGCTCGCTGTGACGATGATGAGCATTAGGGTTGCCATGGACCAAGTTGTTGTAGACGTCACTGTAGGGCTTAGATGTAAGGGCTGTATGGCTGATAGCTGTGGTACATCTTTGAGTGGCTGCAACTCGTTGATCTGTAAGTTAAACTTTGGGCGGATCTTTATAGGGATGATATCAGGAACTTCGATTTGCTCTGAAGTAGTGCTGTAAATCTGTCCATTAATTTCGATTGGGCATGAAGAATAAACAATTGCTGCTTGACTAATATTTCGGTGAGTCTGGGAACATCTTTCAACGATTTGGATTGGCTCATTTGTACTGACGATCAGGTTTTTCTTTGTTTGGTGGATGACAGGCTGGGAAAGCTTGGCAGTGGTACAATTTTCTAAGCTGGGAAGCTGACATCTTGTGGTGGAAGCGGGTTGACATACGATTTTTGGTCCTACATCGGTGCATGTAGAATACCAGCGATTATCTCCATAGAAAGTTGCAGGAGGCAGTAGTACAATGTTTTCTTCATTATGTATGGGATAAATATGGTAAAGTCGGAAAGAGTGATCATTAAGGATCGGGATTTTGAAAAGGATGAGTAACTGAGTATTTGTGGTAATTAATGAACAACGTGAATTTTCGATAAGTTCAAAGGGATGTGAATTATCTGATAAAAGAGAATTTGATTTATATAAAGATTTTAGCTTTTCTTCTAAGTCAGTGATTTCGGAAAGTGAAAATAATTCTATGTTCGGTTGTTCTAGTGCAGATAGGTTTATACTTCTAATAAGCTTTAAAATGAATTGATTCAAACGATCAATATTACGAATTTCGCTTTGAAGAGTAATAAACTGCTGGAATTCATCTCTAAGAAAATTAATATCTTGTGTGATTCTCACTGTATTATTATTTATGGTTTCAATCAGAATATTATATCTTTTTATTGTTTCTGATGCATAACTTGTCGAATTATTAAGCACATTGATTATACGATTTTGTTTATTTTCGATACTGAAGATGTGCCTTTCCAAAAATATACGATCGTTTTCGTCAAGGTTGCCAGTCACTGATTTAATAAAAGTTCCCAAAAAGTTAGCAATTCCTCGCCTTTGACGGGGTCGGATTATTTTATGAAAATTGTCAAGTGTCTCGGAATAGAGATGGTTATATTGTTCAAATATTCGGTAGTTGGAAGTAGTGAGAGTCTTGTTAAGGAATAGGAAGTTAGTTAGAGTCATTTTAAGCGTTGCGTCGATAGCAGTTAGGTTAACAGTAATAATATGTCGGTGATAGTGATTTAACTCTTGAGCATGGCCTATCAGTTCACGATAGTATCCATTATTCGGGATCAGGTGCACTTGAAGGGCCAGGTTGTGGTTCGTCAGGATGACGATCCTGTAACAAGGGTATTTTCCTTAGACGTTTGATTTTTCTAGGATGGGTATTGGTGGGTCTATTTTTGGAAGTAACGGCCTGAATTTTGGTATTGCTACTAGAAGTAGTTTCGGCTGATACGTAAGGTGCAGATAATTTATTTCGGGGATTTTTCTGAATATATATGGTTTGGCCAGGTGCTGGAGCAGGAGTGATCTCGGGTAGTCTTTCATTGCGTTTATTTAAAATTGCTGTTTCTTTATCGTGGAGTTTTCGATAAAGAGAGTCAATGAAAGGTCGAAGTTCGTCTTTATGTCGTTGGTTATATTTTTCGTAGATAGGTAAGTCATTGTCAAAAAGTATTTCTTCTGCATATGGGCCATATAAGATAGAAAAAGGTGAATAACCTGTGGCGGAATGGATGGACTGATTGTAAATTAAAACACAATGTGTAACGAGATCAGTAAAATATTCTTTGGGGCGTTCGTCGTGCATAACACGGAGCTTTTCTGTAAAAGTAGAGTGAAATCTTTCGATAGGACTATTGGAATTCGGGTTGTTCACTGTCGTAAAGTGTAGCTTGATTTTGTGAAGATTTAAAAATTCTTTGAAGAGGTTATTTGAAAATTCGGTACCTTCGTCGCAGACTATTTTTCGAGGATAATTATGGTGGGAGAAATAGTGACGTAATTTGCTAAGGATTGTGGTATTCATTTTGTCAGGTATACTGTACACTTGGGCATACTTGGAAAAAGAGTCGATGATTGTGAGGAAAGTTTCTCGATTACAGGAAAATGTGTCAATATGAAGGATGTCGAAAGGCTTTTGTCCTAGAAGTGGACCTTTTAGGGGTAATTTATATGGGTGTCTCTCGTATTTATTACGAAGACAAATATCGCAGTGGTTAATATGCTCTGAAATTGTAGAACGCATATTAGGCCAGTAATAGTGTAATTTTAAATGACTAAGTGTTTCGAGAATACCATTGTGATTTTCCTTATGGTAATTTTGGAGATGTCGTAATTGGTCTTCGGGTCTCTCTACATCTTGAACTCGTTTGGTGCAGAAGAATATTTGGATGTTTTGGTTATAAGTATTACGGACGAAGTCGGAAATATATTTTTGGATATCGGGATTGTCAGTCAGAATGTAGTATCGTTGATTGGGGGCTATAGTTTGATGGAGAGCAGTCTTGATGTCGGTTTTCCAGTTTTTATCGGAAAGAGTGATGAGATATTCGTGTTTGGACTTGAACTTCAGACGGTATTTGGTGTTAAAATCGGTGCCTAGATTTATTATGATCTGATTTGAAAAATGATTAATAGGTTCTTCTGAGAATGGGACGAGAGCAACGGGATTTTCATGAGAAGAATGTTGGGTTGATTGACCAGTTTCTTTTTCGAAAGATTGGTTAACGAAGTCATCTACATCAAAGTCGTCATCATCATCTGGAGGGTTGGCACACAGAGACTCGGATTCGTGCATATTTATTTCGATGCGACTTAAAGCATCGGCGTCTGTAGTGAGGGTAAATGGTAGGGAAAAATCAGGGTATTGGAGAATAGGGGAGTTACTGAGAGCGGATTTACATTTCTCGAAAGATTCAATATATCTGGGATCTTCGATATCGATTTTAGTACCTTTTCTAGTGCAGCGTGTCATGGGGTATGTGATTTTGGAAAAGTTCGGAATGAAACGTCGGTAGTATCCTACCAGACCAAGAAAGCTTTTGATTTCTTTCACCGTCTTGGGTATAGGAAAGTTTTCAATGGCTGAAATTTTTGAAGGATTTGGTTTTATGCCTTCAGGTGTTATGACGTGGCCTAGAAACGCTACTGACTTACTCAAGAATTCGGATTTATCGGGCTGAATCTTGAGGTTAACTTCTCGGAATTTTTGGAAAATCTGTTTAATATGAATTAAATGTTCCTGGAGGGATTTGGAAAATATGATGACGTCGTCCATATAGACAAAACAAGATTTGTATAAGAATTCTCTTAGGATTTCATCCATCATTCTCTCGAAAGTGGCTGGTGCATTTCGTAATCCGAAAATCCGAAAGGCATTCTAAGGTACTCGAAATGACCGTTAGGAACTGTGAAAGCTGTCTTTTCTATAGAATCTGGGTGGACTTCGATGTGGTGGAAACCCTGTGCCAAATCAAGGGTGGTAAAGTATGAACAGCGTCCTAGGTTGTCAAGAATTTCGTCAATGCGGGGAAGAGGGTATTTATCTTCGATTGTGTTTTCGTTAAGACGTCTATAGTCGATGACCATACGGAATTTTCTTTTACCACTTGCGTCAAGTTTTTTCGCAACTATCCATACAGGGGCTGAGTAGGGACTTATAGAAGGGCGGATGACATTGTTCTGTAGTAATTTATTGATTTGGTCGGAAATTTCAGGTAGCATTGATTTTGGGTGTCGATAAGAGCGGGTGAAGATTGGTGTTTCATCTTTAGTTCGAATAACATGTTTTACAGAAGTAGTAACGGTTAAAGGAGAATTTTCTGTATGAAAAATATCTTTAAATCGATGACAAAGATGGAGGATCTTTTCTTTCTCTTCTGCATTCAAATGGTCTGTCCGTAACAAATTAAGATCAAAATAATTGTCGCCAGACGATGGGGGAGTGATTTCTTCGAAATCTGAAATGGATGTGGCGGAGATTGGTTGTGAGAAGTTGATTTCAACATTGTTGGGACGTGGAATTTCTATGAATCCGTCTTCAGCTACATGAATTGATGCTGGAACTATTACTTGATTTTCATGTATAATATCAGAAATGACAACTTCGCCATTATTAATGGAGACCGGAATACGTAGTCGTTTATTACTACGGTAAATTATCTTAAATGGAATAGAGATCTGTAATTTTGGAATAGAAAATACATGTGTTTCGTAATCAATATTGGCTCCTAGTTGATCGAGTTCACCTGTACCTAAAAGTACATCGAAATCGTCATGCCAGTCGGCAATTCTAATTGTAAGGGCTTGCTGTATACCAATTTCTTCGAACAAAGGGTAGTAAAGATTGCGTGTATATGTTTTTGGGGTTTTCATCGATATGAGGGTAAAAGGTTCATAGAATTCATATTTCGAGTCGAAATTTTGAGCAGCTCTGGGAGTAATTACTGTATCAGAGCCACCGGAGTCGATGAGAACTTTTAATTTGGAATGTGGAAGGTAGAAGTAAGGAAGTTTCGTTGCTTTGGAAAAATTATTCAACTGAATGATTCTATGTTGGGTGCGGGTTCCATTGAGGCTGGTTCTAGAAAATTTTCCTCAGGAGAATCAAAGTTTTCATAGCAATCTGTCTCAGGTATACAGTCTGCTTCGTTATAAGGTAAACTAGGCGGGGACTCGGGTTCACATTCAACATTATGATGGAACGTGCGGTAAGAGGACATAGACATTGGGGTAGGTTTGGAATTTGAAGATCTCTGGGAATGAATACCAGACATGGGAGTTGGTTTATATTGGTTTCGTTGGTCTTGTGAATTATTAGGCCTAGACGATGGACCAAAGACTTGACGATTTGTCGGAAAAGATTGTCTCTGTTGGATGGGCTTATTTATATCGCCAAAAGGTCTAGGGTGCATAGAATTTTGGTTGAAAGATTGATTAGACGAATTGGGCTGATTAAAATTACGATGGTATTGGTTATTGGGATTATTGGGTTTGTTCGAAGTATTGAAGTTGTTTGGATTGGGACGAGGTTGAGGTTTTTGGTAATCGCGGGGGTGATTCGTGGATTTCAAGTAAGACATGTATTGTTGTTGCTGTCTGTGATTGTCAAGAGAGATACACTTTTGGAGAGCATCATCTAAAGTATTCAATTCGAAATGAGAAAGATGGTCACAATAAGGGTTGTTGATGCCTGTGCAGAAAGTTCTTAGAGCTTGTTTCCGGAAAAATGAAGCCTTGAACTCTACTGCCTGGGCATTACTTTCACTTAATAAAACATGTTGTAAAAGGTCATTCAGTGCCAAGGTTATACGATGATGATAATCTTGGTAAGTCTCTGAGCGTTTCTGAACAGTTGTAGTTAATTGAGTTAACAAAATTTCTTCATTACGGTGGTCACCGTATTTTTGTAATAAAAGTGGTTTAATATCTGGCCACGAATTTTTATTATGAATGTTCAGAAAATCTCGAGCTTCACCTTTTACTTTGGATAAAATATGTGCATTAATAATATACAATTGTACTGCATCAGCTCCTTGTTGGTTGAAAAATGTGATTAAATTATCTACAGAGCTTATAAATGTAGAAAGATTATCTCCAACTTTAAATTCAGGAAGAGTATTACACAAGTTATTAACATCAGAGTTAGATATAACCATTTTTGTAGATTGTTCGAAAGTATTAGATGGGTTATCAACAATATCGTCTTCTGACCTCTTTGAATGTTTACTGTAGGGTTGAAATCTAGATTTGTTTTGCGACTTGTGTGAAAAATTAACTATAGCTTGAAATGAATCTTGAGGGTACTCAGAACTCATATGAAAAGGAAATGGACTTACAGGATGAGAAGAATCGCACTGATTTTCATCGCCAGTATGGTCCTCCAATTTCTCGGTGTTTCTTCGTGACCCCAGGTAGAAATCTGCCAAATCGTTAAGACGAACCGATGATCCTTCTTGGGTGGATGCCGTGCAGATATCCTGTTCGCAGCGCCAATTATGTTTCTCAGCCACAACAAGGAGTTTTTAAAAAATATTTATTTTGTAGACATGAACGTGTTACAAGTTGGAATGATAATGAATTAAAATATAAAAAGAAAAATAGTTTTAATAAAGGTTTCTGCTGTCGTTGCGACTGGCGGTGTCGTCTTGCTGACGCCTCGGGTTCTTGACCTATAACGCGCGTTTCGCCATCTGTATATTATATCAACTCTTATTTGGTTTGAAAAACGCGCATCGTGTATTGTTGCTATCTTGTGAATATGTATAACTCTAAGAAAAAAGAATGAAATAAATAATGTTTGAAATGATATAAAACATAAGATAATTCTATGTAAATTTTATTCGTTTGTCACTTCTCGCAGTTCTGCATTTTTTTTAATGTGTATTGTTTTATATTTCTTTCGATAGTTTCAGGATATTTCTTGTTGATTTAATACACTAATGACTAATGTCCGCAATAAAATAGGCGAATGCAGTAACGAAGTGAATGTGCTTGTTACGGTGTTTGACTGAAATTGTTCAGTCATTACAGGGAATGACTGAAATGCTCAGTCAAACGTTGTAATAATCAAACTGTTACCATGTTTGCCGGCAATACGGGGACTGACTAGGCATTTCAGGGAATGACGGATTTCAGCGTTTGACGCCGACAGATACACCACTATTTTCCAGGCGGAAATTTTTGCGATTCTGGCCTGTGAAGCCCGCATTTTGGAGGAGGGAGGGCCTAGGAGAAGAATAACAATCTTCTCCGACAGCCAGACTGCAGTGAAGGCACTAAGTGCCTGTAAGATTTCTTCGAGCCTTGTATTGCACTGCATGGAGGCTCTGGATTGTCTCGCAACGAGGCATCCGGTATCGTTAATGTGGGTACCGGGGCACGCTGGGATAAAGGGCAATGAGATGGCGAACGCTCTGGCGAAGATAGACGTCACGGTTGCTAGGCAATGTGGTTATGACCTCCGCTCTTCAGTCTGCTTCTATCGCTTTCTAACATGTGTTGATACACACTTCTCGCGCGACTCTCTCCTACAGATTGAACTCGAGCCGTCCCTGTATGTATTGTTTTCACCTAAAAATCGGCAAAAATTCTTCTCCAGCTCAGTAATTTACGAGTTACCTCTAAACCGGAATAACTTTTTGCATTACTCTTATAATCATAATTACAATATGGTGCATTTAATGAGTCATATTTCCATTTTAGTTTCTTGTATAGTCGATATTTCTTAATTTGTACCTTGAAAACGATTTTTATTGGAGTATCTAGTTATTAGCTAAACTGCTTTCAGGTACAACAGCACCTTCAACACCGGACAGCGGATTTTATTCAGCATCTCCCCGATCAAGCATCGAGCAAATCAGGTCAAGATCAAGAGGATCTTCACCTAGCCCTAGACCAACTTATAAGAGTCAAAGATCAGGCGCTAATAGGAAGATTAGCATAGAGCAACATTCCCCTGGTGCCGATTCTCTAGATAGTACCTGTTTAAGTTTCAGGTGAGAAATTAATGAAAAATGTAATTAGTTTATCGTAGTTTGACCTGTATAGTAATTTATTCTGAAGCTATAAACGCTGTTACTGCTAGGTTGAAATATCATCTATCTTAACTTCTAAGGTAGCCATCGTATAAGCGTTGAAACATGTCAGATGTCACAACAGCCTTCTCCAAAAGTCTTGTATATATACTAAGTGACATATAAATCTGAACACCCAGTTTAAATGGTTTTATTTTAATAAAAGTTGGTGAATGTATTTATCCTACTGTAAATAACAAGTGAAAAAATTTTCAGCCTTATCAGTTGGACATTCCGGTTTTTATACTGCTTTTTTTTTTAATTTACTAACGCTCTAAAAATGAATATTGCAGCCGCAGTAAAGAATCAACGTTGGCGGATTTTGGTTCTTGACATCCTTTACGATCGGTTACGATGCCTAGAGTACGGAGACCTGTACGATTTCGTCAACTTAGTGAGTTTGATAGGGGCCGTATAGTGGGACTTCGCGAAGCTGGACTTTCTTTTCGGGCAATTGCAGTTAGAGTGCAAAGAAGTGTAGACACTGTGGTTAGGTGTTGTCAGGCATGGCTTCGAGAAGGCCGTACGCAAAGAGCAAGGGGCACTGGACGCCGCCGTAGAACAACAGACCGTGAAGATCGCCGCCTAAGATTATTGGCCTTAAGGGACCGTTTCTCCACTAGCAGGTCCATTGCAAATGAATGGTTTGCAGAACACGGAAGACCTATTGGCATGCGAAGTGTTTACCGACGAATGAGAAGTTTTGGCTTGTTTTCATACCGGCCACACTGGGTCCTCCCTTTAACTCGAGAACACCGACGTAATCGCCTTGAGTGGTGCAGACAACGGTCACTCTGGGATCAGGAATGGAACAGTATTGTCTTTAGTGACGAGTCTCGATTTTGTTTAGGCATGCACGATGGTCGTGCCAGGGTTAGAAGGCGACGTGGTGAAAGGAGGAATCCACAGTTTTTTGTTGAAAGACATGTTCATCACACTGTTGGAGTTATGGTTTGGGGTGCTATAGCTTATGGTTCCAGGTCACCTTTAATCTTCATCAGAGGTAACATGAACGCGCAGCGTTATATCCACGAAGTTCTAGAACCCCATCTTTTACCCTATCTTGATACCCTGGCAGATCCAACTTTCCAACAAGATAATGCCCGACCACATGTTGCAAGAGTCACAATAGACTTCTTTCAACATAATGATGTCACATTGTTACCATGGCCACCAAGATCTCCCGACTTATCCCCAATTGAGCACGTGTGGGATATGATGGGTAGGAGATTGCTCAATTTGCAACGTCCTCCTCAGACTCTAGAAGCACTTCGAGAGGAGTTGGTGGTTGCCTGGAATGAGATACCACAGGAGGACATTGACCACCTGATCAGAAGCATGCATAGGTGCGTTGGAGAATGCGTAGCACATCAGGGTGCATCCACACATTATTAAAGGTCAAAGGGCTTTAAAGCAGTGCAATCATTTTGAAATTGTTATCATTTACTTATTATGCTTCATTAAGTACTTATACAAAATTTTATTAAAATAAAACCATTTAAACTGGGTGTTCGGATTTATATGTCAGTATATATATATACAGGGAGGCGCATCGAAAACGAAACACGCATTTACTGGCAGCTCAGTTTTTTTTTGGAAAAACGCTCAGACCCGTCGATTTTGTTTTCGAGGGGGACACAAGTTTGGCAAAAAATCACGTTAACATGTGCAGCCCTCTGGGCGGGGGTGACACCAACCCTAAAATCTTAAATGGAAAGGGAGATCGAGTGATACCTTATTTTGAAGGTCTTTCAAATCCCTTTATAATGATGTAAAATACATGAGCTTCAGTTCAGTAGTTTTGAAGATTTATTGATTTAAAGCTTAAAGTAGACTTTAATATGTACACCAGATTAGTTTGTACTTCTTTCAGAAGAAATTTGACTAAAAGAATTTACTTAATAAGTAAATGCTTTTCTTCACTACGCCCATGGTTTGTTTATCATTTTGTTGTTGAAAATAGCTATTGGAGCGTTTTTTTGTGGCAAAAAAGTTATTTCTTGAAGAAAGATAAGGAAGTATCTCGTACTTATTTTAAATAGGAATTTAGTACATAGTTTGCGATTGATTTGACCAAACTTTGTTGCTAAAATAACTTGTAACGCTTTATTACATAAATTAACCATGGTATATTCCACAGCAGATAGAGTTGAAATTATCGAAATATTTTTCGGAAATAATCAGTGCGCTAATAGAACAGCAGAAATATTTAATGATCGAGATGAGAACAGTAACATGCATCGAAAATATGTTCTAGGACTTGTAGCTAAATTTCGGGAAACTGGGTCAGTCGCTAATAAAAAACGCAACATTGAAAATCCCATAAGGAACGAAGCATTAGAAGTAGGGGTTTTAGGGCAAGTTTATGTAGATCCTACGTTAAGTACCCGCGAATTGTAGACTGTGTGTGGTGCTGGTCGACGTACTGTCCAACGGATTCTAAAGGCCCATAGTTTTCATCCGTATAAAATTCACCGGGTACAAGAACTTAATGAAGACGATGAACATTTTCTATTCAACACTTGCTTTTCCGACGAATGTTGCTTGTTCTTAAATGGCGTAGTAAATCGTCATAACTGCCGATATTGGTCCGATTCTAATCCCAGAATTTATCATGAGGTTCATACACCGCAGCCACAAAAATTAAATGTTTGGGCTGGTATTTTTGGCGATCATTTAGTTGGTCCTTTTTTCTTACCTGGAAATTTGACCGGTGAAATGTATTTGGAATTACTGGAAGACGCCATAGATCCTGCATTAACAGCCATAATTGAAAATCAGAATGATCGGCGGTACATTGCGAATAGGTTGATGTTCCAACAGGATGGTGCCCCACCACATTACGCATTACGTGTTCGACAATATTTAGATCAGACGTTTCCAGATAGATGGATTGGTAGAAGAGGTGCCATCAAATGGCCCCCAAGATCGCTAGATTTATCACCTTGGAATTTCTTTATGTGGGGTCATTTAAAAAACAAAATCTATGCTACTCAGCCAACATCATTAGAAGACCTGCGTCAAAGAATTATTGTGAATGAGTGCCTTCAAATTACTCCTCAAATATTGCAAAATGTGCGGCAACGTTTTGAGCAAAACGGGTCAGTTCATTCTTCATTTTTAAATTACTTTGCTGCCAAATGTATTGATCTCCACTAATGATGATGTATTAGTTTTATTTAAGCTTTAAATCAATAAATCTTCAAAACTACTGAACTGAAGTACATTAATTTTATATCATTATAAAGGGAATTGAAAGACCTTTAAAATAAAAAAAATAGTGGGGATAACGAAAATGTGTCAAGATTGTTAACTTATGTTTTTTCATCCTTTTTGCTTTTTTTGCATTAAACTCACATTAAACTTATACCAGACGATGGAGGATGGTAAAAAACTGATGTTATGACCCAGAGTCACAACGTACATTTGAGATGTTCCTGAATAATAAAGTTCACGAGAGAGCGCAAGAAGGCAAGTTCATAGCGGCTTGTAGCCGGCTTCATCTATAACTAGACAATTTGAAAATAATTTTGAATGTCTACATTAAAATATGAATTCGACACATCTACGCAGAAGCTTTAAAATAAAAATGCACATCTCTGACGTGTTGCGCCATCATTCTAAAAGCATCATCAGGCATCAATTGGACAGTTTGAGAATGCTCATGAAAATAAAGGCAAGATGTGTTTACATTTTCATTGTTAGTTCAGTGTGACACAAATTGTCAACGTCAAAGCAAAATATCAAAGAACAGGTTAGGTTTTTATCGTCGCATTCCAGTGCACATTTGTTAGAGCAGTTCGGGAGCGCCACACTCCGGATGCAGACAACTCTCAATTCAAAAGCACTTGAAAGCGGCTCTTACATATTCAGATAGACTCATCCAAGAGAAGAATATTGATATAACATACCCGTTTTGATGATTGCTAGTTGTTATTGACAGTCCAGCAGACCGTCTTTTTGAAAGATTGTGATTTTATACTTTATGGATATATTCAGAAGGAGCTTTGAAATGCCCCCTCATCCCATTAAAAAAGATGTTCCAAAATGGCGCCCAGCCGCCATCTTTAAAATTCCAACTGCCACTTTCAAGCTAAAACACAGTATTCATGGATACATTTCATGTGAGGTTAAGTGGTAGAGTAGCCAGCTGGCTAAACTTCGCCTCGCAGTGTGGAGGGATTAATAAAGACATTATTATTATTATTATTATTATTATTATTATTATTATTATTATTATTATTATTATTATTATTATTATATTATCTCTAATTACAGCTTCCTAACTTGACTAAAATAAGTATACTTTTTTGAAAACCACTGTATGTGTTGATCCCAGATTTAAATTTTCTTTATTATTTTAGACGAGCAGAATCTCCAAATGTCAGTACTGTGAGGATAAAATTTCCGCCTCAAACCCGTTCTGAGCATTGGGTAGAAGCTGTGGAAATGCTAGATCAAGAATTGGACAATAAACTGAGGAATCAGGATTTGATCGGCAAGGTGCTTCAAGATAGAACTTTGAACAGGAACGTTCTCTGTAAACGAACGGTGACATTTTCTTGGCAGAGAGGCATCAAGATTGGGCAGGGTAGGTTTGGAAAGGTAAGAACATAACTACTATAATCAATTTTGCATAGTAAGTATTCTAAAATGTAAATCAAAGTATTTCTGCAACTTCAACTAAAATTTTATACATAATTGTTTAACAAATTTGCAAAAACATGTCTTACTGAATTTAGTTCTCGATTTAAAAAAAGAACCCTGTCTGTCAGAGAAATACATTTTTATGGTAAAATAAACTAGACTAAACCCGCGGCTCCGCTCACGTGGAAGTAGTGTATAGGACATTCGTTTTGCATTACTGTGAAGGAGGAGGAGAAATGCAATATTCAAAGTAATGCAACAGTCACTTTGGCAATGACCATTTTATCCAACATTTTAATGCAACAATAAATTCATTTCAATGCTTCGTACTTGTATATGTCGGCGTCAAACGCTGAAATCCGTCATTCCCTGAAATGCCTAGTCAGTCCTTGTATTGCCGGCAAACACCGTAACAGTTTGATTATTACAATATTTGACTAAGCATTTCAGTCATTCCATGTAATGACTGAACAATGTCAGTCAAACACCGTAACAACCACATTAATTTCGTTACTTGCCTATTTTAGTCAAACGCTGTAATCAATACAGTATTGCTTCAAGGAAGTACATAATATATAGTAATATTAAAAGAAAAATAATCAAACATGAATTAATTTAAAAGGAAAGAAGAATTGATTCAAACGTTGTCTTTATTACTAGTATTACATTATCGTTTTTTTAATCAGGTATTTATATACGAAATCCGGCAACAATGGATGCTGCTGTTGGGCAAACATAATTATGTACGTTATAATTTAGGTTAGGTTCACAAGATTATAAAAATTAACTTACCTCCTTTAACTTATTTGTATTCCATGGTTTTTTCTTATTCATACTGTCATAGTTTCTTGTAAAACAATTCTGAATGCTGCGACATCTTTACAAACACAGCAAAGGTGTGTATACTCAAGCAAATGAACAGAAAACTGGTACAACGAATGACTGAATCAGGAAAATGGAGTAACGAAGTTAATGTGGTTGTTACGGTGTTTGACTGAAATTGTTCAGTCATTACAGGGAATAACTGAAATGCTTAGTTAAACTTTGTAATAATCAAACTGTTACGGTGTTTGCCGGCAATACGGGGAATGACTAGGCATTTCAGGAAATGACGGATTTCAGCGTTTGACTCCGACATATATACTCGACCAAAAGCTTACTTGAAAAAAATGACCTTGTAGGTTATGGTTAGGTGGATTTTCAAGGTATAATTGAACTTGAAATTGTCCGTAATTTGCATTAGAAAAATTAAAAAAAGATGTTTCCCATAAAAAATTGATTTGATCTTCAAAGCACCTTGATCATGATCATGGACAATACCTGAACATAAAGTTACTTAAACTGCTGTCTTGATTCGGGTCTAAAGGCCGTCGTCGGTTGGAATTTCTTCCTAACGTTTTGCTAGCACGAGTGGCAAGCTTCTTCAGAGGTCCTTCCATTTCCGATGCTGGATGTAGACAGTCAAAATCACCAATAGGCAGTCTACATCCAGCATCGGAAATGGAAGGACCTCTGAAGAAGCTTGCCACTCGTGCTAGCGAAACGTTAGGAAGACATTCCAACCGACGACGGCCTTTAGACCCGAATCAAGACAGCAGTTTATCAATCTGTCATAAAGTTTCTTGCTCTTTTTATTTTCGGGGTCAAAATTGGGGGTTTCATTTAAGACAACTGTTTTGACTTTCAAATGACCTTGAGGGTAATATTTCAGGTCACGTTCAGGATGACTATTAGATGAGCCTTTTCAAACCTTACAAGTTGTACAACATTTTTCTTTTAAACCCGATTTTCAAATGTTGTCTCTAACAGCCACCATACAGTTAAAATACGCGTATGCCTCTACGCACTTTAAGAATCAAATTACTTAGAGCGGATTCCAAGAAATTTTTCACTAAATTTGGCCATAAAAAGTTATGTAATAAATGCTGGTGGACACTATCCATGATTTGGAACGAACTTTAGTGTACCAAACTCAGCACAAAATTTCGTATCGTGGCAGATGGCCTTAAGGCTTGCTAGTCTAACATACTCGTACAACAAAGCTGTGTCACAAACTTGTAAGTTGTGATTCCTCACATATTTTATACATTGTAGGAGAGTGAATCTGTTCTTTATAATACATATTGTAGGTTGCAAGAGTATATTTTTTATTTTTGATATTTTTAGGTTTATACAGCAGTCAACAACAATACAGGTGAAATGATGGCTGTTAAAGAAATTCCGCTAGCACTCAATGACAGTACTACAGTTAAAAGGATAGCTGAAGAAATGAAGATATTAGAAGGAATTGTGCATAAAAACCTGGTCAGGTATTATGGCGTAGAGGTGCATAAGGTAAGGAAAAACCTAAACATGGTAATATTTACTTACTAAATTTTTGCATTTTAATTTTGTGAAGGTATCTCACTTTAGTCTTTCTTAATAAAAACTTTACTCATTAAAAATACATGATAAAAATCAACTCTACAGTAACGACGTATGAATAAGCGGTTTTACCAGCTGTAATACTAAAGTATATGACATCTATCAAATGCTTTGGTAATTGTATAAAAGGTTTTTCAAAAGTTAGCAAGCCGAAATTCGACGTAATAAAATTGACTAATGGACACCATACAAAAGGAACTAGTTTTTCAATATGACTTAACTAACTGGAGACATGTCCATGAGTGCATAGTAGCTACCAGCAGCACGTCTGTTGATTTAGTTGTTCATTCGTGTTGACAGTTTAAAGTGCGGAATAAGACATTGAGGCCACGTAGCGAGATATTGTCGGTTTTACGGTATAACCTTACGCGTGGTTTAAGCATGAATCAGTGCTTAGAAGATATTACGCTAGGCATTGAAGAGTTATTGTCCTCATCGTACGACTATATGCAGGTGGTTCAGAGAATTCCAAAGGGGCAATTTCACTCTGGAGGACGCTAAGAGGGAAGGAAGGGCGCGAAACGTCAGTAACAGAGGAAAACATTACTGCTGTGAGGAAAATGCTTGACGAAGACCGGAGAGTGGCATACTAACAGATAGAGGAGACCTTACACCTTCATGCACAAGCAATTCCTTCAATTCTGCATTACCATTTACACGAAAGGAGTACCGCATAGTTTGACGGAAGAGCAGAAGACTCGTAGTACGACTTGGTGCCGAAAGATTCTGAAAATGTTTGATAAGGGGCAATCTCGGTATGTGAACAGCATCGTGACAGGTGACTTGGCTCTATTATTCCGATGTGCCCACCAAGGCTCAAAACAAAGTTTGGGTCTTTCTTGATGAGGACACACCCGTAGCCGTCCCAAAATCCCGATCTGTTAAGAAAAAAAATGAAAGCTGTATTTTTCAAATCGAGCGGGATTGCGGAGCGTATCATTTTCGACACACAGAAGACAGTCACAACTAAGTGGTATATGGAACAGTGCCTGCCTAAGGTCATAGAGTCTTTGAAAAACCTGCGACCAAAATCAAGAATGGATACTTGGTACCCCTGGTTTTGGCGGATGGAGAAGTGTATGATTGTAGTGAAAATTACTTTGAACGAAGTCAATAAATAAAGCTGCATTGCAAAACTTTTATAGTACCCATTTTGAACCATTTTTTTAATGGAAAGTGGGGTCGAATGAAACCTCGTTTTGAAACCCCTCATGAATAATCTATACTATAAAATCATTATATTATATTGGTGACCTGCAAGAGTAGTTCCGAAAATGCTCACTGATGTCGCAAATGATATAACCCCTATTGGTAACTTTATTCAACATTCCACGTGACAACTTGTTTTTTAATAGTCCAGTCAGGGGTTGTTTGTTAATAAAGTCAAAAGCTACCATTTTCAGTGAGTACTAAGTCAAATTTATGATAATTATAAAAAATCGAACACATCTTGGTTTATTTGATTTTTCATAAAAAATGTATTTAACGTTCAAAAATGGCGCCCAACTGCCAATTTCAGCTTTCTAACGTGACCCGTTAAAATAAAGTAGGGGGACTTTCAAGAAAGCACTGTATGTAAGGCAGTTACAATCTATCGTGCTATACTATAGGGCCATAGGCGGTGGGCCGAAATATGAAGGATTACTATAAACTTCAGAAACAGTAAAATATCTTGACAACTAACGGGCCGATTTTCATTAAATTTTCAATAGGGGGATGGTAGATCGTTCCCGATCAGATGGTACTAACCGTGTTGTCTCCACATTTAAATTTTTTTCGGAAACTACTGTCAAAATTGAAGGATTTTTTATTTTCTCTCACAGGATGAAATGCTTTTATTTATGGAATATTGCTCAGAAGGAACACTAGAAAATTTAATAGCATCTACAGAAAAAGGCTTGCCTGAACTATTGGTTAGAAGATACACCTTTCAGTTGCTATGTGGAGTGGTGTGTTTGCACGATCATGGAATAGTCCATAGGTATTTATATTCCCTTTCCATTTAGAAAAATATCTATTTGCTTTTTATTTTAGGGATATTAAGACTGCGAACATATTTTTGACGAATGAAGGAAACTGTCTAAAAATTGGTGATTTTGGCTGTGCTGCAAAAATTAAGTCATCAACCACTATGCCAGGAGAACTACAAGGATTTGTTGGAACCCAAGGTAAGTTATTACTCAGTAATCACACAAATTATGAATCTTAGATAAACACAAAATAATTTACTTGTCTAGACAAGATCGAACATATGATCAGTTTCAATTATTAGTCCTCGATATGGTTATGGAACAAACAAATAAAATAGCTTGATAGAACCGGTTACAATAAATCATACATTTTCTAAATATCAGAAATGCACTAAATAATACTTTTTCCAAAATGCCAAATACCGGGTATTCGGTGAACTGATGTACTCTAGGTTATTTCAGCGACTGTTTGTGATATTAAGCTTATATACTCAGTGACATTAGGAGTGTTACATCCAGAAAAAATAATTTATTCAACTTGATTATTTGGCAACATAATGACTATATTAAAAGCATGCTTCGGCAACATTGTTAACGTTTTATCTCTCTTTTTGTTTATCTTTGTTAAAATGTTATCACTTAATTTTTGTGAAGGAAGCAGTTTCTGAGAGCTGAGTACTACAGATATTTTTAATTATTGCACTTTCATTTACTAGTGTTAAGCATAACAAAATCCCTTGAGTTCGACGACGTCCAAATTATCCCCATGTTAGCGACTTTGACAGGGGTAGAATTATAGCCTATCGAGATGTTGGTTTGTTCTAATGGACAATGACGAAAATGCGTGTGTGTCGTGTGTGGATAGAAGAAGGTAGAGGAACACTAGAAGCCCAACTGGTCCACCCTACGAGACCGTTTTGCTACTCCGCGTCAGATCGCTGACCAATGGTTTGGAGAAGAAAGTAGACCTGTTACTGTACACACACTCTACGCATGATGGTCTTAGAAGGGTAAGACGCCGCCGTGAAGAACGGCGTGATATTGGATTTGCTGTGGAGAGGCATGTACACAGGATTGTTTGAGTAATGGTTTGGAGGGCTATTGCCTACGGCAGCAGATCATCCCTTCTCTTTGTTCAAGGCAATATGATGGCTGCGCGTTATGTTGATGATGTCCTACAAACCACTTTCCTGCCGTACTACGGACTTTCTTCAAGAAGCAGGTGTTAATGTTTTGCCGTGGCCACCCCGTTCACCGGATTTAAATCCCATCGAACATGTGTGGGATATGATGGGGATGAGACTATGCAATTTGCACCATCCGCCACAGACTGTGCCACAGCTAATCCACGAGGTACTTGGAATGAGGTGCTACAACCAGGCATCGATCGTCTCATTTTGTCGATGCCTAGACGTATACAGGAGTGTATTCAGCTGCGGGTCACCCAATACATTCTTAATTTTTTTCTTATCACTTTTCATAATTGATGTAAGACTTCCTCATTTCCAAAAAATCAAGTTGAGGAAAATTTTTTCCTGGCTCTAACACTTCTAATGTCACTGAGTATATTTGCGTTTTGAAAGTCTCTTATCGATTTACTTCTCCAAGAAATTAACGCATAGCAAAGAACAGTTGTGCATCTTAGACCATTTTTAGGAGGATTATGTTTTTCGCGCACGGGTATGTATGTTTTTGACATATGAGGTTTTTGAGTAAATATTCATTCTTTCCGGTTACTGCTGTCGAATTGATTGTATTTTTTAAAAATGTACTAGTTTTGCCAGAGTAGCGTCATAGGGTAGTGTAGTATGGTATTTTGTGTTTTTTATATTCTAAATGTTTAGGAATATGTTTTTACTATAGAATTCAAGGTTAGTGTTGCCATAGGATTGAAACCCTATTTTGAAACTACATTTTTGGAACATTGATATTTGATATACTTCCGAGTTCTTCCTATTACAAGAGAAGCACATTTGTAAGATATCCAGAAGGTACATCGTACATGTTTATTGAAGGTAGGCAATGCGTGGTCCCAAACTCTTCCAATTCCGAAAGAGTATCTACGAGTATTAGAATCACACTGTGTCATGGCCATCACGAACACTCAATTTAAATCCTTTAGGTTTTTCCTGCCTTTCATACATTTCAGCAAAGCTTTTCTTCGCAAAAACGCGGAATTCCCGTTATTTACATTACTTTTTGGTTTTTCCTGCATTTTGTTTTCTTTGTTTCATACTTTTCGCTATTTTTTGAGTGCGCATGTGAAAGGTAAAGAGCAAAAAAAAATTATGAAACTGTATTTTTATGAAAAAACATGTAGTTAACATCTCGTATATGGGTATTTCTCAGCAAATTTCGAAATTCATAAAAAATAAATATGTACACCTATATAAAAAAATCAATTTAAACTATGTCTCTTGAAATGAAATCATTCCCTCACCCATTATAAATATCCTATTTACGTTAACGCAGCTGTTATGTTTTTAAAACTTGGCAATACTGCTAATAATGTCAACATGGCGGAATTTAGTAATAGTGAAAAGAGTTGCTGCAAAAAAGTATTTGATTTCAATAATTACATTTCTCTGTGTCATTACCTCACTGTTTATATTACAAGGTAAGTCATTATACTGTTCGAATGTTTTAATGATTTTTTCTTGTTTTGGGGAGTACAATGCATTCACAAAATGCTAAATCAATTTGAGGTGATGTACTGTTGTTTACGGTGTCGTTTATGCAAATCCCTCATTCCCTCAGGGTCATTGCCTCACTATATTAGAAAGTGAGGGAATTTTTTTTGCATATATAAAATTTTGGTTTGGGTGTTATTGTTTAACTCCAGGTTGTATAGCATGTGTTTTCAATTTTAACAGATATCCGTATATCAAGAATAGGGAAAATGAAGAAGTTAAGCGAAGAAAAAAAGAAATTAAAAAAGGAGTACGACAGAAAGAGGCGAGAACAAGTGAAAATTAATGCTGAGTCTTTAGATGCTTTGCGTGAAAAAAAAAAGATTAAAGTATTTAAAAAAGAAGAGTAAAGGTCAAGTTAATTCAATAAGTTCTATGAGTGCAAGAGAAACTAGCCAAAAACGAAAACAATAGAAAAAGAATAGTAAAGTATATATTGAAAAGCGAGTTACATTACAAACAAATTTACAGAGAATAGTTGAACAAACACCCCCACCAAGTCCTGCACCATCTTTATAGCACAGAGCAGAGAATTTGCCTGCTCTCAATAGACGTAGAATGCGCAAGCGGCGAACTATTATGTACGCGAAGATTAAAAGTTTGGAAATAAAGTAAGGAACGCAGTCAAGCTTGGCGAAAAATATAAGAAGAGGTGTTTTGAGATTGAAAACTAAAAATACTGACCCAGACTCTCCAGCAACTAAAGTGTCTTTGCTTTTAAATAATATACAAGTTCCTGACGTTGTAAGAAAAAGACCTCAAGAATATCTGTGAAGATCTTGGAAGTAAACATGGAGAAGAGAAAAAATATTACAAAATGTCGAATCTGCAATTAGTACAAAAGATACAAATATATCGAAGCATTTTTTCAAAAACGATACGTACAAAAAGAATTGTGCTCGTAAAGTTAGCTCAAAATTGCTGAAACTTAGGGGTGATGTTGTTAATTTCTTAGATAAGGATGAAAATACGAGGATGTGGCCAGGGAAGAATCACTATCTAAGCTTTCTAAAGTATAAAATAAATCTCAATACATCTACTAATAGATTAACTTAATGTTTTTTATTGAAATTCAGCATCAAATTGTTGTAAAAATCATTCCCCCATCCTATCAGTCATTCCCTCATTTCATAGTTTTTCTACATGTTATACACAAAACCTTCATTATCGATGAACCTCACTAAAGTAAAACTTTATATTTCTGCAAAAATGATATATTTTTATTATTTTTTTGTATAAGAAATGCAAAATGAAATTTATAAATTTGTTGAGAAATAGCCATATACATAAAAGATAAGCAACGCAAATACCGCAAATACACTAGCCTTCTGGAGAAGTCGACCGACATTTACTAAAAAAATTATCCAAATCAGGTAATTGATTCGGCAAAAACATGCTTTAACATTGGATGTTTCTTTGGTGGTACGTTAATGTCTTGGGGGATATATCAGGAAAGTTTGGGAAAGCGTATGAGAGCAGGTTTTGCACATCACGTATACAATTCCTTGATTTACATAAGTTATATAAACGGAGTATTAGGTTGTTTGGAAAGTTCTTGCGGTTTTCAACCTTCAAATTCAAAGGATCATACCTCAGCTTTATTAATTAAAATAAAAACTATTAGAATCAGTACACTTTTGCCAACGAGAAACAAGTTTATTTATGCTGTTGGCAGTACTTCGCCGTAATCGTTTCGCCCGGATTCAGAAAGCTGTGGTTGATGAGACCGGCTGCAGACCACCAAAGAGTCACCATAACCTTCTTTGGATGGAGTTTCGGCTTCGGGAAGTTTGGTGGAGCCTCGTCGCTGTCCAACCATTGCGGCCCAGAACGTCGCCTATTGTCCGAGGCAATCCACTTTTCACATGTCACAATCCGGTCGAGAAACGGGTCGTTTTGTTGCGTAGAAGGGCAGACGCCACCTCAAAACAACGATTTTTCTGATCTTCGCTCAATTTGTGCGGTATCCATTAACGAGCTTTTTTGACTTTCCGATCCATTTCAAGTGGTCGGAAATGGTCGCAATACCAACATCAAGCTCCTCCGCAAGCTCACGAACAATTGTGCGCGAGCGCTTGCTACCACCAGGGCTTTTAATTCGTCGTAGTTGACATCATGAGGTCGACCACTGCGCTCTTCATCTTCAAGGCTCTCGTCACCGCTGCGGAATTTCTTGAACCACCGTTGTGCCGTACATCCGTTAGTGGTTCCTTGACCAAATGCATCGTTGATATCGCGAGTTTCCTCGGCAGCTTTTCGACCTAATTTGAACTGGAATAAGAAAATCGTGCGAATTTGCCTCATGTCCATCCAACTCATATATTTGAAGACTTGAAAAAAAAAACAAATTATCTTAAAACAAAACGAATACGACTAGATACAGCGAAAAACGCGCTTTAAAATGATGTATAAAGTCAAAATATTATAAATAAATTGTAGTGTAAAATACATCATTTAAAATATAAATAACGAAAACCTCACTTAACATCGATGCATCACTATTAAATATAGCAATTTTTTGCAGCATATATGGCTCCAGAAGTTTTCACGAAAAATATGTCAGAAGGGCACGGGCGAGCAGCTGATGTGTGGTCTATAGGATGTGTTGTTGTAGAAATGGCATCAGGAAAGGTAATTTTTACTTATTTATTTATTTATTTAAGCTCTTACAAACACATTTGAATGTAGTTTACATGTAGGAGTGCTTACTGGCTAGTAGAGAAACGAAGAGAGTACACAAAAAATTATAACTAAAAAATAACGACAAAGAAAAACTATAAAAATTAGCAAACAAATAAATTGGCATAAGGATGTTTTACTTTAATTTAAGATCAGTTTCAATCTGTCCCACAGTAGTCGAAAGGTGATAGACATCACAATTTTGTATATAACTATTACACTCATACATCATTCTATTGATAGAAGAACAACTTACAGGTGAACAGTGAAAGAGTTTGTTGCCTCTTATTCTCAAGTTGATTCTAGGAACAGCAAAGAATATATTATTTATTAGGGAACACTTCTTATATTTTAAATTATTAATTATGTAGTAAATGAACAAGATATCATTCAAACCACGCCTAATGCTCAACCGCACAATTTTAAATTCTGTTAGCATACTATTATAAGAGATCATGTATGGATAAGCATTGTGTGTCCTTAAGTACAGATATCTTAAACATCTTTTCTGTACCCTTTCGATCATATCAACATGCACCATTGTTTTGGGTACCCAAACAACAGAGGCATACTCCAAAACAGGTCGTAGTGCTCTGTATTCCTTATCACAAAACCCAGGATCCTATATGCTTTTTTTACAATAGTTTCATAATGCTGAAAAATTTTTAGGTTAGTATGAAAGCAGACACCAAGATCCTTACATTCACTTTTCCTACTTAGCAATAAGTTATCAATTTTGTAATTAAAATCTATAAATTGTATTTTCGTGTAAAATTTAAACTATGACATTTGGCAATATTCCACATTTTATTCTCCTTGAACCACTGTGACACTGAAATAAAATCAGTTTGCATCTCAATACAATCTTGAAGGCAAGTTATATGCTTTTATATTTTAAAATCATCAGCAAATACGAGACATTTGGCATATTTTACACAGTTTGGCAAATCATTCAGAAAAATTATGGATAATAGAGGCCCAAGATTACTGCCCTGAGGCACCCCAGATATTATTATGTTCATCTTTGATAAATGCTTACCAACTTTAATCTGCTGCGGCCTTAAGGTTAGGTATGATGCCATAAGCTAACATGCACTTTTTGAGAACAAAGATTTACCCAACTTGTTCACCAACAGACCATGATCAACCCGATAAAAGGCTTTCGCACAATCCGTCAAAACAACATCCAACTGTTCTTTGTTGTCAATTGCCCCGGCAGCTGCCTCAGTCAAGATACTGAGGTTGGTAACAGTTGAGACATCGGGCAGAAAACCATGCTGCTGCAGAGAGAACCTATGCATAAGATAGCTCAAAATATCTTGATACAAGATATTCTCAAATATTTTCAAAAGAGAGTTTAAAACGCTAATTTGCCTGTAGTTGTCAACCAGAGAATTATTGCCTGTTTTGAGGACTGGAGTAACCAAAGCATATTTAAGAGTGTCTGGAAATGTGTTTGTTTTAAGACAAAGATTAAAAATAGTTTGTAATGGAGTGCACAGGATATTAGAACAACCTTTATATATGTATGAGGGAATATTATCATTGCCAGTGGCCTTTTTTGTTTTTAACTTCTTGATGGCTGCCTGTACGAGGTATTTGCATTTCTGAGATAGGAGAGAATGAGAAGTTACCATTACAAACGTCAAAGTTCGGTTTTTCGGATTGTTGGAACACAGAGCTAAAATACAGAGCAAATGTATCAGCTATTTCCTGGCCACCATCAATAGTTTCTTAAAATTTTTCTTTAAGATTTTTCATTAGACTTCCAGTAAAATTCTAGGTATTCGAATAAGTAAATGGCTAAAGAAATATTCTTCTTTATTCCTTTGTTAAACGTACCTCACACAAATAACAGTTTGATTGATTCAGGCTAAAACCACACATGAAATTACTAGCTTCCAATAACGGTTGTTACACAATAATACACTGAGAACCAAATTTGTCTGACGGCTTGATTTCAATGTGTTGAGAGAGAAGTCTGTATAAACACATGCTAGGAAGAGATAGAGCCGTTGGATAGCGAAGTTCATCACCGCGTTGCCTAGCAACGCTGACGCGGCAATCTGCTACGTTGCCAATATTTTACACCAGTTCCTTGAATTAAGGTTCATGTGGGAAATTTGCGTTAGCTCTTCGCTCAAATAATGGTTTTAATTTGAGTGTACTCATTTTTGAATTGTGAATTGTGTCGAATCCGTTTAGGATCGATTCCGGATCGGTTTTAATTTGTTTTGCCTTATGGTATTTGTTACATTTTTCGGCCGCTCGCTGTCGCAAAATGAAACAATAAATCAGTATGTCTTGATTTTATTACCATCGGTGGAAATCAAAGATAATTCTAAAGTAAATTGAAATGGAAACAAAATATTGAATTAAATGCTCGAACAGTCCTCCTTCGGTTTGACAATAACATATTGTAGAAGCCTGCGCGAACATTTTCTGGTGTAAGATATTGGCAACGAGGCAGATTGCACGTCCTTCTGCGTCACCGTTGTTAGGCAATATGGTGCAGACCTTCGCTGGTCAGCCGGCTTCTATCTCTTTCTAGAATGTGTTGGTACACACTTCTCGCGCTTCTCTCTCGTACACATTGAACTCAAAATGCCAGACTAATTTGGTTCTCCCTGTATGCATTCATCCGTGTGTACTCATTCATCACCCTACGTAGTTTGATTTCAATTCTAGTTCAATTTCAAATTTTTGAACTTTGTTGGTTGAAGACATACCACAGAAGAGCTTCAATAAAATAGACGTATTTATTTTATTTTAATGCATAAAGTTGTTTATATACCCAGCATTTGTTATGGTTATTTTGATTTTTCCTTATTTAACTTCGCGAATCCTTTATCAGACAAAGGTGAAAGAATTTGAGGTACTTCAAAGCTATGATACTTTTAACCCTATAAACTTCTGGCCTTATAAACTGGTCTACACAAAATTGAGTGTTTTATGTTTTTTTCAGCGACCTTGGGCTCAGTACGATTCGAATTATCAAATAATGTTCAAAGTAGGAATGGGGCAAAGTCCGGACCCACCAGATGAAATGATAGATGAAGGACTAGACTTCCTTGACATGTGTTTCAAGCACGATCCCAAAGAAAGAGCTACGGCCAGAGAACTATTGGCACACAATTTTGTCAAAGTTGGTGAAGAGTGGAACTAAAGATTTTTTTGTATTGTTTGTCGAGCTTATCTTTAACGCTCTTTTATTCAGTCCAAGCTACTTAAGATTCACCTTGTTATTATAAAAGGAGGATATTTTAGTTTGCCAAATTGGCGGTACAAGTAAGTTATAGTTATGTCAAACGAGATCATTTTTGTCATAGAGCATATCTCGTAATTACTGTACTGTAAAAAGTATAATTTAAAACGAATCACAACACTTGGGAGATCATTTTGATCTGAATTATTCTATAAATTCTCTTTGTAATGATGAGACATATTAACATTTTCAATTAATTTTTAACAAACAAAATTTATTTTTCCGTATGTTTGATCTCAAAAAGCGATTTAGATTATTGATTACTATTTTATACAATTTACTGTAACTAGCAGTATTTTAACTCAGTCTAAGTTTAAGGTGATGTGATTGTACAAATGTTGTGATACCTATTTTTCAAAATATATATATATATATATATATATATAACAAAAAGAAGGAAAATAATGGGCAAAATCCGCAAAAAGGAGGAAAGTGGATTCAAGCAGAAAATAGGATAGGTAACCCGAGCGATACGTATTTCTGCTGGTTGGCTTCATCAGGCCCGAAATGAATGCACATATGCAACTACAAAAGTAGATACGCATGCTCATACATCCGGATACGGGTGTAACCTGAGGAAACAAAGATGGAGAGGGAGAAAAAATCACACACGAAGTCCACAACAAGAGCCAACCTACACATTGTAGTACAAAATGGTTAGAAGACCTAGAATTTTCAAGGCGACATCTAACCACAACCACGCGGCCGGTTATAGCCACTTGCTGTGGTACTTCAAGCCCAAAGGATCTACAAAGAGAAAATGATCATGCGGAGAAAGGTATATAACAAAAAGAAGGAAAATAATGGGCAAAATCCGCAAAAAGGAGGAAAGTGGATTCAAGCAGAAAATAGGATAGGTAACCCGAGCGATACGTATTTCTGCTGGTTGGCTTCATCAGGCCCGAAATGAATGCACATATGCAACTACAAAAGTAGATACGCATGCTCATACATCCGGATACGGGTGTAACCTGAGGAAACAAAGATGGAGAGGGAGAAAAAATCACACACGAAGTCCACAACAAGAGCCAACCTACACATTGTAGTACAAAATGGTTAGAAGACCTAGAATTTTCAAGGCGACATCTAACCACAACCACGCGGCCGGTTATAGCCACTTGCTGTGGTACTTCAAGCCCAAAGGATCTACAAAGAGAAAATGATCATGCGGAGAAAGGTATATAACAAAAAGAAGGAAAATAATGGGCAAAATCCGCAAAAAGGAGGAAAGTGGATTCAAGCAGAAAATAGGATAGGTAACCCGAGCGATACGTATTTCTGCTGGTTGGCTTCATCAGGCCCGAAATGAATGCACATATGCAACTACAAAAGTAGATACGCATGCTCATACATCCGGATACGGGTGTAACCTGAGGAAACAAAGATGGAGAGGGAGAAAAAATCACACACGAAGTCCACAACAAGAGCCAACCTACACATTGTAGTACAAAATGGTTAGAAGACCTAGAATTTTCAAGGCGACATCTAACCACAACCACGCGGCCGGTTATAGCCACTTGCTGTGGTACTTCAAGCCCAAAGGATCTACAAAGAGAAAATGATCATGCGGAGAAAGGTATATAACAAAAAGAAGGAAAATAATGGGCAAAATCCGCAAAAAGGAGGAAAGTGGATTCAAGCAGAAAATAGGATAGGTAACCCGAGCGATACGTATTTCTGCTGGTTGGCTTCATCAGGCCCGAAATGAATGCACATATGCAACTACAAAAGTAGATACGCATGCTCATACATCCGGATACGGGTGTAACCTGAGGAAACAAAGATGGAGAGGGAGAAAAAATCACACACGAAGTCCACAACAAGAGCCAACTAGGTCTTCTAACCATTTTGTACTACAATGTGTAGGTTGGCTCTTGTTGTGGACTTCGTGTGTGATTTTTTCTCCCTCTCCATCTTTGTTTCCTCAGGTTACACCCGTATCCGGATGTATGAGCATGCGTATCTACTTTTGTAGTTGCATATGTGCATTCATTTCGGGCCTGATGAAGCCAACCAGCAGAAATACGTATCGCTCGGGTTACCTATCCTATTTTCTGCTTGAATCCACTTTCCTCCTTTTTGCGGATTTTGCCCATTATTTTCCTTCTTTTTGTTATATACCTTTCTCCGCATGATCATTTTCTCTTTGTAGATCCTTTGGGCTTGAAGTACCACAGCAAGTGGCTATAACCGGCCGCGTGGTTGTGGTTAGATGTCGCCTTGAAAATTCTAGGTCTTCTAACCATTTTGTACTACAATGTGTAGGTTGGCTCTTGTTGTGGACTTCGTGTGTGATTTTTTCTCCCTCTCCATCTTTGTTTCCTCAGGTTACACCCGTATCCGGATGTATGAGCATGCGTATCTACTTTTGTAGTTGCATATGTGCATTCATTTCGGGCCTGATGAAGCCAACCAGCAGAAATACGTATCGCTCGGGTTACCTATCCTATTTTCTGCTTGAATCCACTTTCCTCCTTTTTGCGGATTTTGCCCATTATTTTCCTTCTTTTTGTTATATACCTTTCTCCGCATGATCATTTTCTCTTTGTAGATCCTTTGGGCTTGAAGTACCACAGCAAGTGGCTATAACCGGCCGCGTGGTTGTGGTTAGATGTCGCCTTGAAAATTCTAGGTCTTCTAACCATTTTGTACTACAATGTGTAGGTTGGCTCTTGTTGTGGACTTCGTGTGTGATTTTTTCTCCCTCTCCATCTTTGTTTCCTCAGGTTACACCCGTATCCGGATGTATGAGCATGCGTATCTACTTTTGTAGTTGCATATGTGCATTCATTTCGGGCCTGATGAAGCCAACCAGCAGAAATACGTATCGCTCGGGTTACCTATCCTATTTTCTGCTTGAATCCACTTTCCTCCTTTTTGCGGATTTTGCCCATTATTTTCCTTCTTTTTGTTATATACCTTTCTCCGCATGATCATTTTCTCTTTATATATATATATATATATATATATATATATATATATATATATATAAAATTCGTTGTTCTAGGATAGGGATATATTGTATTATGTATTATTTTTTGACCATGTATATGTGATGAGAGTTTATATCTGTTAGGTGTAGATAGACAAAGCACTTTGAGCGACTATATTAGTGAGAAATCAAATAAATTAGTTTGGTAAATATTTTTGTTTTTATTTTCATCAGATTATACTGAAGCAGTCTACACAGCTACATGGGTTGTGTGGACATGTATTTATCTAATCTACTAGACATTTTGGTGCAGTTTCAAGAACACGAGAAGTTACACCAGTGGCGTAGCTTGCTCCTGAGTGGCCTCATATCAGACTTTAACGGGAGGCGCCACCAAGGATTTTCACGAACGAAAAACATTCTCTTTGAATAATATGAATAAATAGTCAAGTATTGAGCAATTATTGATTATTGTAATTATCGCCCAGACATTGGCCAATACCAAATGTATGCTTTCCTTGTCATTTTCTTTCCCACGCAAATTAAGAATGTGCAAACAACGAACGACTTTTTAAAAAAGCGACTTTATTTAACAGAAGACGAATGCGTACTGGTCACCTTGGTTTACATGCATCTCTTACTTATAACCTACGCTAGAACAAAGGAATTGAAAAGTGCAAACCTAAGCAACTCTACATATTAGATCATCATCATAGCAGTGCCGTAATTCCTCCCTCTTCAAGAAGATTGAACCTCCTGGTTCAAAGGAAAAATCTGGTTAAGTTCAATGTCATTTTTGACTGATTGATTTTTTGGTTCTTTTTGCTTCAAAAGAGAGAGCAATTGTTTTTTTAAACAAAGTATAATTACAACAAATGTTAAAATACATAAAATAGTTACAATGCTAAACGTGGACGTTTTGTGTGAAAAATCTAAATTTTTTAATTTATCGTGTAATAAAACATTATTCAATTGTATATCCGAATAACCTTTTACATCAGTATTTTCAAATAACATATTCTTATCATAGTGCACCATAATGTTAGGTATGTATAAAGGTTTCGAAATATCAGAAATCTTCAAATACTCAGTATGATCAATAAATGTTTTACAGTTTAAGCTGATAATAAAAGAGGAATCAATTTCTTTTCTTTCTTTGGTACAATCTTCATATACTGGAATATTCTTGTTAGTATTCACTAAATAGTTATCATGTTTTAATTGAATTACTTCTGAAAATGAACCTTTTGCCAAGAACGTACAATTTTCAACTTTAAGTAAGTTACAACTGGAATGGATTAGTATAGTACAGTAAAAATATTTATTACTCAATAATTTGCATTCATCACAAAAATGTATAGTTTCATTTTCGATAATATTTTTATGTTTCAATACCAGAATATTATTTTGGTGTATAATGGGGTATATATTGGAATATATAAAGTTACCAGTAACTGTTGGTATGTGAAGAACAAATATGATTTCTTCTTCGAGGACTATAATACTTAATTCACATAATTCGAAAAATTCAAAATTGTGCAGTTTATCAAGTGGGAGAAGTTCATTTTTGTCAAATAGATCACTTAATAACGAATGGATATAATTAATTTCAGTCTTACTCAGCTGTAAGAGATTTATGCCCTGATTTGTGCTCAGGTTAATGGTTAACAGTAAGTGTGATAAATAATTAGAAAATCTTTGAATAATTATTATCTCATTCAAGACATACTGAGAATTAGCGTATTCGCTATGCAATTTGTTGAGGTTATCCAAATTATCTCTCAAATTTTTCTTTATAATTAAAGTGTTATTTTCAAACCTGTCTTGTAATTGTTTTGCTACAGAGACGGTTCGGGAATTTTGTAATGATAAATTATCTTGATTTTCCTTCAGAATTTTCATATTTGCCATTATTTCGTCTAGATCAGATTGATCTAAATTGCCTGAAATATATTTTATGACGGAACCAAGACCATTAAATAATCCACGCTTAACTCGTTTAAATTTTAACATTTCATATTTGTCTAAAAGCAAATTGTATTCATGTTCAAGTTGTGTCATCAACGTATCATCTATTCTTTGTTTTGCAAAATAGACATTTGACGTTATTTGCTTGATATTTTCATTAATGAGAGTGAGATTTATATGAAAAAATGTCTTATGGTACGCTTTTAGTAGATAGGCGTTACCTAGCTCTTGCTTAAAATATGGTGCTTTATTCTCGATCAGCTGGATCTCTAGGCCGGCTAGTTGAAGGGCCTGGATTAGGATCCTGAAAGTTAGAAATTTTGCGTTGCGGTTTCACTCTATTCAGTCTATGCTTTTTTCCTTTAGTGCGCACATTAATATGGACATTTTCTTGTTCGTAAGAGGTCTCTTTAGAATACAGGGGTTTTGTTTTATGTGAACGATCTAATGCAGATTTAAGATATACTGGACCTTCTAAGGTTGGAATTTCCTTATTTCGATTTTGATTAATTTTTTCTAGTCTTTCCGTTGCCTTATCTAGTACACGGTTCGATAGTTC